ACTCTTTTATGTGTTCGTCAACGAAGCTGCTGATCAATTCAGTGGTGGTGCCGTTTCCGCTTATGATTGGGCGGCCCGGTACTTTGCCAGGTGTTAGGTTTTTATGTATTTTGGGCAGGAGGTAGAACCGACCCAGTTTGGGGTCTTTGGGTAACAGTCCATTGAATATTTTGTAAGTAATCTCTTCTTTGGTGAAGATTTTGGTGAGAAGTTGTGTTATCTCATTAGCGAAATCCATGGTTGGGTCATGGTCTGTTTTAAGATAAAAGTTGGTGTCAGTGAGTTGAGTGTGGCCTCTTGTATGTAATCAGTAGTGTTGAGAATAACGACTGCTGATCCTTTATCGGCTTTTTTTATGACGATTTCTGGGTTGTTTTTGAGACTATTGATTGCCGTTCTCTGTGCACGTGTGAGACTGTTGCGTGTGAACGGGATGGTGTTCATTTTGAGAAATTGGTGTTTAACTGATTTGATAAAGGCATCGAGCGTCAGGTCTATGCCTGGGTTAGGGGTCCAGGTGCTTCGTGGGCCAAACTTACGCTCTAGATCATTGAAGTTATCAACTGTGTCTGTTTTGTTTGTCTCATGGAAGAAGTGAGAGATTCTCATTCTCCGAAAAAAGGCTTTGAGATCTGTGTATATTTTGCTAAGATCCGTATCTAAGGGTGTAGGGCTAAATGTAAGGCCCTTGCTAAGAACACTAAGTTCTGTCTCATTACATTGATAATCAGACAGATTGACCACAAAGGCATTTTTGTAAAGTTCAGGATTTTTATTTGAACTGTTATTGTTAAGATTCAAATATGACAATTGATTGCTAATGTCTGTGTTGTTATTGTAGCTCACATTGAGGGCATTGGCAAGCTGCCGTAGGACCTTTTCCAGTTGGAAATTTCCTGACTGGTTCCGGGTCTTCCTTTTGAAGGTCTGTCTTGATTTGTTGTTGAACCGATTCAGGGGCCTGACGTGTCTGGGCTCCTGGCGGCGTGGACCCCATGGCGGTTGCGTGGAGTGGTGGTGGGTGCCATGAAGAGTTTAGGATCGTATGGGTTCCTCTCGTTGAACTCTGTTTTGAGTTCATTGAATCGTTTATCCAGTTTCGTGTGCCAATTTGTAGACTCCCGGGTGGAGATTGTTTGGCACGCGGCAAGTATAGTATCCAGTGACGTTTTGTCCGCATCCTTCTGGAGTTTGTTTCTCTCCATAGTGGCCTGATCTCTCAACTCACAGATGTTTACTTGTAGTTGAGAGATGTGCGTTTCCATTAATTTCAAGGCGCATGTTTTTGCCGCCTCGCTCCTGATTTTAGCCAATTCTTGATTGTAATTGGTTTGGTGTTGCAGGATGAATGGTCTGAACGACCTAGGTATCAGACATTTTTCCTTGCATGCGATTGTAAATTCCAGTTGCATGTTGTTACGGGCGATTTTGCTCGTGAGATTCCTGTATGTCTTGTAAGGACTGACTAGATTGTCGGGTAAGTCCACCGCTTTTGCGATGTTCTCAGTTGATTTGGATTCGATTGTTCCAAACTCAACTCTCTTCCTCTTACTAGATGGTTCGACTTGAACCACTGTAGTAATGGAGCAGCTCTCTAAGCTGCTAAAGGAGGAAGAAGGAGTTATTTCAGCCATAGCTCTTAGGTGATAGAGAGATGTGTGAAATAATAAATGGTTTTGGGCTAAAACCCAAGAGCAATCTTTGTGACGTCATAGTGATGAATGTCACTGTTATTAGACCTGTGACGTCACAACTCATGAGTTGGTTGTGACGTCATGTTCTGATTAGTTTATCAGAAGCGGGTTTGTGAAGAGGGAGGCTGTGTGATTTAATGCTGTCATTCCAGAAAAGAAAACAGAATAGGTGAGTGGGTTGGGGAAATCCAGGATTAGATCTTATCGTTCATGCCTTGCGGGGGGATGGTTTTGAGATCGAATATCCATTTAAGTTCAATGGACCGGTGTCTAGCCGTGCTCTGGGCTGACTCAGGGTCTGTTTTGAGCTGTTGTATGATTTGGTAGTGTAGGTCTCTGGTTGAGTGTCCTACAGAATTGAAGTGTTTGGCAACAGGTTTGTCCCTTTGGTGATTTATATCTGCAAAGTGTTCTTTGAGTCTGATACAGAAGTGTCGTTTGGTCTCACCTACATATTGTTTGCCACATTTGGTGCAGTTAAGCAGATAGATTATGTTTCTGCTTTTGCAAGTGAAATGTGGATGGCATTTATATTTTTTGCCTGTTGTGTGGCTATTGAAGGTGTTGACCGATTTCATGTTTGTGCAGATTTTGCAAGCCTGTTTGTGACAGCTATCATCTAAATTGGGCATCGTTCGGCCACTAATTTGTGGTTTAAGTGGAGGATATGTAATTGCCGCTTTCATGAGGATATCTCTGAGGGTGCGGTTTTTCCTGTATGCTGTGATGTGTGGGACTCGGAAAGTGTCTTTGCAGGTGTCTGATCCTAGGAGTAGGTGCCAGGATTTTTTAATCATGGAGCTAACCTTGAGTGCAGTGGGGTTGTAATCTGTAATAAAGATCACTGGTTTAGTGTCTTTAGGGGGTGTCTGTTTGGGTGTTAAGAGGGATTTTCTCTCTTTGGCGTTTGCTTTTGTTTCATTGTCCAAGAGAATTTTCTTTGGATAACCTCTGTTGAGGTAATACTTTACTAGATTGTTGCTGTGGAACTCATATTGTGATTGCGAGCTGCATATCTTTTTGAGTCGGAGGAATTGACTGTATGGTCCCTTGACTTTGATGTGTCGTGGGTGGCAGGAGGTGTATAGCAGATAGGAGTGTGTATCTGTAGGTTTGCAATATAGGTCAAAATCCAATTGATTTGTTTTTTGATTGAATATGACCCATGTGTCTAGGAAAGCTACTTTTTCTCTAGAGAATTCGGCAGTGAATTTAATTGTGGGATGTGATTGGTTCATTTCTTTGATGAAAGATTCTAACCTAGTGTAGCCTAGAGTCCAAATAAGGAAGATGTCGTCTATGAATCTGACGTAGAGGTTGGGGCTATCAGTGGTTTTGTTGAGAAGTTTTCCAATGTATGGGTACATAACTATTAGACCTGTGAAGATTCGGGTTAGAATAGGTCTTCAGCAACCCATGCTTGCCGTAAAAAGGCAACTTTGTTTGTTGTAAGACACAACTAAAGGCTTGGGTGGTCTGGCTCGCTGACTTGGCTGATGCATGTCATCGTATCCCAATTCTGTAAATCAATGCTCACAATGTCAGTCACTGGATTGTCTGGTCCAGTCTTGACTACTTACAGACTGACGTCATATAGCTGGAATACTGCTGAGTGCGGCGTAAACAACCAACAAACAAGCATAACTATTAATACTTTTAGAAACAAGTTAATGTCATTTTGTACAAATTCAAGGCTTTTCAAGTTATTTTGGTGATTTTCAAGGCCTTTCAAGTTTGACACAAAAAATAAACGCTTTTCAACAGGGACCTTAATAATCAAGACCTTTTCAAGCTGTGCGAACCTTGTCTTAACAAGCTCTTGGACAAGTTTCTTCATGACAGGTTGAAATACATTTTTAAACTAACATATTCAATTTGATTACAACTGAAGCAGAATTCAAAAGCACTTTGCAAGTCAATATAGTTGGGATAATTGAAACCTTGCTATGTCAAAGGATAGGACAAAACTAGATTGTTTTAGGGTAATTTCCGTACATAAGGCTCACAGGCCAAGCAAATGTGAAAACTCCAATTTTCTTTCTCTCCACCTCCATCCCCAGTACGATATAACAGGTCTTATGGTTTCGTTAGGTTTGTTTGTTGTTTTATGCTGCACTCAGCAATATTCCAGCTATATGACGGCGGTCTGTAAATAATCGAGTCTTGACCAGACAATCCAGTGATTGATATCATGAGCATTGATCCACGCAATTGGGTTGCTGAAGACCTATTCTAACCCGGATCTTCACGGGTCTTATGGTACATACTTTTATATAAAGACAGTTGCATATAAATCAACCAGCTATGATTCTTTCATATGAACTAAAGAAATGACTATGTGAGCGTTGTATTACTATCAGTTAACATTATAGTTGTTCCGAATATAATTATATGTGTGGTGTTATTTCTGATTATACTCTATATGGACAAAAAACAAAGATTGTAACATTAACAAATCACTTCAAACCTGACAGAAGCAAACACTTCCTTTGACAGACATTGATTTGTCATTCACCTGATGATGAAATGGTTAAATACCATTACTTAGGCGAAGTACCACCCAACTATCTTGCACATATCAACATGTCGATCCTAGTGGTTGTTCACCACTGTGGTCTTATATGACTATGATAAAGAAGTTTCCAGTTCTTGAGGTGTAAAACTGAATAACACAAAGCAACAAGATTCTGCAGCTCACCTGACTTAGGAAGAAATAAGTATTATCATGTTTAAAATCGGATCAGAATTTCTTTGGAAATAATTTGTGACATCACAGCTGACATCAACAAAGTTTCAGCTCCATGGGCCTTGGAGTTTCAGTTGGAAAGTAAGAAATGCAGTAACTCGAAAAAACAGAGGTACCAGCAGGTCAAAAGGTCACAGCTTGGTCATACAAAAATCAGATAATATGCTTTCAGTCAGGAGAGCTGAAGAAATATATCAAATATTACTCAGTATGTAAAAATATGTTTGCTGTAAAATTGAAACAGCACTAATGTGGTTTTGAACGTTCCACTTGCTACTGGCTAGCATATTTTCTTTCAGTCTTTTATGTACTTCTTGTAAATCAAGAGAACAGAGACTATTCCTGCCTACTCTGTGATACCCTGTCGGTGAGGATGTCTGTATTTTCATTGCTTAGATACATCAAAGTTTGCCATTGGTTTCAGATGGCAAAGTTTCAATGCACCTTGTAAGACATACCATATTTAGTTCTGAAAAAATTCAATTAGATAATTTCATAACCCCTGCTTTCTTGATAGAATTATTCATTAGCACTGACACTTGGGGGCAGACTAATCTAACCTGTTCTGTAGTTGTGTATTCTCTGAAGTGCATACAGTCTTGAATAGCTTGTCACATATTTCCGACCTCTTCAAGTTAAACAAATACAAAAGTTTGATGGCTGTTGAGTGATACAACTTTACATCTGTTCCTTTGTCATTATGCCCTGAAATGAAAATAGGCATAAACAATAAAAGTGTCAAGTACTGTTATGATAGAACTAACAGTTTTTGTCCACTAGTCCTCATATTGATAACACACAGCAAAACCCTTAAAAATGGCAAATTCTAGTAGTCCTTATGATACCTTTACTATTGAGTGAGTAAGTTTGATTTTACGACGCATTAAGCAATATTCCAGCAATATCACGACGGGGTACACCAGAAACAGGCTTCACGCATTGTACTCATATCAGGAATCGAACCCAGGTCTTCGGCGTGACGAGGAACGCTTTAACAACTAGTCTACCCGACTGCCCCTCTTAACTATTGGGCAGTTTAACAAATGTTATATTTGGGATAGTAAAGTACAGATTCCTGTACTTTTTTGGGTTGAGTGCCATCTGGGATTCAAACCCACACTTCCACCCACCTAATCGCCAGCACACAAACTCAGCAATCTAACCCACTTAGCCACTGAGGCTTCCACAATAATGAAAGTCCGACAACTTGCACTGTGTATTAATATTGGGCAGTTTGGCAGTTTCTATGACTGTATTGACAATAATATGAACCTACACATAATGGGTAAATAATATGTGAAGATGAAGAAAGAAAAAGAAAACAAGAGCAGCGCTTTACTTTTGCATGCAAACAACTTTAACCACTTGTAAGATAAGGAAGCATCTTCACTTGGTAATTGGTGTAACAGCAGACTTATGGCGACTGGGTGGTTACAATGTGAGACCTGGCTGTATGTGCATCAATGTAACAGGACATTCGTAACAAATGTAATAGTGCTAGTACCGAAAACAAAATAAGACAATAGTCCAAGGATAGGCTTTGGAAAATGCACATTGGATGACACTCTTTTGTCAACATGCCATTAGTTCCTATGATGGCTTTAAGCAATATATTTTGATTTATTATCTTAAATCTATTGTTGCTACATCTGATTTCAACACTTAATCATTATATTCAATCAGAATAAAACAAAAAAAACAAAAAAACACAGTGTCTAAAAGTCTTGTTAATGTCCAGTATAATAGGGTTTCACTGGGAACAGTCCAGATTAATGGTGTACAATCAGGGAGTAACAATTACAAAACATTGTACCAAAATGGTCAAAGCTTCTATTGATTTTAAACATTCTATAATGAAAAGACCTGAAAACACCATAATAGTTCAATAAAATGTGCACAAACAATGCCTTAACTGCACTAATAAACAGGAATTTCAGCTTAATATTTCATGTACCTTTCCTAACACCTTTAGGCCATGAGAATATTTATGAACAAAAGTTGAAGTCTAGGACATATTTCCATAAGCCAAGTCTAAATCCACCACCAACCCTAAATTATGAAGAATTAAGTTACAATGTCTGGTAGAAATTAAGAAGATGCTTTTATAAACAAATTCCTATTTATGAATTTTCACTGGGAACAGTCCAGATTAATGGGGTTTCGCTGGGAATAGTCCAGATTAATGAGGTTTCACTGGGTACAGTCCAGATTGATGAGGTTTCACTGGGAATAGTCCAGATTAATGAGGTTTCACTGGGAACAGTCCAGATTGATGGGGTTTCATTGGGAACAGTCCAGATTAATGGGGTTTCACTGGGAACAGTCCAGATTGATGGGGTTTCACTGGGAACAGTCCAGATTGATGGGGTTTCATTGGGAACAGTCCAGATTGATAGGGTTTCATTGGGAACAGTCCAGATTGATGAGGTTTCACTGGGAATAGTCGTGATTAATGAGGTTTCACTGGGAATAGTCCAGATTAATGAGGTTTCACTGGGAACAGTCCAGATTGATGGGGTTTCACTGGGAACAGTCCAGATTGATGGGGTTTCACTGGGAACAGTCCAGATTGATGGGGTTTCACTGGGAACAGTCCAGATTGATTGGGTTTTATTGGGAACAGTCCAGATTAATGGGGTTTCATTGGGAACAGTCCAGATTGATGGGGTTTTACTGGGAACAGTCCAGATTGATGGGGTTTCATTGGGAACAGTCCAGATTGATGGGGTTTCATTGGGAACACTCCAGGTTGATGGGGTTTCACTGGGAACAGTCCAGATTAATGAGGTTTCACTGGGAACAGTTCAGATTGATGAGGTTTCACTGGGAACAGTCCAGATTAATAAGGTTTCACTGGGAACAGTCCAGATTAATGAGGTTTCACTGGGAACAGTCCAGATTGATGAAGTTCACTGGGAAAAGTCCAGATTGATGAGGTTTCACTAGATAAAGTCTATATTATTGGGGTTTCAATGGGAACAGTCCAGATTGATGAGGTTTCACTAGATAAAGTCTATATTATTGGGGTTTCACTGGGAACAGTTCAGATTGATGAGGTTTCACTGGGAACAGTCCAGATTAATGAGGTTTCACTGGGAACAGTCCAGATTAATGAGGTTTCACTGGGAACAGTCCAGATTGATGAAGTTCACTGGATAAAGTCCAGATTGATGAGGTTTCACTAGATAAAGTCTATATTATTGGGGTTTCACTGGGAACAGTCCAGATTGATGAGGTTTAACTAGATAAAGTCTATATTATTGGGGTTTCACTGGGAACAGTCCAGATTGATGAGGTTTCACTGGGAACAGTCCAGATTAATGAGGTTTCACTGGGAACAGTCCAGATTGATGAAGTTCACTGGGAAAAGTCTAGATTGATGAGGTTTCACTGGGAACAGTCCAGATTAATGAGGTTTCACTGGGAACAGTTCAGATTGATGAGGTTTCACTGGGAACAGTCCAGATTAATAAGGTTTCACTGGGAACAGTCCAGATTAATGAGGTTTCACTGGGAACAGTCCAGATTGATGAAGTTCACTGGGAAAAGTCCAGATTGATGAGGTTTCACTAGATAAAGTCTATATCATTTGGGTTTCACTGGGAACAGTCCAGATTGATGAGGTTTAACTAGATAAAGTCTATATTATTGGGGTTTTACTGGGAACAGTCCAGATTGATGAGGTTTCACTAGATAAAGTCTATATCATTTGGGTTTCACTGGGAACAGTCCAGATTGATGAGGTTTAACTAGATAAAGTCTATATTATTGGGGTTTCACTGGGAACAGTCCAGATTGATGAGGTTTCAATGGGAAAAGTCCAGATTGATGAGGTTTCACTAGATAAAGTCTATATTATTGGGGTTTCACTGGGAACAGTCCAGATTGATGAGGTTTCACTGGGAATAGTCCAGATTAATGAGGTTTCACTGGGAACAGTCAAGATTGATGAGGTTTCACTGGGAACAGTCCAGATTGATGAGGTTTCACTAGATAAAGTCTATATTATTGGGGTTTCACTGGGAACAGTCCAGATTGATGAGGTTTCACTAGATAAAGTCTATATTATTGGGGTTTCACTGGGAACAGTCCAGATTGATGAGGTTTCACTAGATAAAGTCTATATCATTGGGGTTTCACTGGGAACAGTCCAGATTGATGAGGTTTCACTGGGAATAGTCCAGATTAATCAGGTTTCACTGGGAACAGTCCAGATTGATGAAGTTCACTGGGAAAAGCCCAGATTGATGAGGTTTCACTAGATAAAGTCTATATTATTGGGGTTTCACTGGGAACAGTCCAGATTGATGAGGTTTCACTAGATAAAGTCTATATTTTTGGGGTTTCACTGGGAACAGTCCAGATTGATGAGGTTTCACTAGATAAAGTCTATATCATTTGGGTTTCACTGGGAACAGTCCAGATTGATGAGGTTTAACTAGATAAAGTCTATATTATTGGGGTTTCACTGGGAACAGTCCAGATTGATGAGGTTTCAATGGGAAAAGTCCAGATTGATGAGGTTTCATTAGATAAAGTCTATATTATTGGGGTTTCACTGGGAACAGTCCAGATTGATGAGGTTTCACTGGGAATAGTCCAGATTAATGAGGTTTCACTGGGAACAGTCAAGATTGATGAGGTTTCACTGGGAACAGTCCAGATTGATGAGGTTTCACTAGATAAAGTCTATATTATTGGGGTTTCACTGGTAACAGTCCAGATTGATGAGGTTTCACTAGATAGAGTCTATATTATTGGGGTTTCACTGGGAACAGTCCAGATTGATGAGGTTTCAATGGGAACAGTCCAGATTGATGAGGTTTCACTTGGAACAATCTAGATTAAAGGGGTTTCACTGGGAACTGTTCAGGTTAATGGGTTTCACTGGGAACTGTCCACATTGATGGGGTTAGCTTCATCTGTGTCTCACGCACCTATAATTTCCAGTAGAGTCTCCACATACTGCAAGGGTGACAGAACTGCAAGTTTGAACTCAAGAGTTTTCAGAATGCGTAATTCTGATTGAAGAATACTGCCTGCAGTGTAGTTATGGCCAAGTTCACATAAGAATCTACGGGCTCTGTTAACTGATATTATCTGAAATGAAAGAGGAGTAGTTTAATGTGTGATTAAACAACACATAAGTTTCTTCTTTATGGAAGCAGCACAAAAGACAATCAGAGGTAAACAAAACAATCTACTATTTACCTATGGAAGGAATTGATACACAGGTTAAAAAGCAAGGACAAGAATGACATTTTCAAATTGTGTATGTTACTATCCATACAGACCTTCACTGGGTTGATCTGTTGACAGAACCACGAGGATGACTTTTGGGTGTCATCTTGAAAACTGGAAGTCTGAGACTCAGTCTAATAAAATGAAGTCTGGGCTTGCATACTAACTAAAGCATAACATTCTGAGAATATGGATGTTTTTTATAATCATACTTTTGATGTTGATAAGAACAAAATGTCAACATTTCAAAGATGTGATTTTCATACTGTATTTCGGCCATATTGCATACATGAGGAGACTGCCCCATGGCCTAGTGGTAGGGCATCTGCCCGTAGAGTGGAAGGGGTTTGATCCCTGTCCATGTCATACTAAAAGATGTTAAAAGATGGTACTTGTTGTTACCATGCCTGCCACTCAGCATTAAGGGGATAAAACAAGGACTGGTCAGCTTGGAGTCGGTATACTGTGTTTTCAAGTAAAACTGCGGATTTAGGATCTCAATGTGCTAGATAATAAAAGGTCAGACTAGCACACACACGCACGCCGCAATACAAGTGCAATAATCTTTAACATGACGTTAAACCACACTTCACCTAACCATATGTGCCGAAACAAACATTTACAATAAGAAGTTGCACATCTTCAGGACAAAACAATGCGTTTTCTGGCTGATTAACAAAATGCGGACGCCACAAAGACTTCATTGACATGTCTTAGTATTCTTCAAATCACTGATGATGACACTCTTGAATTCCATGAGTCTGTCTGTATAACTGTATTTGAGCAAAATGAATTGGAAAGATGTTTTTATTCTCATTTCTTCCAAGATGAATGTACTTCTACTGATAAGTGTGCTGTTATTTTTGTTGAGAGCCGTCACAGCCATTATAACTTGACAATAACTTAGTTCATATTACATCAAATATCATATGTTGTTAAAAAATACAGATAATTAGGCAATTTTAATTAGAAGTATAGAAGCTAAATTCCTGCATTTGTTTTAGAAATAGGGAAACTTCAAAGCGGTAACGTTTTTTTAAATGTAAATTGCAGCCATCAATCCTAAAAATCAAATTTGAGTTTCTACAAATGAGGTAATACAGATTCTTATATTTTAGTATTATTAGCAATTTAATAGTTTTGCAAGCATTATTCATAACTATTACCATTTTAATGCTGTCCAGAAAATTACAAATTAGAACCAATACAACTTATTTATAAACATGACCCGATATTATACAGCCATTTATTGTCTGTTATTATATTTTAGTCCATGATTATCTGCTGCATCACTCATTCTAACTAATTACTATAAATATGCCATTAACAGAATCCTGATACATGACAACTAAAGTTCAGCAGTGAAAACAAAATCCTAACAGAAGACATCCTTAGGTGTCTGGTTAGTACGAATCAAGCAGCCATACTGATGTTAACTAATTTTTATACAGTTGCGCCTTTTTTCATATTTTATAATACATCTGTTAAACCTAGCAGTGAATGGGTACCCAGTAGAATGCGATGGTTATGTGACTGGTAACCTTCTAGCACCTCACAGGCAGCATGGGTTGTATACTCCCTAGGGAGATGAGAAAGAAAATTGAATGTACACGGATGCAGTAATAATGGGTGTTGGTGCTTTGACCGTCAATGGATGGCCCATGCACATTACAAATATCCATTTCTTATCATATTATTATTAATAAGGCACCAACAAAAACATGTCTGCATTTTAAAGCACACAAAAACACAGTACCCTGTGGTGGGATGTGAGTTTGCTTGCAATCTGACAACAAGAGGTAATCCGAAGAGCTTGCTGCTTGATGATCCTCTCTAAGATCTTGTCCCAGTCCGACCTCTTGGTTTGGCTGTCTGATGTAAGGACATGATTATACAGCTCCTCAATGTGTCTGGTCATGAACCTGGGCACACAAAGAACACACAGCATGAACATGGTGAGATGCAGGTGGTACTCCTGCAGGAATTCTGCAGGTTTCACTTCCAAAAGACTATAGTACTCACTGTAGTGCTTTCCTTACATATACAGACAAGCGTAAAGACTTTACAGTCAAACTGTATATTATTTCAAAGTAGCTTTGGCTACTATAGCTTATCTAGTACAAACAGAGCTGTATCATTTCTGTGCATACGATAACTTGTCCAGCAAAAAAAATTGGTGAAGCACCAGACTAATTATATTTCACTGTAACTCATGAACTAACTCATGAACCAAACAAATAAACTGTCACAACTAACATTGTACTTGTAGCATTCTAACACATTGTTGTCTCCACAATATTAAGATTTGAATATCAAAACTATGATTTATTTAACTAGAAAAAATATATTGAAAAAACATTGAAGTACTGTTATTATCATTCTTTTTCATACTTTACTTCAGAATGGATTTAAATGGCAACTGGTTAGTTAAACAAATGTGCCAGCTGGTGGATAATGTTGACAATGTACCCCAATGGTATGGATTATTGCTTATGGTACCAACTACTGAATTTGCTTGGCCAAGGGTCGAGGCAGCTGTGAAGGTTGTCTCGCCAAACAACTATACGCCATAATCTCTACACTTAGTTAAAACAACAAAAGCAAACTACCCACTTAGTGAAATAGTTCAGGAGTAGGGATTAGATAGAGAGGAACAAACTGAGAGCGATGAAGCTAAGAAGGATGCCCATATGTTAACTTGAAGTTGGTTTCTTTACAAGTAACTATATTCATATAACAACTTGATAAGATAAAGTTTAGAGTATCTTTGAAAAAAAATACAAACATACATGACCATATATTTCATATAAGAGATTAAATGAGGTGAGTCAACCAATTAAAAGTAAGTAATCGAATTAAAAAGATATTAAAGTAACACTGGTATAAATATGTAACATTCCCCTTGCCACTCTTAAAACAAGAATTGCAGGTAGATCAGCTATCTATCAGAGATCTCCTAAAGCTAAGAGAAGCAATAATGAAGGCCAAAATAACTCTATTTCTGAAAGATGGCCAGCTACTCGAAGGTATCTAAACAGATCAGCCAATTTCTTTCAATTTATGAAAATAAAAAATGAATTCATATCAATACGAAAAAACAAATCTTATCAAAAACATAAATCTTTTTTATACGAAAAATACCAATAGATATGTATGTACCCTACTCACACACGATTCCCAAAGAGTGGCACGGATCAACCAAAATTGCTTAGGCAGCAGATGACCTCTTAATTCTCTCAACACTACCGTCAAACCCAATTGTCACCAACCGAGCCCCTGCTGTTGAATCCATTTTATCATAACTTTTTGTTCAGCAATGAAAAGAAAATACTCAAGTTCCTTAATTTCTACAAACTAGCGACTTTGGGTTTTTAATTAATTATAAACAAAAACAATCTGGATCGTCCTATCATTGATTGGATGAAATGGACACAATAATGGCAACAGCGGTAAACTCCACATGCAGCATGATCCCATATTACGAGTATTACAAATTACAATCTTTTGTTTTATTTAACTCGATTTTCTAGAATTATTTACATTGATAAAATTTTGTAAAATTATTCTCATATATAATCAGGATGATTTTTTGTCGATAAAGGAAATATAAATATTAACTCAGTTTAATATAATAATGTTAATATAAAAATCTTCTGACTCATGAAAAAACCATTCTATTTTAATCATTCAGTTTTCATGTTGTTAGACTAGTCCACTTCAGGATAAAGGGAACAGGCAGCTGCCCAGCTTTATGGTTTTTGACTCTGATGATTTTGTCATGTACAGAATTTGGGAGGATACCGCTGTGGTTGTGAACTAGCTGACATAGTAATACACCACGTGGGAACGCGGTTTCATAGTTCAAATGCAGTAGAACATGAGTTCCACGTCTTTACAAACTGTCCTTTACATTATTTAAATTATGCCAAAACATGAAAACTGTTTTTGGATTTTAGAAACAATATTTTATAATGTAGCTACGTAGCTACGTGGGAACGCGGTTTCATAGTCCAAATGCAGTAGAATATGAGTTCCACGTCTTTACGAACTGTCCTTTACATTATTTAAATTTATGCCAAAACATGAAAACTGTTTTTGGATTTTAGAAAAAATATTTTATATTGTAGCTACAAATTTTGAATATATTTTAAGGTATTTTATTTTACCTGCTTTTTATTATCAATTATTTTAGAAGTCTCTCCATTCCACATGGCTCAAATCACATCTTATTGTATTTGATTTGTATTCTATCTGAGGTGAGACCGGAATATATTATGTCTGACTGTGATATGCTTGAATACTGCTTATAACATTCAGTTACTGTGCTTTCTGAAAACATGCAGAATAAGTGCTTGAAATATTTATCTATTTATCTATTCTTATTTTGCTTTATTAGTCTAAACATTACAGTAAAACTGAATCTACTTTCAATCACATTTTAGCATTAAAATAATTGTTCTAAATAACCTCAATATTTTATTTTTAGAAATAGCAAAAGCTTCGCATCTGGGAAACATTTTCTGCAAATTTCATTGTTCCCACACACATATATACTCAATAGTTCTTCTTCACCGCTTTAATTATTTGTTTCACTGAAAGAGCTCACCTATTGAATATTTCCACTGCTAAAAGCTTTACTTGAGCTGACATTTTCATCCTGTCACATGCCTTGTAGAGCAAATCAACATGCTTGAAACTCTTAAAGCAATCCTACAACAAACATCAGTACATCAAGCTTGACATATTAGTAAATGAGTATAAATTGTAATATTTTCACCTAAGATATCCTTCTAGTCAAGTAATGTAGGGAATGCAAAAGGTTTTAAGTACCATTGGGCACCCTGGTCAGACCCTCAGCACACTCGCCACTTGAAATAGAATCACAAATATCATGATTATTAATTATAGAAGATAACTGCATGTGTGTTAATACTTATAAAATAAAAACAAGCCATCAGGCGATAAGGAATACTAGTAAGAGTAATGATAAGAATTGAAAAGTACGCTTTTTAAGAAATATCCATTTTGTGATGAACATTATCATTGAGTTTTGATCACGTGGTTACAATCTGGTTGGGATCAGTAGTCAGGTATTAGCACACATAAGCTATCTTTGTTAAATAATAAATGTGATATTTCATTATTCGAGGATGAGGACAATAGTCATAAGAAGTTATCTGGATCTGGTGGTTTGGTTTGGTGACGGCATGTCACCTGACAGTGTGGGTGTTCATCAGGACCATGTGCAGAAAGGTAACCTTATCGGCTCGGTATGATTCAGAAGCCATTCCCCTCCATCCATATAGAGTATTGTAGGTTAGTATTTAATTTTTTTTTGTATTTTATTGATTAACGCTGCACTCAGCAATTAGTTAGTTGGCCACCAGTGGAAAAGAGGCTTAGTTTAGATTTTTGTTCCCACATTTTCCTGTATACCGCCGTCATAAAGAAGCTGGAATATTTAGTCAGGGGTGAAAAACAAGATTTTCGTTCCCACATTTTCCTGTATACCTTAAACCTTTGCTATTGCATAAAGGAGGTATCTGTTCACAATTTTCATTGGGTAGTAAGCTTGCAAGTGTGTGTGGAGTTTTCAGGAAGTAAAAAATTGCATAAATTGAAGGGAAAATGCATAATTTGACAAAATTGGCTGTAACATTTTTATTAAGTCATTAAACTATCCAAATTATGTCTTTGATTACAGGTAATGTGTTCGCTTATCTCAATTTGGCAAACATTTTGTTTCATATAACTGTTATTCTAATTCACAGTGGAAACATTGATAAAAATAATGTTTTTTTACTTCATTTTCAAATCGTGTGAGTAGGTTAAACACTAATTCCATTGAATTGTGACAATAAAAAAACCACTATAACTGGGTATCAAAATCTGCCTGAACCATTGTACTATCCTATACACAAAACAAAATGAAAATATATTACATAGGGGCTGAGATATTGTATACAATACACACCAAAAAAACCAATTTGGACGAAAATTGCTTATTGAGATATGGTGGTAGATTATGTTGATGTAGTGGATGAGTGGGATAATTGCAACAATGCTTAAAAACACCAAACAAGTAAACTCATAAAGAAAAATGATGTTTCAAGTTTTTCTGTGAACATCTACGATTTCAAGATGGCCGACATTTTGACCTGTTTTCAAAATCAAGATCTAATATATAGTTCTTCAACATGGTCATGTAATATATCATATGAAAGCTTTTTTCATTGTCTTTTCAATGATGTACATTATTCACTGACTTCTGTGGTAAATTGATCCCCAACAATGAATAAAAATAAAAATTGAAAGCTAATTTCTCTAGCGACTTCAACCAATACCCAAATTTAGATTTAAATTAAATCGACATATTTTCAATGCAGATATACTGCACTTTTTTGTGAGCATTTCACTAGTTTATCATTTGAGTGAAGAAACAAACATGAGAATACTTGAAGTATAATAAAATGTATTAAAAATAAAATATGAAATAATGTCACCTCTAGTGCCCTTCATCTGGAGAGGTAGGTAAGTTGTTTCTGTTTAGGCATGACATAGCACAACTGCATCCAAGGGAACATCCCATGTTGTTCTTGGCACAGCCACACCTGGATGAGGAGCATCTGCCTGTTGTGCATTTACAGGTGAGCTTTCGTTTCTGGGTCATTGGGATGGGTTCTATGACAGACGTCCATCTATACTCTTCTGGTGGTGGAATGTCAGCCTTTCCTTTGTGTGCAGAACACCACGTGATGCAAATGTGCTGACATCTGAGTAGAGGTTGTGTGGTGGGAGTATCACAACTGCATCCATGGGAACATCCCATGATGTTCTTGGCGCAGCTACACCTGGATGAGGAGCATCTGCCTGTTGTGCATTTACGGGTGAGCAATTCTAGACACAGTGCTGGCTTTCGTTTCTGGGTCTTTGGGATGGGTTCTATGACCTCCTCAGTAGACGACCACCTATACTCTTCTGGTGGTGGAATGTCAGCCTTTCCTTTGTGTGCAGAACACCACGTGATGCACTGGTGCTGACATCTGAGTAGAATTTGTGTGGTGGGAGTTCCTCAAGGTCTCCAACTCTGTGGAACATGTCAGCTGTAAGTGTATTAATGCTAGTTGCAGTCGATGCTGGATTGTACACTTTGATGACAAATGGTTCTGTCTTTTTTATGTTGAAGGCACCAGTTTCTTGGTTTCTGTTGGTTGCAACATATATGGTTGGGCGATAAATATGTTCCAGGTCGACTTCTTGCCAAAACCACTGAACTGGCTATTTGTTCATGGCTACAACCATGACCGCATGGAATGCTGGTATAGCTGCTACAACATCTGGAGTGAGAGATTGATGTACATTATCAACTTGTATCAATAACACATCAGTGCCTCGGTTGTGAATGACAATGTGGTCGTACACATTGCATGAGGCATCCATGACATTCATCATCATTCGTGTATCTGCCTCTTCATGTGTTTAAAGTAGATTTGGTATTGCTGCAGATTGGTCTAAGGAAGATATTACATCATCAACTGGTATGAATCGAGGTGACAAGCTTTTGTTACAGTTCATTAGAGTTTGTTAGAGTATAACATAAAAAGGACAGAATCATTTGGAGGTTGGTTGGTGTTGCTAGAGAAATTAGCTTTCGATTTATCATTTGTTTTATTGTTGGGGATAAGATTACCACATAAGTCAGTGAATAAGGTACATCATTGAAAGGACAATGTAAAAAGCTTTCATATGATATATAACATGACCATGACTATATTAGATCTTGATTTTGAAAACAGGTTAAAATGTCGGCCATCTTGAAATTCAAGATGGCCGTCGCAGATGTTCACAGAAAAACTTGAAACATCATTTTTCTTTATGAGTTTTCTAGTTTGGTGTTTTTAAGCATTGTTGCAATTATCCCACTCATCCACTACATCAACATAATCTACCACCATATCTCAATAAGCAATTTTCGTCAAAATTGTTTTTTTGGGGGTGGGGTAACATTGTATACAATATCTCAGCCCCGATGTAATATATTTTCATTTTGTTTTGTGAAAAGGATAGTACAATGGTTCCGGCAGATTTTGATACCAGTTATAGTGGTTTTTATTGTCACAATTCAATGGAATTAGTGTTTTACCTACTCACATGATTTGAAAATGAAGTAAAAAAACATTATTTTTATCAATGTTTCCACTGAGAATTAGAATAACAGTTATATGAAACAAAATGTTTGCCAAATTGAGATAAGCGAACACAATCAAAGACATAATTTGGATAGTTTAATGACTTAATAAAAATGTTACAGCCAATTTTGTCAAATTATGCATTTTCCCTTCAATTTATGCAATTTTGACTTCCTGAAAATTCACGCACACACTTGCAAGCTTACTACCCAATGAAAATTTTGTACAGATACCTCCTTTATGCAATAGCAAAGGTTTAAGGTATACAGGAAAATGTGGGAACGAAAATCTTGTTTTTCACCCCTGGCCAACTGACTAAATATTCCAGCTTCTTTATGACGGCGGTCTGTAAATAATCGAGTCTGGACCAGACAATCTAGTGATTGATATCGTGAGCATTGATCCACGCAATTGGTATACGATGACATGTATCAACCAAGTCAGCAAGCCTGACCACATCATCCCGTCAATTGTCTCTTATGACAAGCATAGTCGTCTTTTATGACAAGCATGGGTTGCTGAAGACTATTCTGACCTGGATCTTCACTGGTGAGTATTTCACTTATACCTTTGTGTTGCCATTCAGTCTCTCTGAGTTCATGGCACTGAGATCAAGAAGCCATTGTTCCAAGAGTTCAGGTGTGACACCACTCTCCTTGTGGTTGAAGAAGGGCTCCTGGGGGGTTCCAAATATTCCCACATCATTCTGAAACATTTCGCATGTGTACATTGAACATTCAAGTTTTATCGTTTTTTCCATTATTTCAGTTCCATATGAAAAGAGAAAAAACTCCAAAATAGGAACATATATATCCCTTCCCCATGCTAGTACTGAACCTGAAGTGAGGTTTCAAGTTTGGGATTTCAAGTCAAATCCTCAAATTTAACTTGTCTTCTAATTGTACAATTGTTCTTATTGTTTTGTAGGGTTTCAAGTGACAGTAAGACAACAAGAATAGTCCAAGACAAGGTCCTGAATTCAAATTGTCTTTTTACAGCCCCATCAGACAACTCCAAAACTATTCATGTAATGATGTTTTTACTCATTGTTTTCTTATTTAAGTTGCTGTTCTCCAGTTTTCAAATCATCTTTTTCCCCTAAAAAAGACTAGTTGGATACAGCAAAACTATGACATTTACAGCATTGTTTTCCATTTCTCTTTATCTTATGTAACAATCTGATTCCTAATAAGCCTATCCTTAAACATATATATTTATACAGTGTTCAAAATTAAGGGGGGTCCTGGGGTCCTTGAGATCGCCCCTATGTTATTTGAATCAAGGTACCCCCTAAATCTTTAACTTCTATCATTTGGGTTATGACAGGGACTCCTTGACTTTCAGGTTTAATTACATATTGAATTTATCTGAAAGACAGGATATGAAAAAACAATGTACAACCACATAGCATAGACTTGTTGTAAGGATATGCATTTCTAGGAGTAACAGGGGCACAGGTGGCCCAGTCATCTTTGGTGTCACAATTTGCTATACAGAGTTGTGTCCCTTTGGCAGGCCACAAACCTGTGATTGTGGGTTAGACTCTTTGTTTGCCCTGATTATGTTTCTTGGTTTGTCAGCACCATACCCATGCTTGTGGGTTTCACCAAAGTGGTAGACATCCGACATGCATCACTTCGGGCATTCCTCCCACATTAAGCTGACACCCTGTGATATGACTGGAACACTGTTCACAGTGGCGTTAAACCTCACTTACTCCATGCAAACACTTGATCACTGTCACTGAATTACAGCAATTACTACAAGCTTTGGCCAGCATTGTATTACAATACTGTAATCTTGTATTGTATTCTTAGGTCATCTTACTTGTGTGTTTGACTTAGGTATATGCCAAGTGTATATTCTGTAATATCTTCATAAAATGATTTCAAGTAATAAATGTATATGTATCAGGTATACAGTTATACTAAAATGTAGTATTTCTTAATTCATAATATATAATAACATGCTCATATTCCATACATGCTAGTGTAACTGTATATAGACTTATAAATGTAAATGATAGAAAATTAGTCAAAGGACATACTATGGACAGACATAAAAACATTGCATGCCCAAGCATATTTAGACCTTTGGTCCTACTAAGCAGTGATTTGTGTAGAATTTCAAAACAAGTTCTTCTGGCAGACATACTGGGAATCATTCAGTATTTGATAGCATATAAACTGGGATTTTTATTTAAGTTCTCATTTTCTTGGAATTTGAGGTATTTTAAAATTGCATTCATTGTTTCAACGCAATATTGTCAAACTACTGTAAGTATGAAATTTTTTATTGGTACTTATAATTATACTAACCTACACTGGTAAGTTTCTAATTCCGGTTTTGGTAGGTGGACTTGCGGACTAATATAGGCCAGGGCTCGATGTAGCTATATAATACATGCACAAGTGCAACTTATTGAAAAGTGCAACCTAATATTTATATCAACATGCACTGAGTACATGTAAAAAAAATAATTTGTGTATGACTAACCCTTACTTGTCCACACAAGATCGATCTTTGAATACATCCAATACCTTTTATTTACCAAACTACATAATATATCTCAGTGTTAATAGATATGTGTAAAAATCCTGCTTTCTCAGGTTTGATGTCTATCAAACTGTGGGTTTAAAGCTTATATGCACATTCTTTTTACATCACAGCAATGCGTCATTTTTTTTTATGTGACACTGGCAGCAGAACAGCCTATGTTCCAACGTAGATCAATTTATGGGACTAGGGTGCAAGGTTTTGTTTGATGCAACTTAGTTTTCATGTCAACATTCACCTGGTGCAAGTGAGATCAAATTCCTCAAATTGAGTCCTGTAGGCCCTGAAAATGGCTTCATACCTCAGGTAAGTCAAAAATAATAATGCTTGGGCACCTATTGGAGAAATATTCTGATAAAAGAGCAAACCAAACACAATACTCATCGTTCATCAGGAACTTCACTACCTGTGGTTTACATGCCATGTTTTCTTTTTCTTAGTCTTCACCCAAAAAGCATGTCAAGGCGATATTTTCCAAAAGTTCTATAATAGAAAACATGATAATTATAAACTTAAAATACATCACTCAGTGAAATGAGTCACTAGTCCAAACACAGGTCTAGGGAAATATCTTAGCTTTGCTAATAAGTCTACAAACCAGTCTGAGATACAGTTTTTCTTATTAACAAGAATACCAGTATTTAGGGCTGGGATGGATAACTCGGGTACTCGGGTTGGGTGGGTACTGAGTAGGACCCAGGTACCCGCAGGTCTAACTAGACCCATGGTTAGTCAAGTGATAAAGTGTTTAATGAATAGTATTGGATACACTATAACTTCATGGTTACACCAATGTTTGCTTTTCTTTCTTATTATTTCTTATGCATGCATTCCTTGTGACTTTTATATGTTTGAATAAAGACAAAGCTTCAACCAACTTCAGTGTATGTATGACCATATTGTTTCATACGTGTGTCTGAATACTTTTTGCCAGGGCTCCGGTAAAACATTTCCAAGCAGACATTTTGTACCCAATTCTTGAGACTTATAGCAGGTACCTAGGTATAGTCGGGTAACAGGGGAGTCAGGTACCCGGGTAGTAAATTTGGACTCCGCCCTGCCCTACTAGTGTAGAAATAAAACTAAAAGTCAGTTAATAATAACCCATTTGGCTAAAATATATTATAAATGATACTGCAAGACAAGTTTGGAACAGCAGATCAAACAAATATTTCGAATGTTACGTTTTAGTTTAATCTCTCTTTATATATTCTTCGTACGAATATGTGCACACTCTCAATAAAATATCATTAAGAAAGATGGGCTGCTTCAGAGAAACCAGTCAAGCAAGTTGGATGCTTGACCAGCTGTTGACACGGCAGGCTCAACTGTGACGTAAAGCATAAGTAAAACATGCTGTCAACAGGACAAAAGATACAGATTACTGAACATATTCAAAACCCAGGAAGAATTTCCGCATGCGTGATATAAAATAATATTGAATACGATTACTAGTAAGACACAAGCACATGGATCATCACAAACTTATACCAAAACTAGCACAAGCAGACGACAAGCACCTGTCTCAGTAGTGTGTTATTATTTGCAATTGATTACTCTCTTCAAATCAATATAGGAAGTCTATTACTGAAACGTTACGTTAAATGAGATACAGAACTTCTTTATTTCTGCTCTAAATAACTTTCCCTCATTACGGTGGAAAATATATCTCTAATTTGAGTACAAATCATTTCCGTGCACAGACTGCTCCCAAACAAACGGATACGGAAATCGTCTGGACATGCGCACATCCATTTACTAATATTTTTCATTTACAAAATATATGTCAAATATAGTTTGTTAATTTGAGATTCTTTAATGACCACCACACATTTAGCAGTTGGAAGGAAGGTAATTCTCATGTGAATGTATTCATTAATTAACCGGACTGTGTAGGTAGTATAGATCTGAGGAGCTTTCCTTCCTCATACTCACGAAGATTGGGAACCTAACCGTAACGACTAGGCCTAAGTGATGGCCAGGTTTCCATCATATATGAAACAGTAGATGTCATCACGTACTAATTGTCTAGTGCTTTATATCTATAATGCCTCTCAAAATGTTCACTGATCTTGCTTGAGGAAAACGACTTTATAGGGTAAAGTCTTGTCCTTTGAGTTTGATTCGATCTGGGCGAATCAAAGTAAGAAATAATTTAGTTCTCATGTTAGGGATGGTTTAGTTATCTAAGTTAAAGGAATAACCTAATGTCCGAAACGTGATGAAACTTGTAATTTGTTGATATTTTGAATTTGAGCTATTTATGTTTATGTTCATGATAAGTCACGAGGTTTGGTGAGATATGAAGAGTGTCTTTAGTATAAATTAGTGGCAACACTCTGAATGAGTCCAAACAACTCCCACTGTAGACATGATAAACACGAGAGTCATTGAAAGTTTGAAACGTGTTCATAAAATGTGAATGTTATAACATATTTTTGACAGTTTTATGGAACCAAAAAACTCTGTTTTGCTTTATATTTTCATCATAACATGGGCACCAAAATTCTGAGTCAAGACAGACTGTCCTGAGTGATGTACAGTATTTCACGTGAACCCAATTTTGACAGGCCAGATGTGTGCACTGTCAGTCACATCTCCTGTTATAGTGCAACAAATCACGACCAATGTGCCTGTTTGAAAACAGGTGTTGTTTGAAAATTAGGCACTCGTCCACAACTACTGTCTGCTCTGTAACATATTTTAGGGTCACAGATTTTGCACAGATGATGATACATAAGTTTTCAGCATGAAAAGCCATACTTGTCCTTGGGGTATCATGATTGGCATCCTTGTTATTTTTGTGATGGAAGCAGTTAACACCTTTTCTGTCCTTCCTCTGAAATACATGAGTATTTCATTGTCTGTGTGTTGTTATTCCAAAATATAGAGGTAGTATTGTATCGTGACCTGTGTGTATCGAGATGTGTATTGTTACATCCTGAGTTCCTTTAGGTTTGCTGGTATAGTATTTAAATGTTGGGACACTCTACATTTAATACTATTACAGTAAACTTCATTGATAATGAACATGTTTTCAATGAATTGACGGATGTAATGAACTGTTTTTTTTTATCCTGGCCATTTCCTGTATACGCTTATAATGAACTACGGTTATCATGAACATGCTTTAAATGAACTGACAGATATAATGAACTGGCTTTTTTGGTCCCGGCCATTTGCTGTACATATGCTTATACAAACTATGGTTACAGGCCACAAAGTTAAAAAAAATTCAAAGGAGCCACTTGGCTCCTAAATTTTTTTTTCAAGGAGCCAAATAGAATTTCAAGGAGCCAAGACAAAATGTAAGGAGCCAAAAGTAATGAATTGTAATTTAACTGAGCCTCTGCATAAAAAAAAATAAAAAAATCCATTAGTTTGAATAATCAGTTTTGTATCATGAACAACAACTGTTGACGTGTTGTTGAAGCTTTTGAGTTTTTCAGACAAACAAGCTTTAGAACATTGTGTCAGTAACATCATCTGACAGTTTACCGGTGCCAGTTGCAGGTTTTGGTTCATCGAACGTGTAGACAGACGACGAAACTTCCGTGTCAGCTTCGCCATTCAAAGCATTCCGTATTATCTTGAGTATACTGCGCATTTATTTTTAAAAAAAGCACAGCTGTGTAGAAGGGGGTGCGCATTATACACGAAATAATGAGTTTTGATGTTTTTCCCCCATGGAAAGACATTACTGTAAGCACGTAACACCGGAAATACCATGTCAACAAATCCATACTGAAGTACGCAAATAAATCATGTAATTACACTGTCTGACTATAAAAAGTGTTCTTTGTATATCTGGACTTATGTTAGTAACTTATTTCATTAATTTTATTCAAAATTACTTTTAATATTATTTTAATTTATTTCGGCGAAATCGTGTGTGAAGCGATCAGAAGATCTAACTAACGGTTATTAAGAGAAACCACGGTCAGATTACCGCTATTGACGCCTTGAAACGAACTTTAGTTGACAGAGAATGGATACATTTGTCATAAATGTCATACTTTGACTCGTTAAAAGTCATATTTGTTTTTGTTGGACGATTCTATGTCAACACGTAATTCACGCGATCACGTGCACGGGAGCCTTGACGGTGACCGGTCAGACTGTGTGTTCCATGTAAAACCATGTAATACCCGGTAATAGCAATCAGCTGCTTCGCTTAGGGTTATTATTATTTCAAATATGTTTAGTAAAAGCTGCATCTAAATTAACAAGATATTGGAATATATTATTCCTGATAAAAAGAAGAAGTTTCGGATACATTTTTTGCCGATCCTTGCATTAAAACCCTGTAAATTTATATCATTGGGTGTGACTTGACTGAATCACCGGTAAATTCCAAGAAATTGTGTGTACAGCTGATTGCTGTGTCCGGCTTAGTTTACGAGAAGATACACATGGTAATCTTAATCCCTGGATATAAAACAATGCCCAGCAGAACAAAAAAATACAATTTAAACGGTAAATCAACATGTCTGGTGATTTTTTATCTCAAATTTCGAATTTGTACTGACCAAGTTTCTCATCACCCGTTCATTCGCTAAAGGGGTAGATATATCTAGTCACGTCAAAATAGTATATATTTGTATGGACCTACCTATAATATCATTCATTTATTAAATCTATCACATTTCACAATGTCTGAAATACGCATTCCATATCAATTTATCATTTTTTTATCACTAAATCAAAAAATTATTCACTATTTCCCGCGATGTTATTGAAAATATAATTCTCGGACACACATTTCAACAACGGGTCCACATCGAACATCTCAAAGAGCAAAATAAAGACGTTTTAAACAAATCTTTTATATATTATACAAAGTAATAAATAAATTCAACAAAAATATATCTAAAAGTAATCAAACTTACATCTAAGTTATTATTTCCATCTTTTCGTGCGATCGCGTGTAATGTAAGTCAAATGACATCTCGGCTTTCGTCGCCTTAAATTCTCGGCTCGGACACGATGTTTAATGCAAAAATATATGCATGAAAAATCTGTCACAGCTTGTAACCTAGCACGATACATTCACGAAGTTCCATATTTTTAATATATATCGTGATTTCCTGCCTTTTAGTTCAGAATAACATGATTTAACAAAAATCTTTCGCCAACTTCTGAAATTTATCAAACACGAGCTTGGTATCACCGCTGAAATTTGATTGGCTGCCTGAGGTCATGTGCTCAAAATTGACCAATCACGAAACTTGTAGCAGATTTCGGCAAGAAAGCGTCATTAGAAACCAATTTTATTCTAATGAAATCGCTTGTTATAACTACGGAAAAAAAACAGGCGATGTTACGAAATCTCTCTCAGCCAATTTATTGTACCATTTTACAAGTAGTTAGACATGTAGACAGTGATGGTAATTTCCAATATTACTTGCCTCCGGACAAATTAAAGTAAGTGATTTTGTTGCCCAACCTCGTATTTCTACTTGCCCCGAGAGTCGGGAAATGGCAAATTTCCACCCCTGTTCCCCCCTCCCAAAATACTGAATCCGCTAGAGAGGGGTGCGCACTATACTAAAGAAAATACGGTATTCATCATTTGCCGATTGACAACGATTTGTTGTTGTTTTGACTTGCGCAAATATAGAAAAATACTTCGTGTTTTTGAACGGCGAAAAGACCGCCTTAGCTGTCACCTGGGCGGATGTCGTACAGCGCATGCGTGGGTACTAAACTCTTAACATCGTTAGTGCATTACTTAATAACGGTAAGTGCTTCCTTCATTCCAGGTATGGAGCTTCATATCGAAAGCGAAAACAGAACACATGGCCAACAGTGATCTTGTCGATGTTATTATGTTCTGATATCGATTTTTTTCACTGAAGTTACCGCACTTATATTAAAAACGATCTTTTTTAATATCTTATGACAAGAGATATTTAGTCGCCAAACTTAATTAAAGACAAGGAGCCAGTTGGCGACTGACATGAAAATACCAGTCGCAAAATACAAAACTAGATCGCCATGGCGACCAATTTAGTCGCAACTTTGTGGCCTGGGTTATAATGAATACGCTTATAACAAACTAACAGATGTAAGAAACTGTTGTCTTTTGTCCTAGCCATTTGCAGTATATATGCTTATTATGAACTATGTTATAATGAATTAAAATTAGTGGTCCCTTTGAGTTCATTATAACCATAGTTTATTGTACTTTTCAGCAATAGCTCTGTCAATCCTTATGGCAATGACCGTTTGGCTTTCCTGCTTTATTTCGAACATCAGGAAGTGACCTTTTATTTCCTGGGCAGACAATTATCAACAATGATCAAAGGGGCTTTGAATGTTGCTGCTTTATGGCTTTTGTCATTTCATTATACATGTAGTAAGTACACTTGAGCGGAAATGTTCCTTTTGAGGTCAGGGCAGAGCCAAGAGTGTTTTCAGTGTAAGTAATTCAAAATCTGAAAAAAATCTGCATTTTACTGTGCACCCTTTGTTTATCAGTGTTTGAAATTATTGTTAGAAAGTTAAAGTCAGGGAATATCTGCGTCTTCATAAATATTTAGTATGAGCCATGTCCATCTTCACTGAGGAAAAAGACAGGTTTGGAATGGACAAAGCCATGAAGGAGATATGGTATTTGGGCTTCCAAGGCCATTAGAAGTCATTGATTGAAATAATGAAAGAAAGTTAAACAGGAAACATGGTTAAATTAAGTGGGTACTGGAGAGTTTTGTTTACTGCTGGTTTGTTTAATCTGGAGAACCCTAAAGTCTTTCATTTTGACATGATAGGATTATCAATATCATAGTTATGACTATGATGATTTGACTTTCTTCAGGAAATCCGATATAACTCTGTAAAACATGCGCTAGTGCAACTTTATTGATAAATGCAGCCTATTATTTGTTACTACATCTCAAAATTTTTGAGCCCAGATTGCTGAATGGATAGATAATGAACAGTTGCTGCCTTGCTACTGTTTTCTATGTTCCTTCCCATGTGTTATATGTGTTATCCTACATACCATTCAGATCCATGGATTGGGGGGGGGGCTGAAGGTGCATGTTTGCTTGCTCAGACGGCAGTAGGGGAACTGGGGGATTCTGTGGTATCAGCATCCTGAAGAGATAAGATGGGCATGCATAGAGAGTCAACCCTCCTGCTCCATGGGTACCCCAGGATAATGTTGTTTAACGCTCAGTCCTGCCATGTCTTGGCAGCCTGTAAATAATCCAATCTCAAGCAGGTAATGGGTGGTTGATAGCATGACAGCATCAACATTTCAGGGACCATGCAGACCATCTCTTTAATTTTTCCAAACTTCCGTCCCCTTGCTTTTGCAGGCCTACCCAAAGTACATATTCTTGGACTGTTTCCTTATCTACAGATGTGTGCAACAAGGGTAGAATAGGTCGTCAGCAACCCATGCTTGCCATAACAGGTGACTGTGCTTGTCGTAAGAGCCGACTAACCATGCTAACAGGATCGGGCAGTCAAGCTCACTGAATCGGTTGATGCATGTCATCGTATCCCAATTGCATAGATTGATGCTCATGATATCAATCACTGGACTGTCTGGCCCAGACCTGACTATTTACAGACCGCTGTCATTTAGCTGGAATATTGCTGTGTGCAGATTTAGACAACAAACAAACGACAAAATGTGTGTGCTAATACATGTACATATAATCATGAGATAATTTTCAACTGTTTCAGATAACGTTGAGATTTTGTTGTCATTGACTGGATCTACAGTACAGCAGCAGTATTGCAAGTACAAACGCTTACCAGCATGTCTCATTAACAAATACCTTGGCCAAGTCTCCTATGAAGGTTCAGCATTCTATGCTAGATCAAATGAAAACCAAAAACTTTTATATCATCGTAGTCTTCATTGGAGCTACCAGTTTATCATTATGGCTCTTCAACTATCCAACAACCAGCTTTCGTGTTATTGTCACCAAAACTCACAAACAAATCAACAATATCAAAAATCTGCCGTCAAACATGCAGAAAAAGTCCATGCAAGAACTAAGCGTGGACCCTGTGTATCTGAATGCATTGGGATTCTCGGATGACACAGTGCTGATAGGACACAGAGGGTCGGGACAGAAGTCTCTGCCCGTCATAGCCACCAGTGTGGAGCCGGGTAGGATGGAGAAGACTGTGTACTTTATAAACTCTGTCAGGAAGTACATGGAGACCAGACATCTCGTACTTGTGGATCTCGGAGTTTCCAAGACCGAGAAAGCCATGGTGAGAAGAATATGAAAATATGAGATGTCAAATAAGTTATTTGTTGTATTTTGCTATTGTAGAATCCCCAAATGATAAGGGGACATGGGTGGCCCATTTGTCTAAGGTGCCGCAGTTCGCTGTGCAGAGTTGAATTTCTAAGGCACGCCAGAAAGTTGTGGTCGTGGGTTTGAATCCTGGTTCACTCCAGTTATATTTCCAGGTTTGTCAGCACCATACTTGGTCTCATGGGCTTCACCAAAGTGGTAAACGTCCGAGACCTGCATCATTTTGGGTTTTCCTATTCCTTTGGTGGCTCTATGCATGGAGGATGAAGGGTTTCACAGATTCTTTAGCATGTTTAGTGTTTCCCAGTTGGCTGTAAATAGCATAACATCTAAGTGCCTTTTAGCCCATTTGTTTTGTGCCCCACAATATCCAATCTTCAGTCTCTGAAATTAAAAAAACAAATGATTCAGTGTTATGATTCACATGCAAAAATATAGAATGTGAACTTTATGTAATGAAAGTAATGAAAGTACTATATTCATTATATATACTATATACTATATCATTATTGGGATATGAATCGTATAGCACCCATAGTATCTGGATAGGTACAGGATATGAATTGTATCGCACCCATAGTACAGTGTTTCTGGATACGTATTGTATTGCGACCCTACCGTAACGTTACACCTCTAGTGGACATGCTGTTGATAGTCGCCTATGCTGAACATGATGCTGCTTCTTTGATGATGATATTCAGGATGTCTGCCATTTCAGTTACGAAGGAACTGTAACAGCACATGGAACTGTAGAATCAACATTTTGAACTATGAGAAATATCCCTCACATGTGCAGTACCTGGACATAAAGAGTTACCGGCCTATATGTATTCAGGTGAGTTACCCATGCTTTTGGTCAGTAGGGGTGTTGGCCAGCACTCTAATCAGTAACATGACAATTGTGACCATTGATTAGTGATAAGATCCTGACTGATTTCCTTGTGGTAATGCCGTAAAGTATTACATTAACTTTACTTTACATTAACTAATTATGTAGTTTTGCCAGTGTCAGCTGATGCATGTGTGACTCTTCTTGACATTTTGAAACACTTAGGGTATACACAGGAGTTTTCAGATTTGCAGATGTTATTGAGCATTTGATGACTGGAAATGTCCTTTGGAACAGACAGCACTAGCCAGAGGTTTCTCATGTTAACATTTCCAGGTGTCTAATACTCATTAACACCCACAAATCTATAAACACTTAATGTTTACAGACAGACTTAATTTTTATAGTGAAATACTAAAGTTACTAATAATTTTCCACAGAAGAAATATGAGATAAACATGACATCACATCCTGGAATGATGACATGGCTATGTCATGCTGGAACTCTATCCTGGCTGTGTCATGCCGGAACGCTGTCATGCTGGAATGCTGTCATGGCTGTGTCATGCTGGAATGCTGTCATGGCTGTGTCATGCTGGAATGCTGTCATGGCTGTGTCATGCTGTCATGGCTGTGTAATGCTGTCATGGCTGTGTAATGCTGTCATGGCTGTCATGGCTGTGTCATGTTGTAATGCTGTCATGGCTGCGTAATGCTGGAATGCTGTCATGGCTGTGTCATGCTTTGACATCATGATACAGTGGCTGACGCCTGTGCTTCAGTGATAAATGAACCTGCAAGGTTAGCAGAATGGGGTAGATCACAACTACATCAAAGTTGTCTTGATAAATGTTGATCAAACCGGATGTTTATGTAATGTGTTATCCCTTTCACCAACCCAAACTTTTCAAATTTGGGATGGAGGAAAACAAGAGACGTTTTCATAGGAAAGTCAGAAAGAAATCCAGGATCCAATCATTTCACAACATTTTCGGTCAGATTGCTGCACACACTCCCATCCATTTTACAATGAGACTTTGTTTGCTTGCATTTATTTGCCTGTATTTTCTTCTGCAGGAACTGCTGACTGAGTACGGAGCTGTCATGTGGGTTGACACATCTCTCTACTTCACCAACAGCAAGATCAACGAAAGTCTTGCCCTGGCACAAGCCTCAGGGATAGCTGCATGGACAATACAAGACCCCACATCTTCTTTAACTCACCCAAAAATGTTTCAGTTCTTCAAAACAAAACCTGATGAATTTTATTTCCACCGAGCTGTAGAATCCAGCCATCTTGTAATATACAACACAGAGACTATCCACCGAGAACTGATGCTTCCCTGGGTGAAGTGTGCGTTGTTGGAAGAATGTATTAGTCCTACCGGTGCTCAGAACGTAGGCTGCAACTATCTGAGAAAACCCTTATTTAAATATTCAGGCTGCCACCATTATGATATGTCAGCCCTTAATGTTATTTTAGGACTATTGTTTGATTTCGAAGTGTCGAAATATTCTTCATCGGAGAAGATCTTTGGAACTGTCAGTAAAGACGGCATGAATTACACAACGCCTCAGTTTAAGCTGAGGTCAGTGAGTTGATTTTTTAACCATGCTGACTTTTTAGATTTACAGCATGTTCAACTGACAGTGGGAAGATGTTCCTGTGAATAGAGCATGTTGTAGGAAATTATCAAAAGTATTTCTGGAAGCGTCACCCACAACTATAGATGTACATAATGACTTCTTGCTCTTTCTCTCCATGTTTCAACACAATTTGCTTTCATGGAAGGATGAAATATTCTATTTAGTTTTATAGTTGTTTCTGTGATCTGTGATAAGACAACTTTATGATTTCAAATCAAGCCTATCCTGTTTCCAGGCCATACTGATCAAAGTACAGAGGCTTGTTTAGGGAAGAGACCCTATTTTGCCATGGTCACCTCATGTCATTATCCCCATATTGGTTTTCTTTGGTGTGTACCTGGTATATAGAATCACGAAAAACGTCTGTTAGCTTGATTATTTGTTGAACATGTTGCAGGCAGAGAGTTCTTAGCATTTGACTGTAGTGTCATGCACTGGGGGACATGGGTTCCATCAAATAGTTACACACAAGGATGTTGTGAAACAGTGATGAGCAGAGGAGTGTAGGTACTTGTTTGTGTGGCAAGAAAATACTGACGAACATTAGGAACCATTTACATGATCTATTCATAAGCACAAAGTATTAGTCATTTGATCAAAGTACTGTATGTGAACCCAAAAAAGGACAATTATGTATTCTTAGTCTTGTTAATGAGGGTTATTAATAACCAGACCTTTGTTTTAAAATGGAAACAATACTGTTTGTATATTTTTGTATTGAGGAGTGAGGAGGCACAATCTTGACAATTCAATAAGGGCAAGTGAGGATTTGTGTATCTAGCCATTCATCCATACAGCTATATATTGTTTGTTTTTTACGCCACACTCCCCACACTCAGCCATATTCCAACTACCGGTACATGTTTATGATGGCAGTCTGTAGATAACTGAGTCTGCACTAGACCATCCAGTATTGAAATCATGAACATCGATCTATGCAATTGGGATACGATGGCATGTATCAACCCAGTCAGCGAGTCTGGAAACTTTACCAGCTGTCAACAATCAAATCATGCAGATATTCTCAGCTTGGGTATAGTTATTGCCTGATGTGTGGTGCATGCGTCAGGTCAGTCCACGCTGTCAGGGTACACTGATGTACTGATTCAGTGGCAGGAGAGAGGCTGACAAATATCAGCACATTAGTTGATATGTTGTTGTCATTGATTGAAACAAGAGGATCTTTTGTTTATGGTAGTGTCTGTAAATGCATTCTCCATTATCCAGTGTATTATATCACCATTTTCTACAGCAGGTTCATTTCGAGTCTGGTTTGAATGACACAATGCTAAAATTATTATATTACCACTCATACTACACTGGTCTTCATAATTAAAAAAAGTGTTGATATTGCCACTTCTCAACTCACCTTGGTCCTTAAGTCTCAAATACAACTGGGAACTTTGTGTAGCACAAGGACTTCCCTCCCAGGTCTTATACTCAGGATAGCATTTCCCAGCTAAAAGTGCATAAAACATGTAAAAAACAGTTTTCTGATTTGATTAAACATACAGAGATCTCTTGTATAAGGGTGCATTTTGAATGTTGATCTCATTTTCAGAAGTGGCATTTTGATTGGTTGTTGATTTCAAGCTCCCGAGCGACAGAATTTGTGCTAGGTTAGTGATAAGAAAGATAGAAATGTGGCTTCCCGAACATAGTTATGGTGATGAATGGATCCCCGGTTTTCATCAGTATAGAATGAAGGAATGATACACTGGGTAAGGAGCTTGTAGATCTGCAATAACACATATTTTTGTATTTTTGTATGTAGACTTAAGTTTTCACCTGTATGTTATGCTCACTTCATGGCCCTTGTGTTTATTAATATGATGTAGAACATATCTAGATACAAAAGCAAAAGTTTGTACACAGAAGTTTTGATATGGAAATGATGTTTAATTTATTCAGATTGAATTAGTACACATTGTATTCATAATATTTAAAATAGTTTGATAATTATCTGTTTTGTGTAATCAAAGTTTGAGACACTAACATCAAAATGACAGGAATATTGTTTTATGAAAATGGGAGAAGTATTGACATCGTAATGTAGCACCCATTGATTGAATATCCTGACTTGCGTACTTGGATTCAAACCACTGACAATGTGAAATTGAATGCAGTCCACATGAACCACAGAGCAGGCTGACAAAGTGAAGGTTGCGGAATCTCAATTCAAAACAACGCCAATTCAATGCCTTGGGCCACAATTATCTACAGGACGGAGGAAGGGTGTTGGCATACATGCGAGCAGTGTTTGAAATAAAAGAAATGCTTACAGGACCCACAGACTTATAAGCTTCAGGCCCTGACTAAATGTTCCCGCTTCCTGAGGCAAGGGAGTAATTGACTATAAAAGTCCAGTTTCCACACTTGCCGAACGAGGCTGGAGTTATGTTTTGGCTGGACTTATGAGTCTATGCAAGGTCCAATCAAAATTGCGTAACGAAATCAACATTTGGTTCGTAAACTGTCGTGGCAGATTTCGGTTGATTGCTGGATTTGCAAAACATGTGTACCGTCAACTGGGGGTTTCCACATATTTTCCAAATCTTTTCATGTTTTTAATCAAGGTGCTCATGTGATTTGATGCACTTCATGAAGTAAGACCCGTTTATGACAATATAGAATTTGATTATCGATTAGATCATCTTGAAGTGATATTAGAGGTGGAATCTGAATGGTCAATAGGAGGGGCATAAAAGGGACATAACACTAGTAGCCATGGTGGTGCTATGATTGAGCCAAGAAATTCCAGCCTTGAAAACAAATAATATTCATGAAACATTCGTATTACTTGCTACATTAAACACAATGTACAAAAACTTTAATTTCACTGATTGTGTCTGATGGGATCACAGGTCACTGCTGGTGACAGACACTCAAGTGAGTAGGAAAACCAAACCAAAAACACATTAAAAGCCTCCATCTTATTGAGCCATAAGGAACCATACAAATCTGAAACGAGGGTGCCACCGCGTAATCTGAAGGTGGTTATTTCGAACACTGCTTGCGAGTAGCCATTCGTTTGTGTCAGTAGTGAATCACATTAGAAACACTGTTGTTTTGAGCATTCCCTTAATACTTTTGATCATTGCATATGAGAGGCTGCATAATCTTAAGTTATTTTCTGAGAATCAGGTTTGTTTAAACTCTTGATGACTAAGTTTTTTTTTAACCTGAAGTATTTTGACCATGTAGTACACTGGAATCAAACTGTATAATTTGTAAAAAGACTCATATGTTATCAACATTTATACACTTCAATGTTTATTAGATGTTGTGTCATCATGATCAACTTATCATCCTGAGCAAAATAAATATTAACAAATCAAAATGTATTTTGTCAGTGTGATCATTGTGATGTAAAATACTGGTTTTGAGTAATAACTACTACATGGGACAATCAAACCCAATGCAGTCAAACCTAGTGTGTCGTTAATAGTCAATTGTATCTCTACAAATTCCACATCTGATTCAAACCCCTACCACCATGACAACCTCTGTTCAGTCTTTTCCTCATTTCTGAACTATAAAGCTTCAATGGTCAGAGGGCTAGGACCCGTTCCTCCTTCGGAATCCCTATCGGGCGAGATGGTCAGAGGGGAACTGGAGACCCGTTCCTCCTTCAAATCCCCATGGGGCGAGATGGTCAGAGGGGTACTGCGGACTATTCCTCCTTCGGAATCCCTATCGGGCGAGATGGTCAGAGGGCTAGGACCCGTTCCTCCCTCGGAATCCCTATCGGGCGAGATGGTCAGAGAGGAACTGGAGACCCGTTCCTCCTTCAAATCCCCATGGGGCGAGATGATCAGAGGGGAACTGGGGACCCGTTCCTCCTTCGGAATCCCTATCGGGCGAGATGGTCAGAGGGCTAGGACCCGTTCCTCCCTCAGAATCTCCTGGTGAGATGGTCAGAGGGGAACTGGGGACCTGTTCCTCCTTCGAATCCCCATGGGGTGAGATGGTCAGAGGGGTACTGCGGACTATTCCTCCTTCGGAATCCCTACAGGGCGACATGGTCAGAGGGGTACTGGAGACCCGTTCCTCCTTCGGAATCCCTATCGGGCGAGATGGTCAGAGGGGAACTGGAGACCCGTTCCTCCTTCAAATCCCTATGGGGCGAGATGGTCAGAGGGGTACTGCGGACTATTCCTCCTTCGGAATCCCTATCGGGCGAGATGGTCAGAGGGCTAGGACCCGTTCCTCCCTCGGAATCCCTATCGGGCGAGATGGTCAGAGAGGAACTGGAGACCCGTTCCTCCTTCAAATCCCCATGGGGCGAGATGGTCAGAGGGGAACTGGGGACCCGTTCCTCCTTCGGAATCCCTATCGGGCGAGATGGTCAGAGGGCTAGGACCCGTTCCTCCCTCAGAATCTCCTGGTGAGATGGTCAGAGGGGAACTGGGGACCTGTTCCTCCTTCGAATCCCCATGGGGTGAGATGGTCAGAGGGGTACTGCGGACTATTCCTCCTTCGGAATCCCTACAGGGCGACATGGTCAGAGGGGTACTGGAGACCCGTTCCTCCTTCGGAATCCCCACAGGGCGACATGGTCAGAGGGGAACTGGAGACCCATTCCTCCTTTGGAATCCCTATCGGGCGACATGGTCAGAGGGGTACTGGAGACCCATTTCCTTCGGAATCCCTATGGGGCGAGATGGTCAGAGAGGAACTGGGGACCCGTTCCTCCTTCGGAATCCCCATGGGGCGAGATGGTCAGAGGGGAACTGGAGACCCGTTCCTCCTTCGGAATCCCTATGGGGCGAGATGGTCAGAGGGGAACTGGAGACCTGTTCCTCCTTCGGAATCCCCATGTGGCGAGATGGTCAGAGGGGAACTGGAGACCCGTTCCTCCTTCGGAATCCCTATGGGGCGAGATGGTCAGAGGGGAACTGGAGACCTGTTCCTCCTTCGGAATCCCCATGGGGCGAGATGGTCAGAGGGGTACTGCGGACTATTCCTCCTTTGGAATCCCTACAGGGCGACATGGTCAGAGGGGTACTGGAGACCCGTTCCTCCTTCGGAATCCCCACAGGGCGACATGGTCAGAGGGGTACTGGAGACCCGTTCCTCCTTCGGAATCCCCACAGGGCGACATGGTCAGAGGGGTACTGGAGACCCGTTCCTCCTTCGGAATCCCTATCGGGCGAGATGGTCAGAGGGGTACTGGAGACCCATTTCCTTCGGAATCCCTATGGGGCGAGATGGTCAGAGAGGAACTGGGGACCCGTTCCTCCTTCGGAATCCCCATGGGGCGAGATGGTCAGAGGGGAACTGGAGACCCGTTCCTCCTTCGGAATCCCTATGGGGCGAGATGGTCAGAGGGGAACTGGAGACCTGTTCCTCCTTCGGAATCCCCATGGGGCGAGATGGTCAGAGGGGTACTGGAGACCCGTTCCTCCTTCGGAATCCCTATCGGGCGAAATGGTCAGAGAGGAACTGGGGACCTGTTCCTCCTTCGAATCCCATTGGGGCGAGATGGTCAGAGGGGAACTGGGGACCTGTTCCTCCTTCGAATCCCCACAGGGCGAGATGGTCAGAGGGGTACTGGGGACCTGTTCCTCCTTTCGGAATCCCCATTGGGCGAGATGGTCAGAGGGGAACTGGAGACCTGTTCCTCCTTCGGAATCCCCATGGGGCGAGATGGTCAGAGGGGTACTGGAGACCTATTCCTCCCCAGACAATGACAAGACATGCTGATCTGTAAGACTGCCCGGTATTACTGGTACACATGGTAAATTGTGATACAACCTTCAACAATGAGCATACTGGGTATGTGATACAATCTAAATAGGTTAGTATACTGGAGAAAATATGAAAATTTATCATTTAACTTAAGCATTTATCCATGACATAAGCTTATGACATAAAAACATGTATGTCATACCCCAATGACATAAGTATGCAAATTAGATATGCAAATTAGATAACCGGAAGAGCGAGCGGTTTGATTTGAAACTATATATTAAAAGTGAGGTTACACCAGAGATATAATCAGATTACACAGAATCGTTGTTGTTACCGTTATTAAAGTTTCAATTATTCTGCAAAAGTCTGTTCAAGTATTTTGTTTAAAATAATCCGAGGAACTTTTTTTCTCAGCGAATTGTTTATTTTGGTTTACATGGCTATGGAAAACATGTATCACTGTGCACGATCTATACGTAAGATTTTGACAAGTTGCTGATATTAATGTTTAATGCAATTATTCCTTAATTTGGAAGCAAAAATGTGAAAATGATGAATCCTCTATATATTTCGTTTTTTTTATCAATAATGAATTAACTTGAAATCTTCCTGGTAGAGCTAATTTAGAGAAAAATATTTCCAGTTAATTGTCACAGTGTTACCTCCCTTGATAAAGTGTTACTATGGTTACAAATGGTGGCCGATCCTCTTGACTACGATATTGTTCCTAACAAAGCCAACGTATGCTGCTATTTTGCTATTATGTAAAACAATGAAAGATAGTTCTGAAGTGGAAGTTTTGTTTGTTTAATGCTGCACTCAGCAATATTCCAGCTATATCACTGCGGTCTGTAAATAACCAAGTCTGGACCAGACAATCCAGTGATTGTCATCATGAGCATAGATCTACACAATTGGGACACGACATACATCAACCAAGTCAGCTAGTCTGACCACCCAATTCCGTTAGTCGCCCCTTACGACAACCATAGTCGCCATTTACGGCAAGCATGGGTTGCTGAAGACCTATTTCACCCCGGATCTTCACGGGTCCATCACCTGGAGAGGTATCAGACAATTTGAACAGATCTTGCACACCTAAGGGAGGCAACTCTGGCACACTTACCCAGCATGGTTGGAGTAAGATCACATAAAACAAACAAACATAATCATGATAAAATTCAACCTTTAATACTGTCAACATATATCACAACAATTCATACAGTGTGCACCAGATGCTATAAAATGTAACAAAAAAAAGAATTGTGGAGGAAAAAGGTACTGCCACTACAATTTACAGACAAAGCCATTATTCATTCTCAACAAATAATGTAAGCCACCAATCCATTACATGTGTTGGTCTATCTTTGTTTACACTGCATATATATACATATATATATATATTGGTCTGTCTTGGTTTACACTGTCTATGTATGTGCGTGCGTGCGTTTGTACGTACGTACGTACGTATGTATGTATGTATGTTGATAGCACGTCAACCATATCATACAATGAACTGTAAGTTGAACACAGCGATAAAATATTCCATGTTCTACACAATCAATGTTGCCTCACAATGAAAAATAAGTTCAGCAGTAAATGCACTTCACAGATCTGACCACCATTGGGAATCAAACCAAGGTATGTGTCTCAACCAGCACTTCCCACAGGGCTATCCTACGTCTCGACTGTAAAATGGCACGTAACAAGATTCTCATGTCATAAAAAGCATTTTAACATAAAATAACATCTACTGGAAAATACAGGCACTCAAGGACTCTTGGAATAGAATTGACCTGCAGACAAAGCAGACTACACGGAATAAGTGAAGTTAAGTATTGTGCAAGAGAGATTCAAATTAGCCAGTCACTTGTGGGTACTTCTTGATCTTTGATATAAATAATTGTCTCAAGTTTCTCTATCTTTCTCCATCTATAAGAAATCTTATGAGGTTACACCAAACTCACTAAGAATTTTTAAACCCACTGAGATACAATTCTTTTCTACCATCAGAACTGCCAGAAAATAGTTGTACAAACTACAGTATATTCAAGTTTGAAAAGAAGTATAAAGACATGTAGAGAATATATTGAAATTCAGTTTATCTCTGCAGCCGTTGTAATATGCAGCTATCAGCCGATTCGTCTCGCATCAAAACACGGGCTGTGTACTCGCGGGCAGATGGTCACGTAGTACACTGATCACTGTGTCGGATTAACAAGACTGAAGAATGAGTAATTTCGGTAATTCGTTGTAAATTAGGTGTGTTGGAGTCGGAGTGCGAGACTGTCGGATCAACAGGTCTAAATAGCACTGATTTAATTGGTTCCCATCATTAATGTCGGATAAGGCCGATTGTGGGATTAACAAGTGTCAGATTAACGAGACTTGACTGTACACGACACCTACACTTGGATGGTTTCAAGCACAGGGACACACCATCACACAGAATAATAAGTGAAGAACTATCGAAAATATATCAAGTATCTGCAGTTCCAGCCTAGTGGAGGGTTGATATAACAAAAGTACTGATGAACATTGTGCCACAACCATAGAAAAAGATATTCTGGGTAAGAATGTAAGTCCCCAGCAACCTGTGCTGGTCATAAGATGTGACTAACAGGATCAGTTGGTCAGGCTTACGAACTTGGTTTATGCATGTCATCGTATCCTAATTTGGGATCAATGTCATGATGTCTGGTCATATAGCTAGAATATTGCTAAGTGTGGCATTAAACTAACAAAAAACAAACATAAATTAAGATCAATTGAAACAATATTTCGAGAAAAGATGGTTTCACAGAATTCAGTTTTTGAGTTATGTCCCTTGCTGCAATTTTCATGTTGTTGAATAAACCACTCAGTACCCATTCATTTGGTGCTCATCACCAATTGATTGCTAAAATGGCAGTAGGTCATGCCACTGATGGTATGGATTGCTAGTCAGTATCAGTCAGTCAGGTTTGGTAAATTCTGTGAACTACAAATTAAAAGCAGACCTAGGAATGAATACCCCCAGCGGTGTGGAAATGTAATGTCAGGTTTGACCGACTTAGTATGTCGCCAATCAAATTTTAGCTATTGATTCATGTTAGGTGTTGATTCCCAAGTTAATACATGAAGATTTACCCAGAAATCATCAGTTCTGAAATAAACAGTGAAAACAGTAAATAACCACACCAGATCAATAAATAATAAACAAACAATATTGATAAACAGGATAAGGTTTACAACCATAAAAGGCAATGGATCTAGTATATAGGATCAGCAATAAATAACAGGCCCTATTCACAAATCACTCACAAATGTCTAGAAAGGGAGATAAAGGTCGCCTTGTGCCTAGGCAAGTAAATGAGGACTCAAATTACTCTCAACTTCCAAATAAGTGTATTCTACCCCAATGTTGCTAACAACATCGAATAACACTCTGGTTGTTTCATACCGTTTATAAAAAGATAAAAAAGAGGTTAGTTGATATTTTACGAATGCTTCAATTAGCTGCCACAAACAATAATCAGAAAGGAGGTGACAATATGTACTGGCACATCACAATAAGAAGTTGACAATTCTTGAGAAACCAAACTAGAGACATACACACACACAGACACTGGTATTTATTTTGACAGTATTCGTCATAATTCATTCCTTAATCTCATTGAAATTCATTTTTTTTAAAAATATATTTACAGAAATTTGCTGTTCAGGTGGATAGTAGTCAATGTTAATCAATGATATTCAAGGTGTGAAATCTGTTTAAAATTCTCCTGATTTAATACAAGTAAAGCATCTAGTACCTGTAGTCCCAACCAAGGAATAAAATATTCATGGAAATATATTGCAGTTCAAAAGCTGAAATATATTGAGCCTGTTAAAATGAAGACAACTGCCTTCAATTCTGTACATTTTGACAGTTTACTCGCTCAAGGACAAGACAGCCCAACCCTTGGCCAGCACAGACATCAACAGTACTTCCACGCAGGCTCACCAAGTGGCTGATCTTTGACACATGTGGTAAACAGGCACCTGTTTATCACATTTAATAACCAGCTGTTACAGACTGTTTGGTAATCTACCTATGCATTGATGTGCAGCTAATGTTCTCCAACCTTTGAATGCAATGACTTAGTCTGTGCCAACACCTGTGTGTAGCCCAGCTCTGTATATCACATGCACCACAATAGGAAGCTTGAAAGACATGGGTGAAGCCAGCATGGCTAGTAGTGCTTGTTCCATACATGGGCATGCTTGCTTCTGTTGTGGAAAAGGCCATTTCTTTGATCAGTCCGAGTAACAACATGGTCGTGTACCTCTAGTTGTCTACACAAGCTTGACTCTGGTCATCTGTAAAGAGTGAGTGGGTGAGTTTCAACAGTGGCATGATGTGGGTGTCGCCCTGAATTGATGCTGGTCTCAAATGTTTACATTTTCCCCAGGGAAGGGAGTTAACGGACTATAAAATTCCAGTTTCCACGCTCGCCGAACTAGGCTGAAATAATGGAATTATATTTTGGCTGGACTAACGAGTCTATGCAAAGTCCAATCAAAATCGTGTAACGAAATCGACATCCAGTTCGTAAACTGCTGTGCAGATTTCATTTGATTGCTGGATTTGCAAAGCATGTGAACCGCCAACTCAGCATCAACAGAAATTTTCCAAATCTTTTCATGTTTTTAATCAAGCTTAAGTGATTTGATGCTCTCATTGAATCTTATCGATCAATAGGAGGGACATAGAAGGGACATAACTTGTAATAACCACTAGTGGTGTTACGATTGAGTCAAGAAATTCGAGCCCAGTTCGGCAAGCAGGCCTCAAAGTTTAAATTTTTACCAAGTAGCCATATGGCTACAAGTAGTTGTTCCCGGGTAACCAGTGGTAAAATCAACAAGACAAGCCAATAGTGTAGGTAGCCAATCGCATTTGAAATTATCTTTTATCAAATAACTATTACATGCACAAGTCATAGCACTAGTCTTGGAATTGTATATTAGTGGAAACTGTATTTGAGTTTTGTTATTTGTGACTCGAACAATGATGCAATTTATGTTACTGGGTAACATAGGTATATCCTTGCTCAGACAAATTGACCATTTTAGTCGTAACTTTGTGGCCGGGCAAGGGTGGAAACTGGACTTATACAGACAGTTAACTCCCTTGCCTCGGGTAATTGATCTGTTTACCACTTTGGTGAAAAAATGGGCACAGGGAGACACTGACAAACCTAGACACATAATCTGAATCGGGAATCGAACCCATGATCATCCGTTTTTGAAATAGAATATCTTCATTCAATTAAAAAGAAAAAACACATTAGGATCAACAGTGTCATCATTTGAGGAACATGTCTGCAAAGTTAAAAAGTCTGCAGTTTACAGATAACATTTGCTCATCAATGTCCGGCAATATGATCAAAATCTGTCACTAATCAAGTCTGGACTGGACTGGACTTGACAATCCAGTGATTGATATTATGAGCACCGTCTTGGTTTGACAACCAAGTCACTGACCCTAACAACTTGTCCATTGTTGCTTTGTACGACAAGGAAAGACTGCTGATGTCAATTCTAACCCTGAATCACCATAGGGACTTTGGCTAACCACACCCTTTGGAATTGCCATAGAGAGATGTTATAAGCTTTCTTGCACTTTGGGAAGAGGTGAGCTAAATCTTGAAGCCTGAATACTGTGACAATCCTCACCTGACTTGTGGCCAGCCAGGCCTAACATTCTGTTGATGACCTCCCACAGACATGATGGCTTGGGGAACTGGTTGTCGACGAGGTTCACCAGGTAGTAGTTGTTGCTGATGTCCTCCAGCACCTTGTGTGACTGGGACTCAGGCGAGTACAGCTTGCCCCATGTCTCCAACCACAGCCCAAATGCTTCGTCCTGGGAACAGAGATGCTTTGGTCAGGCAATGCTCAAATGTAACAAAACAATTCCTGTTGATGCCTTCTTCAAACTTCCTTTTTCGAACAACTATCCAATGATTTCAGCAAATACAGCATTTTTGAAGTAGCGAGTATGAAAATGGTATTGTACAAATACTACAACTAACAAAGTGAGTGAGTGAGTGAGTGAGTGAGTGAGTGAGTGAGTGAGAGTGAGTCTTACGCCACTTTTAGCAATATTCCAGCAATACCACAGCAGGGGACACAACATTGTACCCATGTCGGGAATTAAATCCAGGTCTTTTGCGAGGGAACGCTTTAACCACTAGGCTACCCCACCACCCCATATTGCATTAACAAACTTAAAAGGGCAGGTGAAAGTGTAAAGGCAGAGAACAGATCAAATTCACAGCTGTACTACACACACCCATATTCAGCCCTACTAAATACTAAATGGATAACAAACTTCATGACAAGACAGGATGGATGGCATACATGATGGAAAGGACAAATAAATCACAACAAGGGCTCTGGTCACCCAGGTGAGCTAAAACGTGAAGGGAACCAAATCCCACCATCTTTGTGCATCACCTGTCAGTGTTAAGTTCACATTGCACAACCTCTTAATTTGGTTTGACTGTAGGCATTAAAGTGGGACTGTGTGTCAGCTGTTATGTCTTAATGTGTAGAGATTATGTAAGTGGCAAAGAGTTGGAGTGAAAGGCTTTGTTGTATGTGTTGATTGAGTGGGGAAAAGACTGTGACCTGATGATCAGGGCAGACATTGAGAAATCTATCTAATGCAGTTTAGATGAGTTGGGTTGTGATTGTTTCCCAACATTGTGGCGTGAGTTATCACTTTCATGTTAATATTTTCAAGTTTATGTTCTTTTAATTGAACGTTCAATCTTGTGTATGTATTATTTGTATAGTGCATGTATCTGTGTGCATTGATAGGATATTATGCAGATGTAGGAAAGACTTCCGCCCATATCCCCACCCCCCCAAAGTTATTTAAGTATGCATTGCCGCTCAATCCTTTTAATCATATGTATTTTTTAGGGGGCTGCGGTCGGGAGTTTTACCCAGATGTATGGATATTTGTGCAGTCATATGTATGGCATAGATATACGTAAGATCTCTCACACAAATGAACTATAAGTTAATGTGTTGATGGTCGTCATTGTACTTCTGTAAACTCATCACCAACATTGTAGAATGAAGTGGGAAGTAGAAATCGAAGTTAGAAGTTGTAAGCACAATTGGTATAGGCGGGGTTATTTTGAGTATGTTCATGCCCATTTGAATAACTTAAGAATGAATAAGCATTCTAAGCCTTTAATTGTAGGTTGACTGGTTGTTGTTGTTTGATGTTCAACACTGCACTCAGCGATACTCCAGCTATATGACAGCGGTCTGTAAATAACCGAGTCTGGACCAGACAATCTAGTGATTGATATCATGAGCATCGGCCCACACTACTGGGATACGATGTCATCCACCAAGTCAGCGAGCCTGACCACCCGATCCCGTTATGACAAGCATGGTCGCCTTTTATGGCAAGCATGGGTTGCTGAAGACCGGTTCTACCCCGTATCTTCACTGGGTAAAGTGTACTGAGATGTATACATAGGATTATACAGTGTCAGGGGACCAGAGGGAACCTGTACAGGGAGTAAGGCAGCTGGACTGTGGCAGAAGGCTGACCAAGTAACTGAGAACCTGAACTAACCAGGATGACAGCGGGATAGAGCAGACGTGATAGAGAGTTGGACATATGTCTGTGGACATGGTAATGTCAGAGCTGAAATGACTTTGTAAGTCTTGAGGGTGACTGTGACGTTCTATAGTATACATGTGTGGGGGTCATGTTCAATGTTTTGGATGTTCAAGGAAAAATGCCGAGTGAGAATTATTTATCGTACAATAAAACACTGCAGGGAGAATAAACCTGGGAAATGTCAGACAAGTTCATTTTACGAACAGGTGGGTAAGTTTGGTATTTCCTTGCTTTCTTAAAATCCTCACCTCAATTATCTGTACCTTTTCCCCTAATACCGATTGTCATATCTCTCCTACTTTTTGATGCAATCATTCGATCACTGCGTTTATCTGCTTAGCCCAGCTACATCCATGGGGAACAACTTAATAGACACTTCTCTCTAAAAATTAACTTCATCCAATATATGACGTCGTCAGGTTGCGAGTGCATATTCAAATCTCCAGAAATGACGTCATGATAGAACCCAGGATGAGACTAGGTCGACGTGAATATTTTGTTATGTAAATTGGGTTGGGGTAAATCGCTAAGGTTAGCTAATATATTAATTATGAATTTTGTATCTAGCTTTGTTGTTTCTCCCTGTTGTGACAGTCAGCCATTGGACTTTTTCTCCCTACTCAGTACCTTCCATGTCTTGAACGCAATGGGATCCACGACGGTGGGCTGCACAATCTCTCTCCCCGGGAACACCCCCCATGTCACAGCGATCGGCTCCGACTCGTGACAGTTGGTGTAATTCTCATCACCCTGAAAATAAACATTACCCATCGTTGTCATACAAAGGACTGATAAGAGCTTTAGAATTATATTCAGTTGAACAATTCAACATGTTCAAAGCTATTCTAGACCAGCACAGTGCAGCGAGTGACACACTGTACAACATCACAGGCAAGAAACTGCAAATTTGTCTGTAATGCAGGGTCAACCACATCTGTCTTCAACAATGGACTTCTCTACTTAGGATAACTTTTAGCTAACTTTAAACAAACAGCCTATTATCTAGTTTACTGTTCCAAAACAGTTGTCAGTAGGGGTTTTCTGTACCACGCGTCTGTGTGTACTTTAGGGAATGAAACATGATATGTGTAGTGTCCAGTAAGGGCTATGAACATGTTTAATTAAAAGGAGGCCCAGTGTTCTAAGATGCAGCAATTCTATGTCCAGAGTTGCATCCCTTTGCTATGCCAGGATTATGGATTCAAATCCAAGATTTGTCGTTATTATGATCTTGTGTCACTTCAAGGTGTAAGTTGACATCCATATGTGGACACTTTATTCATACAGGTTCTGTTATGACATGGAATGGGATGTCCTCAGATCTTTGTTTAGTGGTAGCGATGATGTTAATAACATTGTCACTGATACTCCAGCTTCTCGACTTCCACTTCCAGATGAAATATTGTACCTTTTTGTTGAGGATATGGAAGTTGACCATGGGGTACTCGGGGAGGATCTGCTTCAAGGCTTGGACATTCGCACTCGACGTGAAGAACTCAACATACGCCTGGCAAGTAGAACGTGTATACAGTAAACATCTACGTGGTATTTGTTCATACAAGACTATAGTCAATACATAGAAAATCTCAACCTCACATCTGTTCCTTTATATGTATGCTATACATCCCACATTCACATTACAAAAAGCAGTAGCCCCAGGAATTAAATATCAACAGGTGATTAAAATAACAAACATTTGTGCCACAGCATTTTAGACATCTTAATCAACCTAGATCAGTTTGAACAGGCATGAGGGTGAGATTATTCCTAATCACGCTTCATTACTCATGAAATATTATCATGTTTTTAGTATTAATGTGCTCAAGCAGATATACAGTTTGAATTTGTTAACTTCTATCACAACAAAATAATATTGGCAGCAACCTTTTTTCAAATTGAAACTTGCAAGCCTATTCTTAGACAATCAACCATACACAAGAGCATGCACAATAGGTTGATAATAAGTATAGTATAGTCCATGGTTAGCTGTGGAAACCATGCATCCCTGTTGGAATGTGAGGAGCCAGGACAAACTACCTGTTTACTGTTACACTTCATGCTGCCTCTGGAACCAGGTACCATGTGGCCAGAATTACTTGAACAAGGTCAAGGCCATCACAGGTATTTCATATGCTATGTTCTTTATCAATTTGATTTACACTTGAACAAAGATTTGTTTTCATTTTTGCTGTGACATGTTGCATACAATCTGCTACTGAAAGGAATACGTTCCATCAACAGTTCATTGGCTCCCAATATTGAGTCATTTCAGGAAGTCACTTCTTGCTACACAAAGTCATATTTTCAGGTCTTTTCAAGAAGAAGCTCATAATTCAGATTTTTTTCAAGTCTGCAGATATTCCAGCCAGTGGTAGGCAACTGAATATTTGATTATGACATCCTCACTGACCAGTAAATACAGTAATATCGTACTTTATCAATGACATAGTTGAACTTATATCATAATTGAAGTGACATCATTATCAACCAACTGAAAGTTTATTTCATAATTGAACAGTGATATTACACTTGAACTACATCATATATGAAAGGTTTATATCATAATTCAAGGAAACGTCCTAATTAAAGAGTGTTTTACTGGAACAGTGATGTTGTGATGTTGAAGACGAATCTAATCAGCCATCAACATTTCTTGAGCCAATATTGTTTTATCATGACAGAGTTAACTCAGCCTTGTCATCATCAGCACATGTGTCTGAAACCACTGGCAGTGAAGGGAAAATAAACACAAGATAAACACTGAATCCACTTTCATTTTTGAATAAGCCTTCAATTTCAGTAATTCAAATATGGCATTACTTCCTTCAAGTATTAATATCAGTTCCCCAAGAAGACTTTGGAGGGTAGTAGTCCAAAGTAACCATGGTTACCAGTGCTGTTTAGGACAACCCACAATTCAAAACTGGAATTTCCCCTTCAGCGACATGGTCAGCTTGAGATGCTGAAGAGACTAGTGTTAGATGATAAACTAATAGAACACATTCCTTCAAGCCTTTCTTAAAATATGTTGGTTTGCCCATTACCTTATGCAATTTGAGTCAGTAGACATTATATTTACTTCATTGTCAATCTTTTTCAAATGTTAACATGCTTAATTTGTACATTGATAATTTATTAGAATATGTTCATGCAAAGGAAACCACAATAAAATTTGAAAGAGGGAGGGTGGAGAACGTCACATTTTAAGAAACTGTCAGGTTTAAAAACAACTGTTCTGCAGTTGACATTTTTTAATGGACAGCTCAGCATGGCCAGGTAAGGGAAAACAAACCATATGTTAATTTGGGCATCATCTAGTTATTGAAAGTAAAGGCACAAGTACACACAGCTGGGTTTGACAAATGTACTTTCCAGGCAGACAAACAAACACAGCCACTGTCTCACTGCTAATTTTCTAGATGTAAGAAATCATTACATTTAGTTTTCACACATTCATTTTCACCACCTTCATTCTGCCAAAGGTGAAGAAAATAAGATTACTGACATTTACTTGATAACATTACTGGTTAATGTCTTATAGAATTTTGTCTTGTGTTGCAGTATATTTGTCAAACCCTTGTGACAGCTACAAAATTAAGGATTAGTGAATATTTGTTTTCTAATTAATCAGACAAATGTTTTAATTAAAAGTAAATTGCTGAGTTCTACAGCCATCACATGTTTAAGTATTTTTACATGTGTTATAACTGGGGTGGGCGCCATGCCCAAGCAATACCTGGCTCAGGTCTAGAGGGCTAGCTCCAACTGTTCAACTGTCAGCAAGATTGACTAGCCGATATTGAACACGATGCCCAGCCAGCCGCTGACCATAGCTAGCAAGATGAAATATAGGATCAATTCAACACAATTCAACATTGGATGTTGTAACTGTTCATTGAAATCATTTCAAAGGTTTGCTTTCTAATATGACAGTACACTGTAAGTCCTACACAAGGCCAAGGGGGTGGAGGAGGGTTGCAAGTTGTGGGATCATTTGGTGGGTTAACAACAGATCCAATTACACCATACAAAATATAGAGATATGCTTTTTGTGTGCTACCAAATAAATATTCCCCCAAAATATGCATGATCCCTTTTTTGTTCAGTTTATACAGAAACATTCTTGGAAGTATGTGCTACTGAAGACATAAGCTATTAAGTTCAAAGTTTTTGTCAGTTCAAGGTCCATGAACTGAAGTTTCTCAAACATACTGACCGGCAAACATGTTGCCGCACTACGATGCTGCCTCTCTGTCCGACAGTTCCATTATGTTGGCGAGAGACTGAATGTTAACGGTGGATCAAGCAATCTCGCAGCTATATCACAGAGGCCAAACTAGTGGTCGACAGCATGTCTTAATTCCCACCCTGTTCATGACACACAATCACCCTGGTGCACCATTGTTGACACCACGCCATCCTTGTTGACAAGCTGCTAGGGACTGGTCTGTCTCGACTCACGATGGTGAGATTTGTGGATGAGACACGCCAGAGTATACTAACACAAATGTGACTATTAATTCCACACTCAATAATAGCTATCATTCATTTCAAAAGTTATTGCAGACTCTGTGGAAATGTCCTTGAAATTCAGTGGAAACTTCATGGAAGCTCACAGACAGAATTAGTCCCCATACCACCAGCTCATTGTAAGATTGGAGTTATAGATTGGGTGATTTCAATGCTTCACCTGGCTAATTGTGTGCCACCAAAACCAACAGAGAATTGTTGTTCATGCTATCAACCTTTTGATCTGTCTGAAGCAGACTCAATCAACTCCAAGCTGCTGTGACGTTACTGGCATATTGTTGCCTGCAACGTTAACATTCAATCACTTCCATCTCTGAATCTGTGATCCTCCAAATGGCCCCAATACATGCAACCATCAACATTGTGAATCACCCATCTGCAAGGTCTGATCATCAGCCTCGAATTCAACACGCAGCATGTGGAACCAAACCTTGTTGTACAGTGAGTGGTGTAATCCAATAATAATAAGTACATTTGTATTGAGCTACAGGATTAACAAAACAGGCATAATGTAATGAACACAGTTCATGTCAGGTAGTAGTATTTACGGAACAGGAGTGTTTTCAGTCCACTCTTGAAAGATGTGGTAGACAAGTTCTATATGAGGTATTGTTCTTAAAACCTAAAACTTCACAAATGTGAAATCAAACATGCACCCAGTCTAACTATTTTCAGTTATGAAAAATACTTCAAATATGGCCGGCCAACAGGGTAAGGGAAGTAACTCTTCAACTTGAAATTACTTTTTCAATGTCGTTTCCCCACCATAATTTGTTTTCCCCAACTTGATAGTATATTTTTGGGACCACGTTTTCCATATTTTGTTTTCTGGAAAACCAAATAATTAGAAAAAACCACGTTACTGCCACACAGCAATGATGAGGAGCCTGGAGCTGTGGCCTGTGGCTTCCTTGTTGAAGTCCAGGAAGCCATGAGCATGATGAGATCATCAGACCTTGCAGAGGCAAATCTGGACTGATAATGTAATGATACAAACTAGGGGTTGATACAATACACTGGACCATAATGAGATTAGGTTTTGATTTCTTTTTAAATATCTGTTATAATTCAGGAAATACAAACAAAAAATCAGACTGAGGAACCACATTAGGACATCAGGAACCAAAATCATTAATCAGTATAATAGATACCCTAACACTGTTTGAATGAAGAGATAATTAAGAATAAATAATTCAGGTTGGGAATACGATGTACTGTCCCAAAATCAAGGGCAGAGTGTTTCGTTTTGGCAAGAATATTATCTCAGTGCACCAGTGAATCATTTCAACCTCAGCAGCAACCGATGAACAAGTACTAATTACTGATGCATGCAACTGTGAGAGTTAGTGTGATAGGCATGAAAATATAATGTGATGAAGGCAGTTGGTAAACAGTGACATTTAACATGTAAATTCTTATGCCTAATACCAGGATATGAAACCATGCAAGAAGATAAATACTGACAGCACAGATGACCCTTACATTTACCCACAAGGGTATTATCTTACTGACACAAAGCTTAGAACTTAACCAAGACATCTACACTTAAGAATAAATTTCTAATTGGCTCTAGTATACCATTCAAATGATACAAACTTACAGAACCAACTGTTAGTGTTAATTTCTTTCCATTTTAATTTCCCAACACCCTTAATTTCAACAGGGCTGTAACGATACACTTTGTCGTGACAGACACGTTGCATGCAAGGTTGGTATGATACATAGAAAGTCAATACTTGTAACATCAAGGCACTGTGTTTCATCATCAAGGGAAACTAGAGAAGGGAGGTAACCCAACAGGCATGAAATAAAGTCTTCAAAGGTCAGTTTCACAAAGCCATGTCGTCGCTATGTTTACCATGAACCTATGTTAAAGTATGGAAGTAATGACAGTAATAGCAGTATGGCTGATTGGAAATGTGCCCGTGGTTCAAATAATTGCCCACACCCTCAGCTACTACATGTGAACCAAAGGGTATGTGTACAAATATTGACTGGTACCAATATACACTGATGGAAGGAAATATAGAACCAAATAAAAGGAGGAAGAAATTTTATTTGCAGAGGTTGACCAGAGAAGGTCATGCAAATAGTGACACAAAAGATGATTTCACCCTGTATCTGTTGATCTTTACTTAAATGCAGCTAATTCTGGTCAGCTATACTACTAAAAAGTCAAGGATGATCGTGTTCTTTCATACTACTGTAGTTAATCTGCCATGGCATGACACATGAACTATAGTAATATGGAAGAACTGGGTGATCTGTAACTCTTATAGTGTAGGGTATATTGGTACGTGTTGCCTTATTTCTTCCCATCAGTATATAACTATCACCTCACAATACCTGTGCTGTGGTCATAGACAACGAATCGTTACAACCCAACTTGGCTCTGGCATTACCCAAAGGCCTCATGGAGTATGTATGGCTCACCTTCTGGAATATATAGCCATTGGATGTCCCCCACCCGACCTTGGGATCCTCGGAGGGAGAGCCGTTGACGCTAGGTTGGGAGTTGATGGTGAGGACGCCCAGTCGGTTGATCTCGCCGAGTTCCTTGGCAATCAAAGATGTTTCTGGGGAGAGTTCTTCATCATCCCATGGGACTTTTGTCACCTGAAGCAACACATGTACTATTTGTTACCATGAGGTGAGGTGAGGTGAGGTGAGGTGAGGTGAGGTGAGGTGAGGTGAGGTGAGGTGCATTTATACATCTCCAGGGCTCACATTTTGGTAAAACAACACTAACCCCTGGATCCAATCCTGTGGTTATCGCGATCACAAATTACCCGCCCTTGATTTTCATCAGCCAATTTGATTTGCTATGCTTTTAAGTCTAACATACCAATCAGAATGCTAGTTACAAACCAGCCTTAATATTGGGATGGCGATATAAACATGGCAGCTAGTCCCATTTATTTCAATAGAGTTTCAAGAAATCCAACATTGTGGTAAATTTGAGACAGTATTGTTCCGTGACCGAGGCCTTGCGGGATTCTCGCAACATTTCTGTGCATGACGCAATCAAAATACAACAACGCGTCTGGCTGGGCGCACTAAGCTTTTCACCTTCACTTACCTCAATGTAATTTTAATTTGAAAGGTCATGTATTATAAGTAAACATTGCAGTCAAACATCAGCATGTTCTTTAAACCAAATGTGTCCGCCATGTTTGAGATTACTATAGCGATATTTTTTACCAATCATAGGCAAGCTTACAATTAACGACAGCAGGACTGCACTGAATATTATTTTCCGACCAATCAGATTTATTGTTTCCAAATGGATACTGTCATAGCTAGCAGTGACAAGCATGGCGTCTGCTAAACCGAAGAAGCAAAATTTTTTGTGTCATCATTGGGTAAAAAACAAAAGAATGCTTTAATAGGGATGATGCCCTCAAAACTTGTCATAAGATCTGACCAATTTAATTAGTTGCAATACAATGTAATATGGATTTTTGTGTCACAATATAATCAACGATACGAATCACATCTCAACAAACTGATGCAGGAAAGTACTGAAAGTGTCATGACATCATGTGAGTAGAATCATATCCCATGTGAATTGTATAGAAATAATGGTATTCACATGCCTCTTCTAATACCTGAATGATAAAATGCATCTGTACTAAACAATATGTGTTACACGCCAAGCCCCCTATGTTGCCCTGACCAGTCATAAGCACGTAAACAGCTACACAACCTGTCACAGCTACACAACCTGTCACAGCTACACTGCCTCACCTTAATTCCATTCTTGTTTGGTTCCCCAGTGATGTAGCTAGTGAAGACATCCCACACATCCTGCTCACATGTCAGCTCCTCCCCCCACATCTTCATCAGTTCGTCCCTAGACGAGCTGCTCTTCAGGTAAAACAGATGGTAGTACTTCAGATCACCAAACGATGCAGCAGATGAATTGCCCCATCTGCCATTTGGAAACTCATCCCAGTTTGACGTACGATACACATAACTGTTAGGTCTACACCTCCAGAAAATTGGCCGAATTTCTTCCTTGCACCGAGCATGATTTGCTGTCAGTTTCCATGGTAATGGCTTCCTGACTTCTTCCTTCCACAGCCCGAGTCTCTTGAGAATGTCTATTGTTGCCACTTCTCTGTTGAGGGTGTAGAAGTGGAGGCCAAAGATGTTTCCAGTCTGTAGTAAGACTTTGGACATTTCAACTGCATGGTGAATGCCGAAGTTTCGAATAGCCTCGTCATTGTCTTTGATAGGGTTAATAGCATCAATAATCTCTTGAGGGACTTCCAGCTTGGACAGTTTCACGATGTGCCGGAGGGACTGGTAGGCCTGAATATATGGATGTCAGTCAGTGAATAGCTTTTTGTTACCAGAGCAACATTAGTGAGTATATTGTTACAATGCTTTTCATGAATATAACAGCAAGGGAACCAAAAATTGGCTCAGCATACAGTGGGCCATGGGACCTATGTCATTATGTGGACCATGGCTCAGCATACAGTGGATCACGGGATCCATGTCATTTTGTGGACCATGGTTCAGCATACAGTGGACCACGGGATCCATGTCATTATGTGGACCACGTTTAAGCATACAGTGGACCACGGGATCCATGTCATTATGAGGACCATGGCTCAGCATACAGTGGACCACGAGATCCATGTCATTATGTGGACCACGTTTAAGCATACAGTTGACCACGGGATCCATGTCATTATGAGGACCATGGCTCAGCATACAGTGGACCACGGGATCCATGTCATTATGTGGACCACGTTTAAGCATACAGTGGACCACGGGATCCATGTCATTATGTTGACCACGTTTAAGCATACAGTGGACCACGGGATCCATGTCATTATGTGGACCACGGTTCAGCATACAGTGGACCACGGGATCCATGTCATTTTGTGGACCATGGTTCAGTATACAGTGGATCACGGGATCCATGTCATTATGTGGACCATGGCTCAGCATACAGTGCGCCACTTTCACCAGTTCATTCCCTGAATCAATTTTTCTACTCAGTAAGTAGGAGTAGGGTAGGGAAGGGTTTAATGTTGCATTGAACAGTACTTCAGTCATATCACAGCATGTCAGCTTACTGTGGGAGGAAAGCCCGAAATGATGCGGGTCATTCATGTTTAACACATAGGCTGCCCATGAATCCTCTATTTCTCCAGGGCTCACATGTCAGTAAATTGGGCTGGCGATATCAGCAACATAGCGGCCAGTCCCATTGATTATGATAGAGTTTGCAAGTAATACAACGTTGAAATACTGACTGACACACACAAAAAATCCCTAGAAACAATCTTTTTGATGGAAAGGATGTCTTTATGTTCATTAAAACTGGAGGTGTCTTTGGTTTCTAGGCAATACAAATTACCTCCCTTACCCATTTTCTTTTTTCTTATCTTGACGTTTAATTACTTAGTAAAATTTCATGAAAATCATGGACAGGCAATTTAAGATTGTGAAAACCTGGTGAATGGATTCAGGGGTTAGTTTAGGTTCACCGAAATGCTCACAGACAAGGATCATAATGACAGTGATTCTTGGATTCTAAACAACATCCAGCTGATCGTGTCACAAACAATATTCTCTTGTATCTTGACTCACCTGGATGGGCAGGACTCCTGGCAGGATGGGACAGTTTATGCCAATTTCACGACAGTCTTGGAAAAACGCGAGGAATGTTTCTGCTTTAAAGAAGAGTTGTGTGATGATGAAATCAGCTCCGGCATCAACCTTCTCCTTCAAGTGGCGGAGATCGTCCTTGTAGGAAGTACACTCCGGATGCCCCTGGGGGTAGCCTGTTAACAGTGGGTAGAATTCAGCAAGGGGGATAACTTCTGGGAAACATTACTAGCTGACTCAATACAAACACTCCCCGACTCACTACAAACACTACCTCACTCACTACAAACACTACCCGACTCACCACAAACACTACCTGACTCACCACAAACACTGCCTGACTCACCACAAACACTACCTGACTCACCACAAACACTACCTGACTCACCACAAACACAACCTGAGTCACCACAAACACTACCTGACTCACCACAAACACTACCTGACTCACCACAAACACTACCTGACTCACCACAAACACTACCTGACTCACTACAAACACTACCTGACTCACCACAAACACTACCTGACTCACCACAAACACTACCTGAGTAACCACAAACACTACCTGACTCACCACAAACACTACCTGACTCACTACAAACACTACCTGACTCACTACAAACACTACCTGACTCACCACAAACACTACCTGAGTCACCACAAACACTACCTGACTCACCACAAACACTGCCTGACTCACTACAAACACTACCTGACTCACCACAAACACTACCTGAGTAACCACAAACACTACCTGACTCACCACAAACACTACCTGACTCACTACAAACACTACCTGACTCACTACAAACACTACCTGACTCACCACAAACACTACCTGAGTCACCACAAACACTACCTGACTCACCACAAACACTACCTGACTCACTACAAACACTACCTGACTCACCACAAACACTACCTGACTCACCACAAACACAATCTGACTAACCACAAACACTACCTGACTCACCACAAACACTGCCTGACTCACCACAAACACAACCTGACTCACCACAAACACAACCTGACTTACCACAAACACTGCCTGACTCACCACAAACACAACCTGACTCACCACAAACACTGCCCGACTCACCACAAACACTGCCCGACCCACCACAAACACAACCTGACTCACCACAAACACAACCTGACTCACCACAAACACTGCCCGACCAACCATAAACACCACTGCCTCACTCTCATCAATATTCCAGCTATTTGACAGTGGCCTATAAATAATCAAACAATCAGACAATCTGATTATAGATATTTAAGTGCAACTATCCACGCCAACAGGGCACATTGACATGCCATCAACTAAGTAAAAACAGTATCACAAACCAAATACGATAGCAGGATAGCATATATATATATATATATATATATATATATATATATATATATATATACACACTGGTAAAATCACTAAAACAAATGATTTAGCATTTTTGTTCAAATGTGTACAAGTAGAGTTATGTCCCTTTCATCATGTATTTATACAAATCACATAATCAGATACATATAATGCTTATCCCTAGATCAAACCCTTCTATTGATTTGTATGATTTTTTGCCCATGTACTGAAACATAAGGTGTTAATAACATGAATCAAATTCAGTATGATGTTATTGTCAAGATTAAATCTTCAAGAAACACAAGAGGTGTTAATTAGAATTCTGAATAAAACTGAGAACATATTCGTGAGAATTTTCAAAATGAACTATATTTAATGTGAAACACTGGACGCCTACCTGCAACACAGACAACGAAGTGATCTCCATATTCCCTCTTGATGAGGCGGACGAGGTCGACAGCATAGTTGAGCCCTCCTTCAACTGGCTGCCAGTCGTCCTCCTCTGTCGGGGGGTCTGAAATATCGGGGATTAATCATACTCAGGAAACCTTTATTACATTATCTGATATGTTCACATGTCTGACATATAGCCTTTATTCTTACAACAATGTGAAGGTTTTCAACTAATAACCTAACCAATTGCACATGTAGGGCTGAAAAAAATGAAAACTTTTATCCATCAGTAAATACTTTCTCAATGATGAATATTCAGTGTCAATATCCCCTTTACCCATTGTTTACCCGCTATTCCAAAAGTAAATCAGGTTGGGCCCAAGATTTGCTCCTGTTCAAATGTTAAAAAAACCTTTTAAATCATCCCTTTTGTTATGGGCATGCATAAAATCCTTACTCCTACATTACTATGGTAAGCCCCAAACAAGCAACCAAGAAGAAAATACCAGTCATTAATCGTAACAATTTCAAAACAATTTCCTCATTTCTTAAACTTGCCATTCCAGTGGACCAAAGAAGTCCATTAACCTTTACAAGGCTGACAAAAACATATTCACTGTTGCCATAACAGTAGTCAATGCCAGAGACTGTCACATTTTCATTCATCCCCATAAATACATGTAAAAAATATTTCATGACCCTCAACACCCCCGTTCCTTATTATGAATTACTAGTCCCTAAATAATGTTTGAACATTTTTTATGTTTTTATTTGAAAAGAAATAACTGACATTTCTTAATGCCCTACCCCCCAACTGTTCTGACAAATTTGGCAACCCCACTCTTTCGCGGTTTCATATTTTTATGCCCCGCCCCAACTCTAATCCCCACAATAAATTACCACTCCCTTATCCCAGTTGGAGCACCAGCCTACCTCCTCTCAGTGCCAGGATGTTCCTGATGCCAAGGTCCTTGGCCTTCTGAAGGTTGGACTTGATGGTGTCAATGGTCATGTTGCAACACGTCATGTGGAGCATGGTCTCGATGCCGCAGTAGTTGAGCATCGTGCCGGCCATACACGTGGAGCTGGTGGGCTTCTCTGTGTTGGAGGGGTCTCCAGCCGGATGCCAGGTGATGTCACAGAACAGCGGCTTGCCCTGACCCATCCTCTCAAACCTGGAACAAGGGTAGAAATTAACATTTTAGTCCAATAGTCCTTACAATGACAACATAGCAAAACCCTAAAAATGGCACATTTCTACTTGTCCTTACGATACCTTAACTGTTGGCCAGTTTGGTAAGGACCACAGGACTAGTGCCAATTTCTAATGCTGTGGAACCATCTCAACTATGTCAGCATCTTTCCCAATCGTATAATGTATTCTACCAGGTATATGCATAGAGGTTATGAAACAAGCATGTGTGCCACACTGAATTTATGAAACAAGTGTCAGAATTCTTGTATTTTCCAAGCGAGGCAATACATGAATTCTTACACAGGTTTCGTAAAATCAGTATGACACACATTTGAGTGTAATAATTTCTTTATTACCCATTATTTCTTAATCCTCTTCAGCACTCTTTTGGGAAAATGCATTGATCAAGATTGCCATCTTAGAAAACCAGAAATGTCGAATGACATCAACAATTTACAGCTAATTTTTTACTGCAGAGTGTGGCATTTAACAACAAACACTATTCGGGCTAGTAGAATTTCTAGGTTAATTTCGATCCCGTCAAATATTTGTATAATCCTAAAATCTCAGAAAATAATATGTATAATAAAACTTCAAAGATGTTCATCATAAACCCAATTAGAATAAACCTTTGATGAATAAAGCAAAAAATTGGTTAAACATATCATTTCTTGATCATGTTGTTTAGGGATCCACATCAGCATGTCTTCAGAACGTGCCAGTCATTGATAAACTACTTGTTTAGGATCCCAAGGAAGTGTAAAGAACCATGTAAGTTAAAGATCGAACCCTAACGGCGCCTGGTGTATTTACAACAGTGGCACAGAACACAATCCAACTGCATCACACAATTGGTGAGTCATGCAGTATAAATGCGGGCTACGAAGAGTTCTGGCGCGTTTTTTTCAAAATATTTTCCACAAGATAATGTTTTATGAAATGTAAATGTAGGGATGTGTTTCAAGTAGGGGAATATCCTAGTAACCCTCCATTCCTTAGAAGTATTGAGTCTCGGCTCCATTATATTTAAGGAATGGAGTCACTCGGAAATTCCCCTCGACATTGAATTCTCTCTTTTGTAATAGTACTATGATAGCATGAGGACGACTTTAACCTCTGTAGATTTCCATGCATTATTTGTCATGTCAAAGTCCAACACAGCCCAGATGCACCAGATTACCGAGGGAGGTTGCTATTTCCTTGTATAATGCCTATTAGTAGCCGGTGTAAGGTGGCTTTGATTGAACATATTAACTTATTGATATTATGCCATTGGCCCATGGATAAATACATGCTTTGTTTGATACATTGTTACGACCCTACATTCCTGTCAATATTGGTATTAAACAACACGTTGAATACTAAATGAAGTTATAAAACATTATCAACAGAGTGAGCAACAGTCACAGTCCAGCTATTTTGCAGTCTTCTCATGCATTGCATCAATGTGTTTCGTCTTGCAGAGTTGTCCCCCCTTATTGTGCTTTGCCAAAATTTATCAAATGTAAATACATTTGTGAAAACAGGTGTTTTTTTGTCTTCAGAAAACCTCAGCAGATGCCAACCTATGGTCTTTCCAGGTCCTTGTTTTAAATTATTCTTAAATTGGAATGTTTACATGTACAACAAAACACAAAATAACCTCTCTTCTGTTATACCTGCTTTTAGCCTTTTCGTTTAGGCTAATATTAATGAGTCCTTCAAACCCTCATATCACATGGTAATTGGATGTTCAATGTGTGCCTGCTACCAAGCATGCCAAATTGGACATCACTGAAATACCAGCAGTTTGATACATATAAAAGTAATGAGTGATCCTTGTCCGCATTTAATATAGCGAGACATGTATATGTGGACATATTAGATTTTATAGTCACGTCAGGTACTCTGCACACTGGCGGAAACATGACATACATAACAGCTCACAACAAGGCAGAATGTGAGCAGGGCTCACTAACTACCCAGACTGAGTCCAACATATTTCAAAGTTCAAACCATGAACAAGCAATATTTTATCGAACCCACTTATCGAAATCAAACTTTGCACTGCACCTCTCCTATTGGTATAAAATCTGTACCCCCAATTTGAAGAAAATCCATGAAGTAGATTTAAAGTAAGAGGTCGCACAAATGTTGAAATAAAAAAATATTCAACTTCAAAACATGAAAAAAATAATTTTTTTAAGAAAAACACACATATCAAAATCAAATTTTGCACTTCCCCCACCTATGAGTAAAGAAAGTCTACCCTAAATTTAAAAAAAAGAATCCATCCAGTAGTTTTCAAGTTATAGGTCACACAAATGTTTCAATAAAAATATTCAAAGTGAAAAATAAAAAATAGCTCAGGAAATCCAAATATTGAATCAAACTACACACTGCACCTCTCCTATTGCTAAAGAAATTGTTCACCAAGTTTAAAAAAAATCTATAGAGTAGTTTTCAAGTTAAAGGCAGCACACACAAAATGTCCCCGGATGGGAGGATGTAATTCCTTGAGGGGGGTGGCAGGGTGGGGGTGGGGGTTGTGGTAAACAACACTTGGAACCTGTACAATCTTCGACTGTGACCTGACCTATCTCTTAATATGACCTGTCTGGAATTTCCTGCTTTTGATTTCATGGAGGTTACATCACTGGTTAAGCAGCTGAAGTTAAGTTTGTGAGGATATTGTTTACTCGAATTGCTATCACTCCATACTATCATGGAAATTAAAGTCTACAGTCTTGATGTTATTGTTTGCTGATTAGGTTGAAAATTTCAACTTCAAAGAGAACAACATGGTTTTGGCATTTCTAAAATTTGTACATGTTGTATACAAAGGGTACCATAAATCATGAAATAACTGTCACCAAATTAATATGACACAGAATGTGTCAGGAGATTAATGTGAGTGGATATAAAAAACATGTTGTTCACTGCCTACTTTCAAAGTGGCCTGGATGTTCTTTGTGGTCAAATCTACAGCCATCAAGCATGTCAAGTGAGGGAGGTGTCGTTGTTTCGTGTCGGCTGGTTCAAGTAAGAGTAATTAGATTCATAGTCTTATTGGACTGGAAACAAACCTCCGATAAAGTATCAATGCATTTGGTAAGGAATGTTTTAGATGAAAGATGCCTTTCTTGTAACTTCCAGGACTTCAGATAACTTTTTTAGACTCATGTTATCATTTACTTTCGGTATTGATAATTTTAAACCTCATTAAAGTCAGACCTTAGTTTTCGTTACCGCTTAAAAAGATCGGAAGACATCCCATTAGGGGTCACGTCAGAACGACCTTTCATCCGACCAATCAGGGTTAGAAACTAAGTTTTTGTCCACTAGTCCTTATAATGATAACATATAGCAAAACCCTTAAAATGGGCCAATTTCTACTAGTCCTTAGGATACCTTTACTATTGGGCAGTTTGGTAAGGAGTACAGGACTAGTGCCAATTTCTGATGCTGCCAATCAGAGCGTCGCTTACTAGATTATGAAAGTGACAGTCTGAATGTGATTTCTAATCATGCAACCTTGAAAACTATATTCCAAACGATAGTTACGGGTTTAACGACTGAATTCATACAAGCTAGCCCATCTATTAGCCATTCCAGAATGTTCTTTTGTTCAGGTTTCAAATTTGCAATCGAGAATTTGTCAAAATATGTTTTGAAGCGTAGTCGCCAATTTGAATTTGTGCCATAAAGCACGAGAAAGCTGCCTTCTGATTGGTCATTCCATTGGTCAGTCAAAGTTCGCTCAAGGTCGGTCTGACGTAACCCGTCATGGGATGTCCTCAGATCTTTGTTTAGCGGTAGCAAGAACTAAGATCTGATTTTAATGAGATTGGATAATTTATTGATCCCGATGAGCTAAGAACAAATAGAAGTAGGCCTTCAATATGCTAATTACAAAATTGTAAAAATAAATATAAAGTAGGGGTCATTTTCTGGTGCACAAGAAGACAGTATTATTCAAGCCTAATAATAACTGAGTGAAAAAAACAAAAATCACCTTCCAATAAGATTGACTGCTCCATTGGCTGTTCTGGGTGGGAAATATTCAAGTGAGAAAAAGTGATCTCCAGAACCAATCCTGCGGTTGATGCGGTCAATCAGTCTGTGGTACCGAGGGGTCCAGTGAAGTGGGGTGGGGCACCGTGACGACCCTGGAGATACTCCCCCTTCGGAAGATCCAGACGAAGAGCTGTCAGATGTACTGCTCGCATTGGCACACAGCTTCTCGATCTCAGGCATGACTCAATTGAACTGAAAACAAAAAGACAGAAAATATAACTCACTCTAGCCACCAGTCCAGATTAATGCTTAGTCTCCGAAAATATATTTTTTTGACAGAAACAAGCAACTACATCATAATCCTTTTAAGTTTTTAATCAAGGTGCCCATGTGACTTGATGCACTTCACAAAGTAAGACCCGTTTATCACAATATAGATTTTTATTATTGATCAAATCATCATGACAATCAAGCAAATGCAAGTGATACGAGAGGTGGAATCTGATTGGTCAATAGGAGGGACATAGAAGGGACATAAGTTGCAATAGCCACTGGTTGAGCACAGAAATTCCAGCCTAGTTCAACAAGGGTTGAAACTGTTCTTTTACAGTCAGTTAATTCCCTTGCCTCAGGAAGATGACTTTAAAAGTCACTAGCATTTGAATAGCAGGCAGGTGGCTATTTTGAATACTGACCTTAACTATTATGAAGTTTGGTAAGTATTATACACAAGGCTAGTATGATTATCTAATCCCCATGAACATAATGTTGAGGTTCAGATTACACTTAATTCCACGATATTTCTGTTCATTTGTTTGCTGTTTAATGGTGCACTCAGCAATACAATGGCTGAAAATAATCTAGTCTGGACCAGACAAACCAGTGATCGACATGATGAGCAAGCATCTCCACCATTGGGGCGATTCTGTCAGCAAGTTCATTAGCTCTTCCTTTTGTCACAACCAGCGGTGCCACTAATAAAGTCGGCACCTTATTTTAGAGTTGGTTTGATAATCAGAACCACATCAATTATGTTTTTTTAAACCAAAGTCTAAGCTGTAACTTATTGATGACAAACATTCAGACCAGGCCACATTCTGTTTCAATGTTTGAGAATGGCCTAACAAATCCCTTCCATTGACAAACAACTTCTCTATTGGGATTTACCAACTGACAAAATCAATTTTTTGTGTGTTCAAAGCAGCACTTTACTCAGCAGATTTCACAACAAAAGCCTTCCGTGTATACATTCGTAACACAGCAACAAGCTCCTTCAACAGGAAATATATCCAGCAGGAAAACGATCAGTTATGTTATCAAGAGACCAGTTGAACTGACAATAAAGGGCAACAAACTGTATCAGATTGAATCCATGCTGGGACAGGAACGTATCCCAATGTTTGTCACAAACCCGTCACACAGATGCCAAGGTGTGCCATAGGGCACTAACACAGTTACAGATGCCTTAAGGTACCAGGAACTTATTTCCACCATGCTAATGACACAACAAAACAAGGAATTCTGAACCCTGCGTCAGTTACTGAGTCTGGACCAGACAAGCCAGTGCATGTTAACTGTATTTTATTTGTACTTTGCATCTGTTTACAGAAAACTTCTGTTGTAAATTAACCTGAATTTAACAACACACATACATATACATTTGTTTTTGTCTCCTGCATTTCATTTTCATGATTAAATAAATTCTACCCTATTAGCAGCATTCAAAATAAAGAAACAATTCTCCTTGATAAGAGTCAAGGTTTTTTTTTATACAATTCCTTTGCTTAAAAAAAAAGAGTTAAAAAAATCTTGCGTTTCTCGGACCCTTTAGTCTCAAAGACTGGCTCAACTTCCGTTTCATACTAAATTTTACATTTAGTACTCAAGTTTTATGTTCAATTTTGGCACAAAGTCTGTGCTATAGCTAATGCATTACGTTGACTCCAAACAAAGAGTTAGTTTGCCACATGATATCGGACCAAAAAGGAAAAAAAGCATTGGGAAAACTGACAAATTCCCATTATTCACTTGCCACCCAACAGTTGCTGTGAAGTTAACATGTAATCAACCGCTGTATTTTGGAATAAAACTGAAAGTTTTCTGACAAACAGTTTGTTTACTTTGAAATTTTAAATCAAAACAATGATAAACATTATTTATAAATCCTGACCCATTGTCATCACCCATATCAGTTTGATGATTACTAAGTGATGACTAATCAGAACTTGAGATAATTATTTGAAAACCACAATTGTGAAATACAGGAACAAATTAAACAAATTATCTGTTTGAGTGCCATATATTTCCGCTACTGTAGTAGTAATTTGTGAATAAGAATGCGATAAACATCATGGGAGTGTCTCTAGTAAGTCCTATTTACATATTAACATGCAACAGCAGATTACCTTTACTTACACTAGCAACGATTCAAACAGATCAGATTCATGATTTGCATATACATATTACTTCAGTAATTTCAGAGTTAGCTAATTGCCACTGCCCAATATACCACTTTAAGGTGTTTGCTATATGTTATCATTATAAGAACTAGTGGACTAAAAAGGTTAGTTCCCACCGCTGGCTTAGTCTTGTGGTGTAAGTATTTGACAGTTATCAGCTGATCTGACAGCAGACTCGTGTCTTTATTATGGCAACATAGAGACTAGATCATCACTGAAATGTTTTGATATTTCTGCATTTGCAACAAAATACATATACAGTTTGATAAAAATGTTTTATATACGTCGGAGGTCAAGAACTAGCTTATACCTGTAGGCCCTAATATATGCACAAGAGCATCCTTTGTTTTAAAAGACTCTGCACATTGTCAAAACGATAAAGTCTAAATAATGCTATAAATATGCAATCACGGTCCCTGCACGTGTTAGGTTAATTTTTCAAGGACACATGAACATTCGTCTAACGAATAAAATTACCTGCACTTGCACTTAATACATTTTTCGAGGCATAGACAACTTAGAAATCAATTGCAACGTGAAGTCACTGTCACCCACCGATTGACAACTAACGAAGAGGCTGTGTGTGGGGCCTCAGCCGTATTTATGCTATCAGAAACCAATCAAAATTGAGCATTCTAGGTCAACCTTGCGGACAACCTGTATACTAAGGGGAGACTACTGGAAAAAATACGTGGTTCTAATAGTTTGACGAGATGAGATTGTGTGACATTGACAGTTTGGGTCAACGTAAACTTTCTGTAAACAGTTCGTGGTTGTAGGTCGCTTGTAAATTTCCGTCACTGACAATACTGATGATAAACTTGTGTTTTATTCTAAAAGACTGGAAAATAAACCATAACGGCTTCACTGTATTTTAGAACATATTTATTGAAGAAAATGGGAAAAATATGATACAGTCTAAAGACCAATCTCACCGCCCCAAACCAACCCTGTGATACATGACCAGTACCTTAAGACTTAACGTTTCTTCACAAGAACATTGATAGCTCAATAAAACTTGATAGATTTCATAATGTCATTCTAAAAACGTTCAGGTTTAAGTAACAAACCTTAGCAACTTCATTCAAATCAGATACTAAGATATCTGATTTAAATGAGATTGACAAATTTAGTACAACGTATGGTTACATCAGTGGTTTCTACTTTTTGTTCTATTTTTGCTGTTGTTTCATCGAAAAAGACTGAAAATGTAACCTTTCACTAACTCTCTTTAAAATCCCGTTTTCATCGAATTTTGGGAAAAGAAAACGATGGGAAATAAGATGCCCATTGATAAAAAGACCACCGCGTCGATATTTCAACATTATGTATTTCATTCTCTACACGTGTTCTCGCCGCGCAAATATTTTGCCGCAGCGGGTAAAAGAAACATCACTTTCACTCTGTTTGTCACTCGTGAATCAACCCATATGCTTGTCTCCCCTGTGAAGATCCTGGTTAGAATTGATCTTCAGCAACATATGCATGCTTGTCGTAAGAGGCGACTATGCTTGTCATAAGAACAACGGGATCGGATGGTCAGGCTCGCTCTCTTGGTTGATGCGTGTCATCGTATCCCAATTGCGTTGATCGATGCTTATAATATCAGTCACTGGATTGTTTGGTCCAGACTCGATAATTTACAGACTGCCGTCATATAGCTGGGATATGGGTGCGTTTAACAACAAACAAACAAAATACTATATATGTATATACGAAAACGGATAGAGCGAAAGCGAGATTTTCTCGAGGGAAATAACACGCGCATGTACACTGTACCTATTATGACTGTAACGCTGCATATTGATCACGACATAGATATATACACAGGTGTGCTTGTCTCATGCATGGGATGCGCTACATGGATATGTAAACGCACCGGCAACACGAAGCAGCCGAAGGCGGTTTATATCATGCAACAGAGCAGAGTACATATATCACATTACATAAACAGGCAACCTTACAACACCATACCAACAGTAATTCAAAGGGGATTGGTAATCCTAGTTGATAACAGCCCTCGGTGCATGCGCCTTTCACTTCAATCAGCTATTCAACAATCGACTTGCTTCTGAAAGGTGTTTACGTACACACCCCGCTAGGGCTGGGAACTCGGGTACTCGAGTCGGGTGGGTATACTGAGTAGGACCCCGGACCCGTGGTTAGTCATGTGATATATTTTTTTATGACATTAACAATAAATTTTCATAGCTACATTCCTTCTGATTTTTATATGTTTTAGTAAAGACAATTTAAAGCTTCAGTCAACTTCATTATATGCACGATGAGATCGTTTTATACTATATATATATATACTTTTGCCAGTAAGAAACTCCCCACCTCGAGTGGGTACCCGGGTAGCAAATTTAGACTCGCCCAAGCCTCACACCCCGCCCCCTATAATAAAAGACTAGTCCCCTAGGCACCGTTATGATGGCTTTCTTAATAGCGAGCGCAGACTGAGCCGTTATACGATGTGTTTATAATTACTCCATCCACTGTTTGACTAAATGGTAACCAATCTGACTATACCTTGCATACTGACGTGGCCTAAATGTAACAAACATGTCACTATGCTGTCAGTACTCCGAAAGCCAGAGCATACATGCATTGATTTACATACAGTGAGGCAAATACCGACCTTGCCCTTGATGTACATAATTGAACATTGTCACCACGTGGTGTTTACGTGCCGCACGAGTCGGAGTCACGGTTGGTTACTATAATTACGAATTTACGTGGTATCCGAGGCGTGATGGCTATTTGGAACGGCCTATCTTATGACAAGGGGTGCGATTCGCCTGGTGCTTGGAATTATTGTTCAGTTTGTTTACTTATTCAAAAAGTGCAGCAAAATCTGCATCACATGTATATTTTCCTTGACAGTGTATTTTTGTCTAAAATATCCCTAAATATAAACAACCTTATGGTGTCAAGTATGGGGGTGTCTCTGATACTGCAAGGTGTCAAGTATGGGGGTGTCTGTGATACTGCAAGATGTCTGCAACTGCAATTAAGGTGTCAAGTATGGGGGTGTCTGTGATACTGCAATGTGTCTGTGATACTGCAAGGTGTCAAGTATGAGGGTGTCTGTGATACTGCAAGATGTCTGCAACTGCAAGGTGTCAAGTATTGGAGTGTCTGTGATACTACAGGCTGTCAGGTATGAGGGTGTCTGTGATACTGCAAGCTAGGTGTCTGTGATACTACAGGCTGTCAGGTATGAGGGTGTCTGTGATACTGCAAGCTAGGTGTCTGTGATACTGCGTGGTGTCAAAGTATGAGGGTGTCTGTGATATTGCAACATGTCTGCAACTGCAAGGTCTTGTATGGGGGTGTCTTTAATATCGCAAGGTGTCAAGTATGAGGGTGTCTGTGATACTGCAAGGTGTCTAGTATGAGGGTGTCTGAGATATTGCAAGGTGTCTAGTATGAGGGTGTCTGTGATACTGCAAGGTGTCTAGTATGAGGGTGTCTGTGATACTGCAAGATGTCAAGTATGAGGGGGTCTTTAATTCTGCAAGGTGTCAAGTATGAGGGGGTCTTTAATTCTGCAAGGTGTCAAGTATGGGGATGTCTGTGATACTGCAAAATGTTAAGTATGGGGGTGGCTGTGATATTGCAAGACGTCTGTAACTGTAAGGTGTCAAGTATTGGATTGTCTGTGATACTGCAAGATGTCAAGTATGAGGGGGTCTTTAATTCTGCAAGGCGTCAAGTATCGGGGTGGCTGTGATATTGCAAGACGTCTGTAACTGCAAGGTGTCAAGTATTGGATTGTCTGTGATACTGCAAGATGTCTGCAACTGCAAGATGTCAAGTATGGGGGTGTCTGTGATATTGCAAGACGTCTGTAACTGTAAGGTGTCAAGTATTTGATTGTCTGTGATACTGCAAGGTGTTAAAGTTTGGGGATGTCTGTGATACTGCAAGATGTCTGCAACTGCAAGATGTCAAGTATGGGGGTGTCTGTGATATTGCAAGACGTCTGTAACTGTAAGGTGTCAAGTATTGGATTGTCTGTGATACTGCAAGGCGGTAAAGTTTGGGGATGTCTGTGATACTGCAAGATGTCTGCAACTGCAAGATGTCAAGTATGGGGGTGTCTGTGATACTGCAACATGTCAAGTATGAGGTTGTCTGTGATACTGCAAGATGTCAAGTAAGAGGGGGTCTTTAATTCTGCAAGGTGTCAAGTATGGGGGTGTCTGTGATACTGCAACATGTAAAGTATGAGGTTGTCTGTGATACTGGAAGATGTCAAGTATGAGGGGGTCTTTAATTCTGCAAGGTGTCAAGTATGGGGGTGGCTGTGATATTGCAAGACGTCTGTAACTGTAAGGTGTCAAGTATTGGATTGTCTGTGATACTGCAAGATGTCTGCAACTGCAAGATGTCAAGTATGGGGGTGTCTGTGATATTGCAAGACGTCTGGAACTGCAAGATGTCAAGTATGGGGGTGTCTGTGATACTGCAAGATGTCAAGTATGGGGGTGTCTGTGATATTGCAAGACGTCTGCAACTGCAAGATATCAAGTGTGGGGGTGTCTGTGATACTGCAAGGTGTTAAAGTTTGGGGATTTCTGTGATACTGCAAGATGTCTGCAACTGCAAGATGTCAAGTATGGGGGTGTCTGTGACATTGCAAGACGTCTGCAACTGCAAGATATCAAGCATGGGGTCTTCTGTGATACTGCAAGGTGTTAAAGTTTAGGGGTGTCTGTGATACTGCAAGATGTCTGCAACTGCAAGATGTCAAGTATGGGGGTGTCTGTGATACTGCAAGATGTCAAGTATGAGGTTGTCTGTGATACTGCAAGATGTCAAGTATGAGGGTGCCTGTGATACTGCAAGATGTCAAGTATGAGGGTGTCTGTGATACTGCAAGATGTCAAGTATGAGGGTGTCTGTGATACTGCAAGGTGTCTAGTATGAGGGTGTCTGTGATACTGCAAGGTGTCAAGTATGAGGGTGTCTGTGATACTGCAAGGTGTCAAGTATGAGGGTGTCTGTGATACTGCAACATGTCAAGTATGAGGTTGTCTGTGATACTGCAAGATGTCAAGTATGAGGGGGTCTTTAATTCTGCAAGGTGTCAAGTATGGGGATGTCTGTGATACTGCAAGATGTCAAGTATGGGGGTGTCTTTGATACTGCAAGATGTCAGGTATGGAGGTGTCTGTGATATTGCAAGACGTCTGAAACTGCAAGATGTCAAGTATGGGGGCTTCTGTGATACTGCAAGGTGTTAAAGTTTAGGGATGTCTGTGATACTGCAAGATGTCCGCAACTGCAAGATGTCTGCAACTGCAAGATGTCAAGTATGGGGGTGTCTGTGATACTGCAAGATGTCAAGTATGGGGGTGCCTGTGATACTGCAAGATGTCAAGTATGAGGGTGTCTGTGATATTGCAAGATGTCAAGTATGAGGGTGTCTGTGATACTGCAAGATGTCAAGTATTAGGTTGTCTGTGATACTGCAACATGTCAAGTATGAGGGTGTCTGTGATACTGCAAGATGTCAAGTATGAGGGTGTCTGTGATACTGCAAGATGTCAAGTATGAGGGTGTCTGTGATACTGCAAGATGTCAAGTATGAGGGTGCCTGTGATACTGCAAGATGTCAAGCATGAGAATGTCTGCGATACTGCAAGATGTCAAGTATGAGGCTACAGCGAAGCTCCTCCCATATAGCGGGGTCTGCATCATGAAAGCTATCGAATATATTCCCACACCATTGTTGGTGTAATTAATCCAACTGCTGAGGACCTTAGCGTCCGTAACGTCTCATGTAGGCGACGTTCCTCCGTGGAAGTCCAAGTCAAGTAGGACAGTATTCGTAGTGTTATGTTTAGTGTTCCAACGCCCTGGAACGTCCTTGAGTCGTCAGTCCAGACATTCAATCATACTACTCAACGTTTGACAGGGGCAATCAGATATGTCAGATAGATTTAAATACACACGTGACATAGAAAGATAAAAATTTCCCCTATCAAATATGAGCAGCTGCTGTCTGGTCTTGGTCTTGAAAGCGGGAATGCAGGTTCGGTAGCTTATACGGTATACTGACATACACTATTCATGCAGACCTTTGTGTTTGCGGTCTCTTTTTTCGATGAATACATCAATGTAATGCTGCATTAAATCTTTGAAAGGCATTTAGACACACATAAGGAAGATTATTTATGGATGTCAACTTCTTTATTATGAGGAACGATGTGTTCCTCATAATAAAGAAGTTGACATCCATAAATTCATTCCCTAATGCTGCATTGTATTGTAAAAGGTCGACTGTACAACGGTCGTAGTGACACAGCTGTAATATTGCTAGTTGTGGCGTCCAGGCAACGATGCACACAGCTCATGTTTGATTGAGAGTGCCGTATTTCCATCAACAGACGTATGTTCAGCATCTGGCGTTTATCGGAGACCCGTTGTATATTAGAGACCTGGCATTAATTAGATACCCGGTGTATATTTCTTGGCGGGGCGGTCGGGTAGCCCAGTGGTTAAAGCGTTCGCTCGTAACGCCGAAGACCCGGGTTCGATTCCCGACGTGGGTACGATGTGTGAAGCCCATTTCGTGTGTCCCCCGCCGTGATATTGCTGGAATATTGCTGAAAGCAGCGTAAAACCATACTCACTATTTCTTGACGGCTCCATGAACGGCTACCGACACATTTTGACCTTCTCTCCACGTTTCTCTGCACTGATGATTTCTTTACATTATCGTCGTGTCTTGACCTGCGGTGTGCAGGACACTATAGTGCTCAAAAGAAGTTAAGGATAACCCGACATAACAGATTAAGCTGATGGCATGACAGATTAACTATAGGAACATGAAAGAATCGGGCAATGGATGCATAAGAAAAGGGAAGCACAAGGTGTAACATGGGTATCATCAGAATATGATGGCGGTGTATTAGGGTGCTAACAAAGAAAGGCAAGATGGGTGTGTAGTGAAACAAATGAGCGTCTCCGATGGCTTGATCAATAATGGATCATGCCCCTATGATTAGTAAAATATTTGTCTTTAGGGCGTGGTATGTTCCAAATCAACCTGCCAATGACAATTTGAGGTAGTCGTGTCCACTCCTCTTGCAGCGCCTGGCCCAGTTCGGCTGACGTAGCGGGTGGCCTATGACGTCGGCGTACACGTCTCACGATCATGCGCCTGCCGTTTTCCATGGCCATTGCATTCTGGGGACGTTTTGCTGCTGGGGGAGGTCAGGAACACATGGTGGGAACGAGCGTTATCCTCTTGAAAGACAAAACATTGACCAACATGGCGCGCAAACGGTACATTTATTGGCGCCAGTATGTTGTCTTGGTTGACCCTTGCATGGACAATATGCAGTGGCGTTCTGGCAGTCGTGTTGATCCCGAATCGTATAATCACAGACTCGCCCCCTAAATCTGTCATGTCGCCTTACCGTGACGTTCGCACGACGTCAGTTTGGACGACCCCAGACACGTCTTCACCAATCCATGAGTTCAGACTGAATTTGAAAACATTACACGAGACCATCGACGATTCCTCCAGTTCCTACGTATAGGATATAAACCGCCTCCGCGGGCTATCCGTGAACATAATGCAGTCCGGCAAAGTCCGTAGGCCCAAGGGCTTTTCCTGCGCTGGAAATCATTATTTTCACGGATAGCAATAGGTGAAGGTTTATATCTGACTTATGAACCGACAGATATGAAGATGCTTTTTTGTTTACATGACATAACTTTAATTCTGAAATTTCATTTGTAGCACTCGAAAGTTCTCAGTCAAAAGCGCACAGCTCGAGAATCCCGTGGGAAGAGGGATTTTCGGAGAAAAGAACAACCTGTTGTAACAATGGTCATGCATCACTGGAGGTTTATAATCTCTACATGCCAATGGCGTCTGGCTAGAATGTGTTGATTTATTAACGGTGGTACAACACGTGATCCCCGAGCATGCAGAATAGCTACATGCACATCTGAACTGCGGTTGCCTGGCGCAAGTGAACAGCAATTGGATTTGTCGTTTCCTGAAACCTGGTTTCTGTCCAAGGACGTCCTGTGCCGGGCCGATCATGAACATTTTGTGACCGCACAAACCTGTTCCAAAGTCTTCAAAACACTGACAAAAAACTGAACAAACTGGCTACGCACCTATCGCCGAGTTTGAGTGAGTGAGTTAAGTTTTAAGTCACATCGGCAATATTTCAGCCATATCGTGACTATCAATGGTTAAGTATAATACATATAATGAAGCTTATGTAAAAACCTGTCAACGAGGGACAGTAAAAGAACTAGACATATCACAGAAATAAATGTAAAACTAGTATTTAATCATAAAATCAATAGCACTATACAAAACATGACAGTAAAAACGGGCTATAGATCGCCAGCAACTGAAGGTAGACCACCATGCTAGGGTCCATGGGGACTTACAGTACTTTTGCTACCTGCATGGACCCCAGCCGGATTTACATCATCCCTTCAGCTGTTGGCGATTATTGACAAATCTAGCCACAATTTAAAGGAACATATATGCTGCGATTAAAAAGGTGGCTTTGAAAGTCACGGTCTTACGTATCCTCTCAGGGGGACAATAATTTTACACTACTTTAACCCCCTTTGAGGATCCAGCCATCGCCGAGTTTGAAGCTTATCCATCAGCCTCAGGCTTTCGTTGTAGAAGACGCATTCCCAATCTGATCACATATAGTGGGTGTTATTGTGGCAAGTGAAAATCAACAATACTTGTGGCTCAGATCGATTTGCCGACCTTTCAGTGAAGTCAAGGATGCCCCTACCCGTGCACGGAGGAATTGGATGGTCCGTTGCAGTGTTTCGGCTGTGTTGGGAAGTACATTTTTTAAAGTTGATCTTTCTTCTGACGAACCCTGCGTTTATTGGAACTCGGCTTCACAGAAGAAATGCGATGTATGCAGTGAACAGAGTATAGATGTGTCACCTGTGTTGATCATTTCTAATATATCGTTGTGAGTTTGTTCGTTTTTAGAACGTGACAAGCTGACGCATGCAAATCTAAATACACAAATGTTTAAACGTTCAACATCTTGGCTATGTACGCTGCTGGAGAATAGTTTCTTGCTACAGTCCCCTTAAGCATTCCGATTTTGTTTGTTGTTTAACACCACACTCAGAAATATTCCAGCTGTACGACGGCGTGTTCAAATTTGGGTTAGAGTATATCTTTCGTTATTAAGAAAGGCACCCGGGTGTTCGTTGTAAAGCCACACTCAGCAGTATTCCAGCAATATGAAGCGGTCTATCCAGTCGATTATGAACCAGACAATCCAGTGATAGACATCATGAGCTTCGATCCACGCAATTGGGATACGAAGACATGCTTCAACCAAGTCAGCGAGCCTGACAATGTCACACAATGCCATTGAGACAGCATGGGCTGCTGATGACCAGTTCTAACCCGGGCACGACAACGACCGCTTCAGCTACACTATCACGCACAAGACGCACAATGTGATCATCCGATTTGTTTTGTTTCTGGTTATACGCCGTACTCAGCAATATTCCAGCCTTATATCGAGTCTGGACCAGACAAACAAGGGATTGATATTATTAACAACGTTCCACACCATCGGCGTACAATGACATACAATCAACCAAGTCGCTGAGTCTGACCACCTGATTCATTTAGCCAGCCATGACAAGCAAGCACAGCTTTCCGAGGACAGACTATCTCAAGGTCTGTCCTCTTACATGGGGTTGTAAGGGGTGGGGCTGGGGTAGGGGGGAGCAGTACTAACATAGTAGCCACATTAACGCATGCGGTACTCGAACGCGGTTTCCGCGTGCCCTAGTCACTGGACCTACCAACACGATAATTGGAAATGGAAGCAATATATTACGAGTTTGTAAATAAGTCTCGGTCATAGGGTCATTGTTAATAAACAGTGAACACTTCAGCAATGGGGAGACAATCACACAGACATTATGTTGGATAGATGACATTAACTCACGCCCACGCGTCATACTGATAATGGAGTGAGTTGGGTTTCACGCCGCTTTTATAACAGGATTCCAGTTATATCAGGACTGACAGCTTAATGTGAGAGGAAAGCCCGAAGTGGTGCAGGTTTCGGTCGGTTACCAATATCGATCTACCCAATTGGGATACGATGACATGCATCAACAAAGTCAGCGAGCCTGACCACCCGATCCCGTTAGTCGCCTCTTACAAGCATGGTCGTCTTTTACGGCAAGCAAAGCCCGAGGTGATGCAGGTCTTACACCAACATTAACATCAGATCTTTGTGTTCTCTGTCGACTCTCTGCCTGCCCCTCACGTAAAATATATTGAAGATGTAAACGCCTTTTATTAACAGAACCACCTAGTACTTACTGTGAAATCATTCGTCTTTACAATTTGTTTGGTTGTTTAACGCCGCACTCAGCAGTATTCCAGCGATATGATGGCGGTCTGTAAATAATCGACTCTGGACCAGACAATCCAGTGATTGACATCACTTGCCTCGATCCACGCAACTGGGATAGAACATGCATCAACCTAGTAAGCGAGTCTGACCACCTGATCCTGTTTGTCGCCTCTCACAAGCACGGGTGGCTGAAAATCAATTTTAACCGATCTACACGGGTCCGTCTTTACAAATCATGGGTACACAGTAATCGACATTTCCAACACGACGGGTTTTACGTACTATATTGGAGCTCTGCCGGCTAACTGAATTATGGGCTCGGTATAAGTGCCTAATCCTATTGCCTCTATTCTGCTATCGAAGCTCACCTCGAGTAATAGGTCTGTCGGAAAACTACTCACGTTTCGACGTTCATTCATACAGATAACATTTCATTCACAGGCCTGGACCAATCAGATCGCCGCAGTTGGTGTGACCAACCCCGGGGGCGGATGACAGTGACCCACAATTCACATTCTCCGCGTTATCTTACCTGGGGTCAAGGAACTGAGTTCACATAGCGACCTGGTTATCGACCGGATGACACACGGGCGCCAATGCTGGAATGTCACTCTGAGCCGCACTGGCTGCGGTTGAAAATATTTATTGTTACACGCCACACTCGGCAATATTCCAGCTATCTGACGGCGGTCAGGCAATCCAGTGATTGATATGAGCATCGATCTACGCAATTGGGATACGATGACATGCATCAACCAAGACGGCGAGCCTGACCACCCTATACCGTAAGTAGCCTCTTACGACAAGCATGGGTTGCTGAGTGAGTATGGTTTTACGTCGCTTTTAGCAATATTCCAGCACTATCACTGCGGGGGGCACCAGAAATGGGCTTCACACATGGTGCCAATGTGAGGAAACGAACCCGGGTATTCAGCATGACGGACGAACGAACGCTTTAACCACAAGGCTACCCACACCGCCCCCATGGGTTGTTGAAGTCCAATTCTAACCTGGACCTTCACGGGTCTTTGACTTAAGATGACCATTATGGCCTTTACAAAGTGTTGAGTAGTATATTTCAAGCAACACACTGAGCATAGGCAGAATACGTTCCTCCGTTTATTGTCAAATGGTTCATCAAATAGCATCCTATTTAATGTCTTCCTTTATGTCTTGGTCGATGATCTGCTGATGCTGTCTATTCAAATCCCTGTACATGACCGTCATGGAGCGAAGGACACGAGATATGGCGACGATGAAGATCAGCATTATCACAACCAGAGATACCAAGGGAATGATGGAAGCCATCACTACGGTCAGTATGAGGTCTTCTGTCACTTCTGAACCGGGAATGTCCTTCTCAGCTACTATTCTTGAAGTTGTGTCCTCGGGAGCAACTGGGCTTTCGTGTGTAATGAGATTGGTGAGATGAGTTTGCCGGGATGTAGGTATGTCTACCCTTGCAGTCATGATATCTGAAACAAAGAAGTCTCTTTAAGACTCTAAATTGTTTTCAGTAGTGTGGGCGATTGCATGTTATATGCCACAGTCAGTTATTGTACATATGCACGTACGGCCTGTAAATAGTCTGTGCCTTGGCCAGGTTTGGTGTGGTTTGGTTTTACGCCGCAATCAGCAATATTCCAGCTATATGACGGCGGTCTGTCAATAATCGAGTCTGGACCAGACAATCCAGTGATTGACAAATGAGCATCGATCTACGCAATTGGGATCCATGACATGTGTCAACCAAGTCAGCGAGCCTGACCACCCTATCCCGTTAGTCGCCTTTTACTACAAGCATAGTCGCCTTTCACGACAAGCATGGGCTGTTGAAGGCCTATTCTACCCCGGATCTTCACGGGTCCCTCTGCCAGGAAGACTAATGGTTGACAGCAGGACCAACAATCTACGCCCTTAAACCTGAGTCGTTACCTTCTGGACTACGGAAGTCTCACTCACGTTTGTTCTTGTATGTGTCTTTTTCCTCATATGGGCCCAAATGACGCCTCCGGCGGACTGGGTCTTCACACGAATCCTTCAATGCAGAACAGAGCCATGCCAAGACATACCTTAAGCAAATGTAACGTTCGAGGAGACGTATTTACCTCGCTTTGAACAGTATACCAGTTCCACCAGGGCGTGTGTTTTGAACATTAAAAACCGAAAATGTCGAAGGTCATTAATGTTGATTATTTTTGTGAAAGGCGGTTACATGGGTCCGATGGTGACAAAGGGAGACAATCTGGGATAATCAATGATTCGAACCTATTGTAGGACAACTCAGGCATATAGGGTAAGGAAAGCAACTCGCGTGCCGGGACCTGCTGAAGGTGATTCAGAGGGAATCACGGAATGGTCACCGAGACAATGGAGGGGGTCATCAGAAATCCTGCACATATTTTGGGAGGGTCATCAAAAACAGGACATATTATTATAAAGTGCTTCTTGCATTTTGTCTTTTCAGGGAGGGTCATGAAAAAAGGAAAAAACGTTAACTTTACATTTAGATGTTATAAGGAGCTTACCGTCCGTTCAATATTTTTTCGCATTATTTAGCGATGTGCGCGTGTCTGCTGGTCCGGTTTTGTGGTGCTATCTTTCAGAGATACCAGTCACAGTTTAACATGGATACTGAACCGACCAGTCCTTATCTCCATAATGCCGAGTGCAAGGCACGTTAAAAACAAATACCATCTTTTAATCGAACCCCCCGACCTCCCGCCCTCGGGACAGACTACACCAACTAAACCACCGAGGCGTTCCTGTGCCAACATGGAGACAATTATGGCTTCACAGACTGGAAATACCTTACAAGACAAAGGAAGGGCTTACCCCGTCGCAGTTCTTACAGATGACAAATATACATTCAAAGCTCAAGGGCAGGGACCATCCCATGCGAAAGAATCGGAAGATCGGGCTGACGGAGACCTTCCCCGTGGTTGTGAAACCATTGTATCGGTCAAATATTGTTCCATCTCCACATCTGAAACAAAAGTTCTTCCCTGTAAGTTTGTTTTTTGTTTAACGCCGCACTATTCAAGCTATATATAACAGCGAATCCAAGTTTGGGCCAGGGAGCACAGTGGTCGGAAGCATGATCAACAAGGAGGTGATCGGGGTACGATGGGTTGCTGTCGCCCAAGTCAAACCGTCGAGCATGAGGCAAAGTGGATAGACTCTGTCAGGGTATCTCCTGTGGGTGAGGTGGTGAAATCGGGTTTAACGTCGCGTCCAAGATTATTACACTTATATAGCGACCTGCATGCACGTGTGTGGCTAGTCCGGACTGATGCCGATTTATAGTGCTAGCACATTGAGATACCATGCCGCAGTTTAACATGAATACCCCACTCAGACACATTATACTGACTCCGAGCCGACCAGTCCTTGTTTTAGCCCCTTAATGCCGAGAGCCAGACAGTTTAACAACAAGTACCATCTTTTGGTATGACGCGGCCGGGGATCGAACCTCGGAACTTCCGCTCTCTGGACGGACGCCCTACCACTAGACCACGGAGGCGGTCCTATCTTCTGTGGAATTGCTATATCGCCTAACTAGGGGTTGGCGTGAAGTACTTGGGGCATTTCGTATCGAACAATACTTATGTATCGATATATCGAAAACGTACACAGAACACAATATTCCCTCGATAGATAACCATTTAGGGTGTAGATGGCATGAAACGATAGGGAGTATAAAACATATATAGTGCATCCTTATTTCCGATTCGGAACTGCCTGTTAATGATCATAATCGAAATACAAAAAAATCAGATGTTGCTCTGAAACGTTTCGCTCACTCGTAACGAGAATACAGTAGCTTCGACACGTTTTAGAAAGCTCACTAGGCCTCATGACTAAAGGTTTCATTACTATGTTTAAACAGGTGTGGATATAGAGATACAGAAATGGTTTCAAAAGATTACAAGCTCAGATTTCCTGTCCCACCACATGCGCGAGTGATGTATATCACATCAAGTGTTTTAGCTAAGTTTCGCACTCTTTCTCATAAAAATAATGCGAAAACTAATGTTGACCAGTTGCTGCTATACTGTGACCATTGTGATGAATTTGTTGCCGAGTAAGACGACCATTTTGGTACTAGTCTGTTCACATTAAAAGCATTAACATTAATTCATTCCCAGTATTACCATAACATCCTTCTCGTCAGAATCAAATGAACTAATGTCCCCCACAACATATTCAACAGTAAAAGAATGTACATACAAAATTAAATTAAATTAAAATTAAAAATATTATGTATTACGTCTCATATTGAATGATTGCACATCACAATTAGACCCACAGATAGATTAGAATAAATGCATTGTACTCTGGACCACAAGGCCTCCAATACTGAAATAAAGAATACTGAAAACATAATTTTGAATCTTGAAAATAGAATCATGAATCTTGAATCTGTAGAGGGTTTGAGAGTCCGGCATACAATGGAGTGTCGTATCGGTGTGAAAGAACAGATTTTAATGAGATTGTACGTGCAAAGTAAAACGGTAAGTACTGGGCAATTCTCAACGTTATCCCTCTTATGACATCCAAACGAGTAAATGAAGAGCATTCTTGAAGAGATTACAAGAACTTATCTACCACTTGTGGAGTTTGAACACCTTCCGATTCCAAGCAGTTGTCAACGACAGTCCACAAGTCAATGGAAAACTACCCAGTGGCTTTCTATTTATATCAAGCTAATACTTGTGACGATGGTTGATAAACATAGGTTTGGCTGACAAACACTCCGGGTTCGAGGCAATCCAAAACAGTATCAAAACAGGCCTGAACAACTTTTTAAATGTATCTTGATGCCATCGTTAAGTTTCCCAGGCACAGACTAACACTGTACACTTAAATATGTTTTGCATATGTGCATAGACGTTAAATCGGGAATTTTCACATAATATCGCGGGTGTTCCTCAATCAGCGGGGCGATGGAGTAGCAACATGGTAAAGCGTTCGCTCTGACGCCGAAGTCCCGGGTTCGATTCCCCACATGGGTACAAATATGTGTTGTCCATTTCTGGTGTCCCCACAATTATAATGCTGGAATGTTGCTTAAAGCGGCGTAAAACCATACTCACTCCTCAATCAGCATGGTAACAAGTAATTCCAATAATCCAACTTATCAGTGGTGGTAGTATTGCACTGTCCCAACGCTAGTTTTTGGAATGATCAAACGCAAGTACTATCGAATAGTCCTAACGCTGTTAGTGTCAAACTGGGTCAACGGTAGTACTAATACTACCCTGACAGTACCACTAAACTGAAATGTTACGTATTATCGAACTACCCTAGCACCAGTACCAACGAAATAAATATCCTTGCGCTTCAGCGCCACCAGCCTTCAGGACGATACCGCAAGGTTTTGTTCGTTTGTTGTTTAACGCCACACTCAGCAATATTCCAGCTTACGGCGGTCTGTAAATAATCGAGTCAGTGCAAGACAGTCTAGTGATTGACATCATGATCATTGACCTACGCAAATGGGATACGATGACATGCATCAACCAAATCAGCGAGCCTGACCACCCGATTCCGTTAGTCGCCTCTTACGTCAAGCATAGTCGCCTCTTACGTCAAGCATAGTCGCCTCTTACGTCAAGCATAGTCGCCTCTTACGTCAAGCATGGTCGCCTTTGTCGGCAAGCATGGGTTGCTGAAGACCTATTTAAACACATCTGTGACGTCATTCTATTGTTTGAACGCTCCATTATTTCCAGGAATGGAAAGTTGCATGTCAGCTGTACATTATCTTGAAGCAGCATTTGAATTTTTCAAATATTTTCAACTTCAGAATATTTTTTCAAAGTGTAAATGTAGGGATGAGTTTTAAGTAGGGGAATATCCTCGTAACTCTCCATTCCTTAAAAATAATGTACCTCGGCCCCTGCGGGGCCTCTGCTCCATTATTTTTAAGGAATGGAGAGTTACTCGGACATTCCCCTCTACTTCTACCCCGGATCTCCACGGGTGAGGTCAATAGGAACATGACCAGGCTGATGGTCAACGTTGTTGTACTGACAAGTGGACTTGTAGTTTTGAAACGATCCCCAAATAAACCTTATGCTCCTTTGTAATAACTCCGAACTGGGATATCAGCCAAGTTAATGCGAAGTTGTACTCGGAATAGTCTGTCTCCCAGACCCTTGAGAATAAATTACAAAAGAGAGAGTCCAAATCAAGTCTAGAAGTCTAGATAGCTTTGGGTTCCATTTAGATTTTATTTTATTTTGCTTTGTTTTGTATATATATATATACTATCAAATAAGATAACTATTTCTGGAACTTAATTTCAGTCTATACTCGGGGTTGAAAATGGGAGTTTTGAGCTTATAAAACTATAAAATGAGATGGATTACTTACCCTCCATTCAGCACCACGTACGTCTCCTTGCCACTGATGGCTTTACAGGATACAGCATGGAAGCTTGTTTCAGCCGGAAAGTTCCCTGGAGAAAAGCAGCGTTTATGATAAGTACTGAAATCAGAGAGCTAGGATTAACACCCAATCTCAGTGGGGCGACGGGGTAGCTTGGTGGTCAAAGCCCCAAGACCTGGGTTCGATTCCCCCCATGGGTACAATGTGTGACATCCATTGCTGGTGTCCCCCGCCGTGATAGTGCTGGATAATTGCTTAAGGTGGCATAAAACCATAGTCATCCGATCTCGTTACATTCAGATCTCTTACTCTGATAGGATACCTCTGGCACAGGTCGTGTCAGCTGAATATGCTCATCAGCCCATAAGCATCAAGGCTTCTAAATTGAGTGATTTTACATCTGAATAATATCGAGGAAGTCCAAATACGAAACATGACCGCCCGATTATACCATGGGTATTAAATACGCCCTGTCATTTGTGGTTGGTTGGTTTGTTGTTCAACGCCGCACTCAGCAATATTTCAGCGATATGTGGGCTGTCTGTAAATAATCAAGTCTGGACCAGACAACCCAGTGATTAATATCATGAGCATCGATCCACGCAATTGGGATCGATGGCATGCATCAACCAAGTCAGCGAGCTTGACCACCCGATCCCGTTAGTCCCTTTTTACGACAAGCATTGTCACCTTTTACGGCAAGCATGGGTTGCTGAAGACCTTTTCTACCCCGGAATCTTCATGGGTCTGTCACTTGTGAGCGTCATGACATCTACATGTTCACGGCTGAACTATGAATGTATCTTTGTTCTGTGACGAATTTCGTTGGCGTTGAACGAAATTTTCGAATCGAGGCGGTGAGGAAATGAAGCCGAAATATTTTAGAAAGCTTTTAACTGATTGGCTGAAGAACCCGTCGTTCTCCATTTTGATTGGGCGGTCAAAGTTCACCTGAAGCGACCTTCTATGGATCTTCCCAGATCTTGACGCAAAGATGTATCGTATCGGAATTAATGATCTGGTCAGCACCAAACAGTATTTAAGTTCATCTACCATGGTGCCAAAGTGGTAGTGTTGGAGACTTTGAAACCTACGACCTTTTCCAACACAACATCATCGAATACAGGCACCACGAATTTTAAGGATCGCGAATGGAGCGGTTTGTTAAGAATTTCCTTTTCTCAGCCAAATGTCCATTCACCCCAAGCTTGAGAGTAACTCACAATTAAGATACCCTGTGAACATTTACAGACGGACTGACAACCCAAGTTTGCATTAGCTGATAGCTGTACCCACCGATGAGTCTCGCTTTCAGCCTGACGAGCCGGCCGATATGGTAATTGCCTCTCAGTCTCTGGCCGGTGATGTCTGCAACAAACAGGTCCACGCCCGACTTGCTAAGTGGCCCCATGTTGCTCATCAACTGTTTTACCGGCTTCTTGCTTTAAACACAAACACACGCGCAGATTGACGTGATTTTACGCATGTAACTTTAAAATCTCTGTCGGCCAAATATATTTTCACCGTCGAATGAGATTGTGTATGAAAATTGGATGTTTTTTCAGCAACAGTTCTAAAACCAGATATGTTATCAATCAAAACTATGAGTCTAAAATATATATTTTTCTAAAATCCACTTGCAACAATATATTTGTTAAGAAAGACAAAAACAATTCAACAGTCCGAAGCATACTTAGTTTTAAAGCATTTTCTGGGACAAATCAATCAGATTATAATCAGATCTTAGTTCTCGCTATCGCTAAACAAAGATCTGAGGACATCCCATTACGGATCACGTCAGAACGACCTTTCATCCGACCAATCAAAGCGTCGCTTACCAGACCATGAAAGTGACAGTCAGAATGTGTTTTCTTATCATGCAACCTCGAAAACGTTAACGCGGGGTATTCCGAACGACTGATGAACGGAGGAGGCGTTGCACAGTACTAGGGAAGGACTGCCAAACAAACGCAACCATATATTAGACATTCCGGAATGTTCGTTCAGTTTCCAAAATTTTATTCGAGAACTGTGTCAACATATTTTTCAAGCGTAGTCTGAAATGGAAGTCGCCAGGTTGAAACGAGTGCAGGAAGCTCGAGAAAGCTGCTTTCTAATTGGCTGATGTCGACTTCTTGTTTGTTATTTCAGTGGTCGTTCAACATTCGCGAAAGGTCGTTCTGATGTGTGTAATTGGATGTTCTCAGACCTTTGTTTAGCGGCAGCGTGAACTTAGATCTGACACAAATTATCCCAGTTAAACTCGACTAGTAGTATAGGTAATGATGGTTCTGGACCACTTCCACTGGAGCCGGATTTATATACCTATACTGCTACTACAGGGTGAATTTTTTATGCCAAAATGATTATGCGATTCAACGATAGTCATAAGATTAAGTTAAATTGACTCCCACCTGGAGTCTATGATATGAATTTTTATAGGTAATGATGGTTCTGGACCACTACCACTGGAGCCAGATTTGTATTAAACGAAATATCAATACTAATTAATAATGAATAAAATTTACTATAGCCCACGAGGATATTGGAAAGGTGTAGGAGCAATAAAAAAATTAGCCACCGCGGCTAAGGTATCTAAAGATGTGGCCAAGGATTGGTTAAAGAAACAAGCGATGTGGCAGATATATTTACCGGCACCGCGTTATATACCGAGGAAGAAGTTTGATATTTTTACAACGAATGAAGTTCATCAGGCTGACCTCTTGTTTCTTCCCCACGATAAGGTAAAACGCAAAACGTATAAATACGCTTTAACGGTAGTGGATGTGGCTAGTCGATACAAAGAGTCTGAGCCATTAACCTCGAAAGAATCAACGGAGGTAGCTAATGCACTGAGTCGCATATATAAACGCGGACCGCTAAAATGGCCTAAGCTATTTCAAGTAGATCCCGGTCGCGAGTTTATGGGATCGGTAACTAAACTGTTAACAAAGAACGATGTCGAAATCGTCCGTGGTGAAAGAGAGGCCCACCGCAGTCAAGCTATCATCGAAAGATTTAACAGGACATTAGCGGAACGTTTGTTTGGCTATCAGTATGGGATCGAAATGAAATCCGAGCGATTGAGATCGACCGAATGGGTGACACGATTATCAGCCGTTGTATCAGCGCTGAATAATGAAGTTACGAGATTAATAGGGAAGAAACCATCCAATTTTCCGTTTTATCATTAAGAAATTCATTCCAAGCGTTTGCGGTATCGTTCATTTGTATAAATTTTGTAACAATATAAATTAAACCACTCTTAAAACTCATAATATCCCCTCTCCAATCGTTACTCGAAAGTTCCCAGTCTTTATACCAATGATGAGTTTTTAGAAAATAATCATACATTCTTATGTAAAGTTTGCTGGTATGCAACAACTTAAACGCATTAAATGGACCTTTGTTAACTTCTTTAAATAAATCATCGCTTTCTTCTTTGACGGTTATTTCCCCTGTGTAAGGAACACCTAGACCATGGTTTGCTCCTTTAATACGCCAATCTTTACTCGTAGAAATATTAAATTCATTACAAATACGCTCATACGCGGACCTATTGTACGGATTATTTGTGGAATTCCACGCTCGATCCTGCGGTAATGGAGCACTAATTTCTTTAAGTATACGTCTAATCTGATAATACACGTGAAATAATAAAACAGACTTATTTAGCATAAATCCTGGGGCAATAACAGATACGCCACATCCCGTTGTTGCACACCATATGGCAAAGTTTAACTGATTCTGCCAAAATTGCATAGGATTGTGAAACCAATTGTGCACCATTTTATCGCTAGTTGCCGTGACCCTGTAATTTTCAAAGATATCGGGGAATTTAACAAAAAATTCAGCACCAGAGGCAGTTACTATAATCGATTGATTAGTAATGTATCTCGATTTCATATTTAAGTTATGATATAGTATCATTGTATATTTAATATGTATGTTACACTCCCGGGAATAACAAATGGTCAGTCTATTGAACTGCTTCATACTATCGATAACTCGGATGGACAACTCGAAGTCGCCCTATGTGATGTAACGTATTACCCACTGTGGACCAATATAAGTGCTGCGAGAGATAATAATGAGATACATATAATAGGTGACAACAATGGTATTGATAAATTCATTACTATACCTGATGGGTATTACAGCGTATGCTCACTCAATGATGAAATTTTTAAGCCTAATGGAGCTAGTCTCACACAAAATGAGTCGAATGGGACAGTGAAAGTCGACTCCCATACTTAGAAGTTACACTTGGATTTCATCATAGAATAGGAATTATAAATTCTAACAAACCACGACAGGGAATTAAATTACCCGATTTAGTTCCCTATAAAGAGTTGTTCATCCATCTTGATCAAATAAGCACGACGGATAATATTCAACTAGAAAGTCCTTCAACTCTACTCAGAAGTGTTCCAGTGAAAAATGAAAAATATAATAGCGGTAGAACGGAATCATTCTCGACATTACAATATAAAAAATTGAAGCGTGGTATTATTTCAGACCTCAAAATTTCTGTATTAGATGTAAAACATCAACCTGTACATATAGGATACTTAAGTGTAACACTCCATATTAAAAATAATGGTTGATGCATCAGGCCCTGGAACAGTAAGACAATGTAATACAATTGCGCTTTCCGATCTCGGAGACACGGAAGGATTTGGTAAACCCGGCACCGATGGTAAGTTATACGCTTTACACTTACACGATAATGTATACAAGCGGAAAGAAGTCACATTCACGGGTAATCTAGGAGATTTAAGCGATGTCGATGTTAGTAGACTCCTTAAAAACACTTCGTACAATATTACTCGCAACGACGATAATAAATGGACTATGGTTGAAGCAAACATCGAGTGGCTACTGAATATCGTCATTACCCCACCTTATGTGATGATGGGTAAGGGACATAATTTAACTAAGATAATAAATAGTGGCATCGTACTCGCGGCTTATATCCCATCAAAACGAAAAAGTGTGTTAGTTACCCCCCTGCCTGAAAACCCAGGTCATATGATATATAGTCGTCCGGCCTTAAAAAATGTTACTTTAAATTTGGTTACTGAATTCGAAGATATTAAAGATAACTTGAATGCAATACCTAATCTTTCTACGCTTATTATTGAAGTCTTGTTCGGAGATGCACCGGAAGATGCCTTCGATATATTACCAGGTCTATCGATTAAATGGCAAAAGAAACACCAACGTCAACGTTGCAGTATTATTCATATCGGAGCATCGCCCGTTGCAACCCTCGAGGGGGTCCAAATTATTAAAAGTGACAGTATTTCTCTTTCTAAGATATTCTTGCCGTATAATATACATTTGATAAGATTGATGTATAGTCTCAAAACATTTAAGCAAGACCAATTAAAGACTATTATATGATCGTAATATACACTATGAGTTTATATCCGGCGCTCGGTGAAGCATTTGAAAAGATGGAAACTGTTGATGGATTTCGATTACATCAAATAAGCGACATAAAACATCGAATAGAGAAGGATAGGGAGTTGAGACTTGGATTGTATAAAAAGTATCGCAGAGCCGTGAATGCTCTGGACGGAGTTGACACCCTGCTTTTGGTATCTGGCATGGGACTCGGTGTAGCGGGTATCGGTTTACTATCAACTATAATCGCCGCGCCTATCGTGCTCGGCATGGAAATAACCGCTGGAGTCTCGGGACTGGCAGGAATAGCGATAAAATTCATTTCTCGTAGGTTACAAAAGAAAGCATTAAAACACGATAGTATTCGGATACTCGCCGAAGCAAAGTTGAACAGCATTGAGGATCATATTTTGACAGCAATGGCTGACTGTAAGATATCCGAGGATGAGTTTCGTTTAGTGCTGTCGGAGCTCAACAAATACAATAAAATGAAGCAGGAGATTCGATCAAAATCTCGTCAGACCAGTGGTATTAGCGAAGACGATAAAAAAAAGTTCATAGAAGAGGGGAGGCAACAAGCGCGTCAATTATTCCGTGCCAAAACCAAAGAACTGGTTGGAGATTAAAAATAGATTGTTTACTATCGTGTGATTACATTTAGACAAATGCTAACATAAATATATAATAATGGAGAAAGCTATTCAATGGAAAGAATTACCACAAGGTTTTTATTATATCAGTGATGTCAAACCAACCAAATACGGTTATCAATTGTTTCTTATCAATTTACAAAAAGAGTGTAGTTATATAGTCTGGTCTCCTAGTAAAATGAACGAAGAACTTAATAAAAATGTTGAATATCGCTTTATCGATAAAAATAATAAAGAATATTTTTATTACCATTTAGACTCATCTAAAGCAATGATTGGCCCCAGGTATTGGTAGTGGTCCAGAACCATCATTACCTATAAAAATTTATATCATAGACTCCAGGTGGGAGTCAATTTAACTTAATCTTATGACTATCGTTGAATCGCATAATCATTTTGGCATAAAAAATTCACCCTGTAGTAGCAGTATAGGTATATAAATCCGGCTCCAGTGGAAGTGGTCCAGAACCATCATTACCTATACTACTCGACTCATTGCAATCTTCAACCAACATGAGTTTTTGTTGAACGGTGCTTTTCACAGTAACTCGGTTCCAAGATGTCAGCAAGGTGGAAAGCCCGAATTGATGCAGGTCGCAGACGTTTACCCCTTTGTTGACCCCCACCCCCCAACACACGCACAGGGTATGGTGCTGACAAACCCAAGAAATATAATTGAGACGAACCGGGATTCGAACCCACGTTCATAGTTTTCTGGCGTGCCCGAGGGACGTTCTCTGTACATTGAATGGATGCGCCTTACACGACCGGGGGCAATCACCATGAATACAGATGTCTACGTCCAATTTTCTTAGAGTTTAGTGACAGTGTTAACTCACTAATGATAAAAATAATAATAATAATAATAATAATACATTTATATTGCGCATATTTCCGCACAACTCAGGGGCATGCTCAAAGACATGCTGTTACCCCGGTCACTGGATCAGGGTGCACTCAACAATAGCACCAGGTCTCGATCGCATTTTGGTAAACCTACATCATAAATATTCATTGTTGCCATTTGATGCCACTGCCAATCTCCGCAAATGGTATGGTCTATTTCTGGCCTTCCTCTATATCTCCCAGGCTCGCTACACTAACCCCCGGATCCAGGCATTCCCCTGGTTTTTTGCAACCGAAAATTACCCGCCCTTGATTTTCATCAACATTTTACCAACCAATGAAACGTCCACATATGGAAGAGGGTAAGGGAGGTAATTACTGAGAAACCAAAGCCACCGCCAGTTTTAATGGTCATGAAGACATCCGGAAAAATGGTTTGAGTGCTTTCTTTAGCGTGTCAAGCAGTTTGTTAACATTGCATTTCTCGCCAACTCGATGATATTGAATGAGACTGGCCAACCAAACAATGAGACTGGCTTGTATGTTTTGGTGTGGTTTGGTTTGTTGTTTAACGCCGCACTCAGCAATATTCCAGCTATATGACGGCGGTCTGTAAATAATCGAGTCTGGACCAGACAATCCAGTGATTGACATCATGAGCATCGATCCACGCAATTTGGATCGATGACACGCATCAACCAATTCAGCGAGCCTGACCACCCGACCCCGTTACTCGCCTCTTACGACAAGCAGAGTCGCATTTTACAGCAAGCTTGGGTTGCTGAAGACCCCGGATCTTCACGGGGCGACTGGCTTGTAACTCGCAATCTTATTGGTACGTTGGACCTTGCAGCGTAGCCAAACAAACTGGCAAATGGAAATTAAGGGCGGGTAATTAGCGATTGCGAGAACTACGGGAATGGATCAAGGGGTTAGTGTAGGTGTACCGACATGCGGCCCGGGGCATAGAGAGGATTGCTGAGGAGACCTAAGGGTTTCCGTCGATAAAGCAGTGCAAGATAAATCCTGACCACCTCTGGTCCTGGTGCCATCGGATTAAATAATGGACTCGGCATGTGAAATACCCACCTCTCAGCCAGGCTAGATACGATGAGATTCTCCGGGGTATCGGCATCCACCTGCGGTTGATAGTTGCAAGTGACCACGTTAGTTGGGATACCCGTGCTCACCAACCCATTCGACGTAGGGACATACACCCTCAAGGTATAGGATTCCCTCTCATTTTGCTGGAAGAGATTCAAATAAATGTGTCCATTTTTGAGTGAACGCCACAGGCCAGCTATGTGACGGTCACAAAATAATTGAAATCGACCAGTCAGACAGACCAGTGGTTGATAGCTTGAGGGTTACATACAGTCGAACACCATGGTCTAGAGCTCGATGGTCTCGAGCTATACCTATAACTATTTTATACCCGGATGTTTCGAACTGGATGTGTTGAATTCCCGGTTGTCTGTCTAAATTCATTGTCCCAAGAATAAGAAAATAACTTGGCCTGATAATAATAATAAGTCCTTTTGTATGGCGCCAAACTCCATAACAGCTCGTGTGCTCGCTTACATGATTACCCCAGTCAATGGATCAGTGAGCACGTAATTTTCATGCTCAGCTCCCTGGGGAGTATACAAGCCAAGCTGCCCGTGAGGCGCTAGACGGTTAACCGCAACGTTACCATCTCATCCTACCGGGTACCCACTCACTGCTGGGTTAACATTTCGAACTTGCCCAAGGAGACACCACATGTGGTACTTGTGCTTCAGTGTGGAGCAGGACCGAAGCCCAAGAAATAATCAGAAGTCAAGCTGCTGAACGTGGTCACCCATCCATCTACTCTCCGAGACTGACGTTGCTTAACTTCACCTGATTAGTAATCTGTGCGCTGTGCACAGGACCACGTGCAACCACGTAAGACGATTACAATTTGTTACAAACACAACAACGTTACAGCTTGGTCCGTACTTTTTTAACACCGCACTCGGCAATATTCCATTTATATGACGGCGGTCTGTAAATAAGCCAGTCTGGGCCAGACAATCGAGTGATTGATATGGGCATCGATCTACCAATTGGGATATTACATGCATCAACCAAGCCTTCGAGCCTGACCACCCGATCCCGTTATTCGCCTCTTAGGACAAGCATTGGTTGCTGAAGGCCAATTCTAACCCGGATCTTAACATGTTGGACAAACGGAGTCAGAAGAATGACATACGCGGCGTTCTTGTTCACGCACTGATGAGCAGTCTTCGCTCTCACCAATAAAATGACCTTAATGGAGAATTACGTTCGGAGGGGATGCAGCATGCATGAACATACCTCAAAAGAACAAACATCCCTTGGATCGTACGTTTCGAAATGGACATCAATGTACCACGTATGAGTGTTCAAACGAATGAAATCGAAGCCAAAGCGACCATTGCAGACGGCGTATGGGTAGGTTTCGGGGACATCCGTTACAATCGTCACCCGGACATCTCCACGAGCTTCTGCCGGGCAATTATACTTGACTAAAAAACAACGATAACGATATTCAGTAACTCACTGATATTACTAGCACTAGTTGGCCTCAAAGCAATTCTACACAAAAGATTCCAAAAACGGATAAATTATATATATGCCAGTTGTTTAAGCTCAACATTTCATGACTCGTGACGGTAACTAAAGCCAGGCATATTTTTATTAAATTGAAATTTCCCGCTGTTTCAATCATATGTATAGCTCTTCGAAATTTCGAGGTTACTCCTTTATTTTCGCAATTTCGAAATGAGGAGTTAAATAATTGAAATTACGGTTAAATATTCGAAGTAACGAGAACATACTTGAAATTTCGACAAAAATGAAATAGAAATAACGAGAAAAACACCCAAAACTTCGATTTAGATAAATATAAGTGTGTCATCAATGTTGCAATATTTGGCTTTCGTACAATCTAATCTAATATTCTCAGATTACAATTGAGTTTATTTGTCAGTATTGCAAAATGGTGATTTTATCTATGAAGACAGGTATCGCATCTTACCTTTAATTTGGTAGTGTCCACCTATCTGGCCCTCCGACAGACCTAACTGAAGCACATACAATGAAATACAACTGCATTCTCATACCTCAAGTCGTACCGCAAAGTCGTACAACTCTTAATATTCCGAGCACTACACAACGGGAAGATAACTGTCTGAAATCACTCCTTGGAAAATGGCCAAATTGAATATTTTTATTTGTTTTACGCCGTACTGAGCAATATTACAGATATATTATGGCGGTCTGTAAATAATCGAGTCTGGATCGGACAACTTAGTGATTGACATGAGCATGTATCTACGCAATTTGGATATAATGACATGCATGAACCAAGTCTCCACCGTTGGATCAAGTTAGTCGCCTCTTACAAGCATGGGTTTAGAGGGGCGGGGGGATTGGAAAACATATTTGATTACAAAATTCATTCATTTATATAAGTAAACAAGATTGAATCACCTTTTATGTTATTTAATCATACTAAAAATTGTTCAAATAATTCCAAAGACAGTAAATTATCTTGTCAGCATATTCAGCTCATCTTCCCGAGGCAAGGGAGTTAACTGACTTAAGTCCTGTTTCCACCCTTGCCGATCCAACTTGGAATTTCTGGGCTCGATCGTAGCGCCACCAGTACGGGTTATGTGCCTTCAATGTTCCTCCTATTGCCCAATAAGATCCCATCTCTCATATCACTTGCAATTTTTTCAAACAATATGGCGGCGCCCAGTCGGGACGATCTGATCGATAATCAAAATCTATAATGTAATAAAACGGGTTTTACCCCGCGAAGTGCATCAAATCACTTGAGCAACTTGATTAAAAACTTGAAAATATTAGCAAAATATCTGTCGACGTCCAGTTGACGTTACACATGCAGTCGACCAAATTCTGCACGATGAAATCCATGTTCACGAACCGGATGTCTAGTTCGTTAGGCGAACTTGAATGGACTATGCATTGACTCCTAAGTCCAGCAAAATGTAACTCCGTAATTCCAGCCCAGTTCGGCAAGGGAGGAAACTGGTCAGTTAAAGATGTCTTGACAGGGGACTGTGGCATCACTTGATGTTGCTTTTGTCCAGTTAAATGCAATGTTTTGACCAATTTTATCATACATATGGCTTATTTTTTATAATTTCATTATACCATATGCTTTTCCCCAAAAGACCCATCACTACCAGTGGTGAAACAAATCATAAAAAGCTTAAATAAGAGTAACCACCCTTTGAATATTGAGAAAAGAACTGTCTGGCCCCTTCTCCTGGTCACCTGTGCATGAGGCCAAGTAGCAGACGACATGAAGAGCAGACAGGAGATCGGTTGAAAAGAATTTGTAAGCTTGATTTGCACCATGTCTTTTTTCTGTTGTCATTGGTGTAACATTGTTATCTATAACATGTGCACTAATTCAACAGTGAGTATGGTAATACGCCGCTTTTAGCAATATTCCAGCAATATCACGGCGGGGGACACCAGAAATGGGCTTTACAACTAAGATCTACTACTCAACATTTGCTAAAGACCAAAATAATCTTTTGTCAAAGGTGTGGTCTTAAGCAAATGTTGAGTCGTATACTTACAAAAAGAGAAAAAGCCACGTAACTCCCCACAATTCCTGTTTGAAACTCCTGCCGTAAAGCTCAGAAAGCTGCTTCCTAATTGGCTCATGTCAACTTCTTGTGAGTCATTCCACTGGTCGGTCAAAGTTGGCGAAAGGCTATTCCGACCTGTGAAGGATGTTCTCGGATCTTCGTGCAAAGGTACGGAACACTAAGATCTGACTTTAATGAGATTGGATTTCTCGGCACTGCTATTCAGCTATCGATATGTGCGATAGTCCAATCATATTTTGCACAGGAAAGTGGGCTTGATGTGGCAATGGTGGAAATTAGACTATGACGCTCTTGCCTCGGGAAGATACTATGTTACAGAATATAGTGACAGCTGTAAGCTATTTCTGCTTATAAATAGAGCTTTCGTCGCAAATAGGTTCATTCGTAAAGATTTCACTTCCATAGTAACAGTATCTAAACGAAGGCAGATAACGGGCCTGCTAACCATTCAACCCAACAGGGTATGGCCAGAAGGACTAACGTCCCGAAATCAGGGTTACCCACGGATGGACCAGAAGATGTTATCTATGCTTAATAGTTGGCTGGTTGGTTTGTTGTTTAACGCCGCACTCAGCAATATTCCAGCTATATGACGGCGGTCTGTAAATTATCGAGTCTGGACCAGACAATCCAGTGATTAATATCATGAGCATCGATCCACGCAATTGGGATAGATGACATGGATCAACCAAGGCGAGCCTGACCACCCAATCCCGTTAGTCGCCTCTTACGACAAACATAGTCGCCTTTTACGGCAAGCATGGGTTGCTGAAGACCTAATCTAACCCGAATCTCACGGGTCCAATGCTTAATACCTCAAACGGAGTACACTATGAAAGTTGTGATATTTTCAATAGTTGACAACGAGTTGGCAGAACATGCTATGCAAATCCTGCAATCAAATAAAATCTGCATTACAGTTTACGAACCGGATCTCGTTGCGCGATTTTGATTTGATTATGCATAGACTCGTTAGTCCAGCCACAATGTCACTCCATAATACCAGCCTAGTTCGGCAAGGCAACTTTTGTAGTCAGTTAACTCCCTTGCCTCGGGTAGATGGGCCATTCCGGGCCCCGGATAGGTTAGAAGTAAAACGGACCGTAAAACATCTGCGCAAATAGCTACCACGGGGATATGTGTCCCAGCTGTAACGCAAAAGAAAAGTCAAAATGCTCGACAACAGCAAATACTGCGACGAGTGTTTTATCTAATCAGAAATGTGCAGTTTATATCACATCATGGCGAATGGCCAAGCTACGTAAATGCGTCAACAATTTCATCTTACCAGACTAAGTACAAGGAGAGTCGGGCCAACGAGCTCTGAAACAAGGAAACCACTAATGTTATACACACACCCAATGGTATACCAACCGTTATATACCCAGCTATATACCCAGTTAAACACCACAAATGTTATACACCACCAATATTTGGACCAGACAAAGATATTAGCATGTGTAAAGTCGCAAACAAGCTTCATTTTAAAGAGTGAGGTGAGGTGAGGTGAGGTGAGGTGAGGTGAGGTGAGGTGAAATGGGGTTTTAACGTCGCGTCCAAGATTATTGCACTTATATAGCGACGTATTTTAAAGAGTGATTATTCACAAGGACTTTAATATGCTCTCCTGTGTCAACACAAATAATGCTAGTGTCATCGCCGGGCGTGGGACAGGAATCGACACGAATTGACTGCTTGAAATACGATTTCATTCCGACAATTACATCAATTATATCGGTAAAGCTTTCAAAAGTTTTATGGAAGACACGTTAAGAACATTTCCATCACTGGCAAAATTCTTGTCCGATGCAATTCCCTATTTCGACTTGTATATTTCTCCGTGTTTTTTCGGGTTAACAATTGACTTGACTTTGCATGCGTTTGTGACGGGTGCCACCTGTTGGGCAGGATGCGCTCAATTTTCCAGAACACAATTTTTTGGCAGTGATTCAAAAACAGTTATGATATAATCAGAATCGCACAATTGACTGCTTTTAGCAGAGCTTTCTTGTGAATATGGAAATTGTTTTGTTGCTTTTATTTATCTAATCCACCTAACAGAAAGAACGCAGATACCAGAACAATGACGTGTATTGGTGTTCAAATTCACTCAAAGTCTCTTCCCTGACGTACAAGTTAAATATATACACCTTACCAGATTGCGTGTCTATTTGTATATGGATATTGTCATTATAAAAATATGTATAAGGTCATGTAAGGGCAATAACATTATTTGTCTTTATCATAAAACTAACTTTGCATTCAGATTAATGTCTCGTTTATTCAGTAATATTACAAAAGTCAAAGTTGGTTTCTTCCTTCGATTGTGTAATATACGTCTAGGTTAGACCACGAGGACCCAGTGTCTTATCTTTGAAATGGTTAATTAGTTGAAATGCATGTCCCGGGGCAAGTATTCTCTTCATTTTGGGCCAAACTCGAGCACTTTTATCAAGCGCCTTAATATTACTTGCCCATGTTGATGGGCCTATTTTGAGCAAACATAGCCCTCATCAAGATAATCGTAATTTTGTTTCCATCTGTTCGTTTCGTTAAACGTAAAGCTACCAAATCACAAGTACTGAACAAATACTAGAATGCATAGAGGAAAACTGTATAAAAAATGCATAAAATATATTTCGCAGTTCATAAAGGGATAAGCAATTAGTCCTGATGTAACTAAGTATTTAGTTGTTAATTTCGCACAATTATGAAACATCCTAATTATTAAACACTTATGAATATATTTCATGACCATAGGTCACAATTATAGGGACTTTGAAGCCTGGAAACAATCAAATACGTTCAGATTTTACTCACCTGCAAGTCGGTCCATGGCCGGTGATGTGAGACTTGCGTCGTTTCTCACGTGCGAGGAGAATGTATTTTCACGTGATTTTCGTTTGCCGCATGCGCACTTGCACCTGGGTTTGCCATGTTGTTGACCAGTGTAGAAGTTACAGTTAAGTTCACAGCAATTCCCCCCCCCCCCCCCCCCCTGGATTTTTTCTAGAAACAGTTTTATTTCAATCATGAAAATACAAGTTGGGGACAAGTAATACTTGTGCCTTGGATATCCACATGGAACACTTTTGGGGAATTTTCAGTGAAAGGCGGCCAAACGGCCGTACATTTATAGGTGCCACAGCGTCAGTTGGTTGGGGGCTCGAATCCCGGAAAAGCCCCGAATATGATCCTTGGTCTTCCATGACCATACCCACAGGATTCATTAATGTGGTATACCCGTGAAGATCCGGGGTAGAATAGGTCTTCCGCAACCCATGCTTGCCGTAAAAGGCGACTATGCTTGTCGTTAGGGGCGACTAACGGGATCGGGTGGTCAGGCTCGCTGACTTAGTTGATGCATGTCCTCGTATCACAACTGCGTGGATCGATGCTCATGATGTCAATCACTGGATTGTCTGGTCCAGACTCGATTATTTACAGACCGCCGTCATATATAGCTGGGATATTGTTAAACAAGGTAGCAGAGCATAACAAGGATAATCCTGGCGTAGATAAGGTGTGTGTGAATATTGGCGGCGACGGCACAAAAGTTGGTAGGATTTCTAATTTTGTTATCTTCACATTTCACATTGTAGAGTCTGGCAAGACACTGTCATCTTTAAATCTGAGAGAAGGAGAGAGAGACAGAGAGAGAGAGAGAGAGAGAGAGAGAGAGAGAGAGCTATGGAAGCTTGTATATTGGGAATAGACAGGGATAAGGTCAAACATGAACAGAGTTGCATCTCATTGTATCTCAACCAACCCAAAGTGTTAAAACGTTAATTTGAGTGAACTTTCAGTTTCTAGGGTATATTGCAAAATATGGTTGACACTTTTACACATTTTACATAATATTCCTATTATACATCAATATATGACGAGGATATTAAATTATTGCATACCAAATTATGCATTCTTGAACTATTGTAATACAAAACAATGTGTTCCTTTCGTTATCCAAACGAACTACAGCGTATTTATATCTTCACAGAAGGTATCTACACGTGGGTTCGAACCTATGCTGAACAGCAACAAGGTCGGACTATAGTTAAACACAAATTCACCCTTGTGAAGTAACCGTAATAAGTCGTGCAGGAGTTATCGCCGATGGCAGCAGGAGGACATTTTACAACGCTTTATTTGGTTTGTGTCGTTGTACAAGAGCTATGTCCCTTGTATTCTTGGTTATAGCATTGTACCCCGACGTTCGTGTTATCAACAACTGGTTTTCTCGGACAGACGCGACAACTCACCGGCCGCCGTAATCGGAATGCTAAATAACTAAGGCTCAGAGATCAATGTACCCTAAGGTTCATGTGTGATGTCATTGGTAAGTCGTAACAAGGTACAGGTATCGCCCTAATCAGATGATATGGCTCTGATCCCAAATTCAAGCTTGTGCTGTGTCTGGTGTTTACAATCAGGACAAGCCCCGTCTTCAGCAATGAGAAAACTAATGTGAGGATTTAAAACTTTATTAGAGATGAACATCTCCAGCTTCCGTTTCTCCGAATGTTGGAACTATTTGTGCAGTACACCTCTGAAAGCAGAAAAGATCTGTGAATAATTGGCAGGTACCCTTCCTCTGGTACAGGGCCCCGTTCCACAAAGCGATCTTAGAGCTACGATCATCGTAAGCCTATGTTAAAGTATGGGAGTTACGATCATCTTAGCGCTAATATCGCTTTGTGGAACGGGGCCCTGGGCGTATCTGGACGGCGTGGTTGCCCCTGTCCACAACAACTGGACCTGGTCTGCTATCATTTGTTTGCTTGGCTTGTGTTCATTATAAGGATGTTATTTCTTTTATAACTTAGACTTAAAACAACAGGCACTCATTGAATGTAAAAGTCAGCATTCGTATCAGATCATCATGATTGAAGGATTTATGTATAGCTGCTAAGACACTTTTTTAAATGCATTTAATTCTGGGGTGCGTTGTTGGGCGTAACAACGTACACACATATTATAAAGAAAGCCGTATGTCATCATTTTGTATCAATTTCTACTTTTGTTATTTTTAAGTGTAACGATGAATTTGAGGGGATAAAGAGTTACAGAAAACATGTTATACCTGTACTTTCAGCCGGTTGTGGTGAGGATGATGGGGAGGAAGTTGGTGTGACTGCCGCCGCTGCTGCCGTGAGACATGGGGTAGGGGATCGGGATGGGGATGCCGTGTTTGCTGTGGTGGGAGTGGTGACTGCTGTGGCTGCAACAGCTGCTACACTTACTACAGCCGCACGCCTCGGTGTAGACGGCCAGACACACTGATAACACAAACAGTCATCTTTACAACACAAACAGGCGAGGAACATGTTATGCATTTGTTTTAAAGCTTTTTTAGTCATTTCGTCATATGGACAATGTCCACTGCACAATTTTCATACTAAACTCGCAACCCTTCGCGTATACGTATTTTATCAAATACACAAAAGAAAACCCGCAGCCGCACGCCTCCGCGACTAGACACAATGACTAGTGACAATATTTGATAATGAACATCAAATTAATTTGTTTAGGCTTTTAGGAATGTGAGTACTTTTTAAAGTTTCCCATAAAATAGATTAAAAGTGGAATACATGTAGCTGTGAAAACAACCGTGATCAATGCATCGAGAGAGAGAGAGAGAGAGAGAGAGAGAGAGAGAGAAAGAGAGAGAGAGAGAGAGAGAGAAAGAGAGAGAGAGAGAGAGAGAGAGAGAGAGAGAGAGAGACTGTTATCTATAAGATGAACGATAAGATGAACGATAACGATAAGTATTGGGGAACAAATTACAATTCTGATATTGTTCTTTAAACAAATTATGGTGAAATGCCTGCTTATATTAAATAACTGATAGTTGTACGCCGCATTCAGCAATATTCCAGCAACATCACGGCGGGGGACACCAGACATGGGCTTCACACATAAAAGTTTAAAAAAAAATATATTTAAAGAATAAAACCACGTGGAAGGATTCTTTGAGTGCTGACTGAGCACCTGTTTCAGTTTTTTTAATATATAATATCGCTAAAATAAAATATTTTCCATATGATAAAATCAACCGAGAGGTATAGTTTCCTTTGCTTCTCAGTTTAGGACTGGGACAAACGTTGCAAGATGTATATAATTTATCATATCACTAAATATTTCTACTTACCAAGAAGAAGAACGGAAATAAGAAACAGTTTCATTTTCATTCAGATGTCAGCTCAAACTCAAAACAATGGACAACTTGTCGTATTTTGTAAGCTGTAAAATGTCTGTATATATATAGTCAGAAATATGTGACATTTGTTAAAAATATAACTAGTTTTTACGTTGAGTCATTTTCATGTAGACACACGCGTGCACAAATGATATGGGTAAGTGAAGCGACCGCACTCCCTGCTGTTTTAATCAGATTAGCGTCGTATGGGTTCTGTATTTCTCCATGAGAAGCGACACCCTGTTGTCTATGTTGGCGAATGACGGCACTAACATGACCAGCGTATATTGTCGTCGAAACTATAAATATGCTAGGTTTTTCCAGTAAAAATCAAACTCACATCTAACTTGAAAAATGAAATTCGCATTGGGATTGTGTCTTATTTTGGGTAAGAATTTGTTATTTCGTTAGTGTTTAATGTTACTTAACTGACACATAATAAGGCCATGTATTCATATACCCACACTGTGGCCAGAGAACCAAATATTTTAACCTCGCTGTCCACGTAATCATTCGATAACTGTTAATTCCAGGCTACATACACATTCTTATACATCATTTTGATATACATGTATGATGTATTACCAGGGTCACAGTGGCCAAGCTGTGCAGAGTTACGTCCCTTAGGTGTGCCAGAAACCTGTGATTGTGGGTTCGAATCCCGGTTCGACCTAATTGTGTTTCTAGGTTTGATAGCACCATTCCCTTGCTCGTGAGTTTCACCACAGAGACAACATATATATCAAGAAGAAAACATTTATTTACAAATTCTTTGTCTGTGTCATGTTCCTCGCCTGTTTGTGTTGTAAAGATGACTGTTTGTGTTATCAGTGTGTCTGGCCGTCTACACCGAGGCGTGCGGCTGTAGTAAGTGTAGCAGCTGTTGCAGCCACAGCAGTCACCACTCCCACCACAGCAAACACGGCATCCCCATCCCGATCCCCTACCCCATGTCTCACGGCAGCAGCGGCGGCAGTCACACCAACTTCCTTCCCATCATCCTCACCACAACGGGATAAAAGTACAGGTAATATATACACCCTTCTCCCCTTGATCTAATCAGTCGGTTGTTACATTAAATTGTCTCACAATTCGCTGTCCAAAGTTGTGTCCCTTGGGCATGTCAGGAATCTATGATGTGTTCGAATCATCGATTATGTTTCTAGGTTTGTCAGCTCTGTACCCGCGCTCGTTGGTTTCACCTAAGACCTGCATCACTTCTGGCTTTCCTTCCACATTAGGCTGGCACGCCGTGACACAACTGGAATACTGTTCAAAGCGGCGTTAAACCAAACTCACTCACTCACGTTATAACAAAAGTGTTAATTTTGTACATGACCTGACATCCTGAGTTGACTTGACACCTTGATGTTAATTCTTTTTCTTCTTTCAGATTAATGCCGTACCGTTACGAAGAACAACCGCCACTCTTGTCAAATAAACGTTTGAAGCGAGCACTTTAGTGTTCTGTTGTTTGTAGACTCGTGTACTGTACTGCTGTCAAAAGACGTTGCTGTTGCAGTCTTGGACTGGTCTGTTGTCACTGAGGAATCCCAATGGCATCCTCTGATTGCCCCGGTGCGTGTGTACTGGTGAAGATATCTGTAAATAGAGAGGCGAAGGTTGAGGCGGTTTTGTCACTCGTCATGCCGAAGGTCCGTGGTCGATTCCCCACATGGGTACAATGTGTGGGGAGCCCATTCTGGTGTCTCCCATTGCTGGAATATTGCTATAAGCTGCTGTAAATAACCCAACTCACTCACTGACTCACTACATCAACCATAGATGGGGCTGAGGGTAGTGTAATCGTGGTCTGGGTGCCACAGCACTGGTGGGGCGGTCGGGTAGCCTAGTGGTTTAAGCGTTCGCACGTCACGTCGAAGACCCGGGTTCTAATCCCGACATGGGTACAATGTGTGAAGCCCATTCTGGTGTTCCCCGCCGTGATATTGCTGGAATATTGCTAAAAGCGGCGTAAAACCACACTCACTCACTCACAGCACTGGACTCTGACAATGCAACACACCCACAGAAGGATGGGCAGTGTAGAATACATAAGAACATCCATAGATGAATCTCACAATAAACATATAGAGACAGTCACAACTAGAATGATAAATTAGTAATGTCTTGGAGTTCTGTCTAAGAAGCATTCTGGTATATATGGAGAGTTTGTCCTCCGTCGTCCAACCCGAGCTACCAGTTGCAACAGAGGGCAACCTCGAGCTCTTGGACAGTGGTAACAGCTGCCAGAGAACCGCTCCGATGAAAGGAAGTGTTCACAGACACTGATTGATGACTGTTTGAAGTGAGACACATCTGTGAAGTCATGGTATTGTTTGAGCGCTTAATTATTTTTAGGGAATGGAGAGTTGATTGTGTTCTCTGCCGCTGTTGCACGTGCTCCGTCGCGAGCTGATCTTAACAATGCATGTTTTATTGATGTCTTAAGAATGGTGTGTCAAAGTGTAAGAGTAGAGATGTGTATTAAGTAGGGGAGTACCCTCGTATATCCGACGCTACGTAATGTAGAGATGTCGGGATTGCCCTCTGGGTCGTGGCAGTTAGTTAAGCGCTCTAAAACAAGAGGTGTCTACTCATCTACAGCGGGACCACATCAACTTTCTAAACACAGTAGGTTTTTCTCCTGAATAACAGATGATTACAGAAATAAAGAGAAGTATGGAGTGAGGATGGTGATGGATGAATAAGAAAAAGGGAGGTGTGACATGACAAGTAACAGAACACGTTTAGTACACAACATGTAAGCGTGCAAACAACAAAGGAAGACGACAAGGGTGTGTAGTAAAAAAAAAAGTTTAATAATAATGTGTCATGCCCCCACGATTGGTGAAACATTCGTTTATACGGCGTGGCATAGTCCGAAACAATCTATCAAATGACAATTTAGTGTCTAACATGTCCCAGACGATCTCTATGGGGAAAAGTCAGGACTCATTGCTCGCTATTGCATTACGTTAGCTGGTGGTGGGAATCAGTGGCGTTCTGACAGTGATAGTCATCATTACAGCCCCATCCCCAAATCTGTCATGTTGCCTTCCGTTGAAGTTTAAGTGAGCTTAGTATGAAATACTGTTCAAAGCGGCATTTAAGTGACTGAACAAATCAATGACTCTTGTGGGATCACCCCAATGCGTTTGAGCCCTGTCTCCCTGACGGTATTCCGAACACGCCATATTGGTAACTTCTAGCTAAGGTATTGTGTGGTGACAATAAAAGCAAGGCTTCGCTGATACTGTGTCGATCTGTTTGGCATCGGCCACGCTGATTCATTCGCAAAACAGACATGAATATAGACTGTTTGAAGCGGCAATAAAATGCAAATCCCCTAACAACTGTCGTCTTCTGACAACACGTATTTCATTTATTCAAATGAAGTGAGTGAGTAAGTGAGTATGGTTTTACGCCGCTTTTAGCAATATTCCAGCAATATCACGGCGGGGGACACCAGAAATGAGCTTCACACATTGTACCCATGTAAGGAATCGAACCCGGGTCTTCGGCGTGACGAGCCAACGCTTTAACCACTAGGCTACCCAACCGCCCCTATTCAAATGAAGTGCTTCATGAAGAAAAGTTGAACTTGTTCAGAAAAGGTTTGCAGTTCCCTATGCGAGTGGATTCTAAAGGGTGTATGGGTGTAAATCCTATATGTATATAGGCGTGACTCCTATGGATGAAGGGTGTAAATCCTATATGTGTATAGGTGTGACTCCTATGGGTGTAGGGTGTAAATCTTATATGTGTATAGGTGTGACTCCTATTGGTGTAGGATGTACATCCTATATGTGTATAGGTGTGACTCCTATTGGTGTAGGGTGTAAATCCTATGTGTATAGGTGTGACTCCTATGGATGAAGGGTGTTAATTCTGTATGTTTATAGGTGTGACTCCTATGGGTGTAGGGTGTAAATCCTATGTGTGTATAGGTGTGACTCCTATTGATGAAGGGTGTTAATCCTATATGTTTAAAGGTGTGACTCCTATGGGTGAAGGGTGTAAATCCTATATGTGTATAGGTGTCACTCCTATGGGTGTAGAGTGTAAATCTTATATGTGTATAGGTGTGAATCCTAAGGGTGTAGGGTGTACATCCTATGTGTGTATAGGTGTGACTCCTATTGGTGTAGGGTGTAAATCTTATATGTGTATAGGTGTGAGTCCTATGGATGAAGGTTGTAAATCCTATATGTGTATAGGTGTGACTCCTATGGATGAAGGGTGTAAATCCTATATGTATATAGGTGTGATTTTATGGGTGTAGGGTGTACATCTTATATGTGTATAGGTGTGACTCCAATAGGTGTAGGGTGTACATTCTATGTGTGTATAGGTGTGACTCCTATGGATGAAGGGTGTAAATACTATATGTATATATATGTGACTCCTATGGATGAAGGGTGTAAATCCTATATGTGCATAGGTGTGACTCCTATGGGTGTAGGGTGTAAATCCTATATGTGTATAGGTGTGACTCCTATGGGTGTAGGGTGTAAATCTTATATGTGTATAGGTGTGACTCCTATTGGTGTAGGGTGTACATCCTATATGTGTATAGGTGTGACTCCTATTGGTGTAGGGTGTAAATCCTATGTGTATAGGTGTGACTCCAATGGATGAAGGGTGTTAATCCTGTATGTTTATAGGTGTGACTCCTATGGGTGTAGGGTGTAAATCCTATGTGTGTATAGGTGTGACTCCTATTGATGAAGGGTGTTAATTCTATATGTTTAAAGGTGTGACTCCTATGGGTGAAGGGTGTAAATCCTATATGTGTATAGGTGTCACTCCTATGGGTGTAGAGTGTAAATCTTATATGTGTATAGGTGTGAATCCTAAGGGTGTAGGGTGTACATCCTATGTGTGTATAGGTGTGACTCCTATTGGTGTAGGGTGTAAATCTTATATGTGTATAGGTGTGAGTCCTATGGATGAAGGTTGTAAATCCTATATGTGTATAGGTGTGACTCCTATGGATGAAGGGTGTAAATCCTATATGTATATAGGTGTGATTTTATGGGTGTAGGGTGTACATCTTATATGTGTATAGGTGTGACTCCAATGGGTGTAGGGTGTACATTCTATGTGTGTATAGGTGTGACTCCTATGGATGAAGGGTGTAAATCCTATATGTATATATATGTGACTCCTATGGATGAAGGGTGTAAATCCTATATGTGCATAGGTGTGACTCCTATGGGTGTAGGGTGTAAATCTTATATGTTTATAGGTGTGAGTCCTATGGATGAAGGTTGTAAATCCTATATGTGTATAGGTTTGACTCATATGGGTAAAGGGTGTAAATCTTATATGTGTATAGGTGTGACTCCTATGAGTGTAGGGTGGAAATCTTATATGTTTATAGGTGTGAGTCCTATGGGTGTAGGGTTTACATACTATGCGTGTATAGGTGTGACTCCTATGAATGAAGGGTGTAAATCCTATATGTATATAGTTGTGACTTCTATGGATGAAGGGTGTACATCCTATATGTATATAGGTGTGATTCCTATGGGTGTAGGGTGTACATCCTATATGTATATATGTGTGACTCCTATGGGTGTAGGGTGTACATCCTATATGTATATATGTGTGACTCCTATGGGTGTAGGGTGTACATCCTATATGTATATAGGTGTGACTCCTATGGGTGTAGGGTGTACATCCTATATGTATATATGTGTGACTCCTATGGGTGTGGGGGGCACGGGTGGCCCAGTCGTCTAAGGCGCCGCGATTCGCTACACAGAGTTGCGTCCCTTTGGACACGCCAGAAACCTATGATTGGTGGTTCGAATCCCGGTTCGCCCCGATTTTGTGTCTAGGTTTGTCAGCACCATACCCGTGCTCGTGGGTTTCACCGAAGTGGTAAACGTCTGAGACTAGCATCACTTCGGGCTTTCCTCCCACATTAAGCTGACACGCCGTGATATAACTGGAATACTGTTAAAAGCGGCGTTAAACCCAACTCACTCACCTATGGGTGTAGGGTGTGAACCCTAAGGGTGTAGGGTGTAAACTGATTACGTGCGTTTGATTACAAAAAGAACTGGTGAATTGAGTGAACTAGCACAACCTAGCACATATTATGAAACACGCTTTAGTCTGACAAATTAATATGCTAATCAAAACTATGACGGGTTAGAAGTGTTTTATTGCATGACAAAGCTGACAGTGTACCTTTTCCATATCATGCACGTGTAACGACAATAAAGTTCAACATAACACCAAATAAAGATTCTGAATCAACATACAAGTTCCATTATTGCTTGATTCTAAAGAATTCATATGAAAAAATAGAAGTTAATCTGGACGCATATCAAATTACATATATACAGTAAATGCCCAGGTAGTCATTCATTTAAGTTCTTTTATTCATAATTGAATAAATCAATAAAAATGATTAGTTTTAACGATGACATCACTTCGAGGCT